TGATATTCATCTCCCCTACAACGCACCTCCCGATCTTGGAAATTCACCTTCACCATCTTAGCATTCACTATTTCACCTCTGTTAGTACATCTGCCGCTGGGAAGTCGATGTATGCCTTCTCAGTGAGATCGCCATTGAGGTAGAATGTTGCACGGTCAGGCTTAGCAAGCGGCAGGTTGTGTATGAGTCGGGCAGGGAGATCGGGCTGTTGAAAGAATGTGGCAATAGAGGGCAGAATATGGAAAAGATCGACCCAGGCGTGGGAAGAGGAAGCCGTCAGCACACATGATGGGCAAGGACAATGGACAAAGAAGATCGAACATGGACAGAAGGACTTACGTTTGGAATGTACAACCTGCCAAATGCTATCATGTCCCCATGCTCCTGCGCTGTCTCGATTGCAGTCTGTCGTGTGTACCCACCCGCACTGATAAACACCCCGCTCTTTCCCTCTTTGCACCATATCTCGCGCAGGAAATCGTTGTTACTCTGTAATGGCGCGTCCACATCAGTGCTTCCGCTGATACGTGGCTCGATGACGTGGAGGTAGGCGAGGTCGTACTTCTTGAGTTCGTTGACGAGGTAGGAGAATTGTGGTTTTGGATCGGGGAGGCCCATGTCTGCATGAATGTTGGTCGGGTATTAAACAAGTCACAGAGATGGAACACACCTTGATACGGACTCCATGGACTTAATCTGATGCCGACCTTCTCAGCGCCGACTTCTTTAACAAGCGCATCCACGACCTCTATCGCAAATCTTGCTCTCTTCTCGATACTCCCGCCCCATCCATCCTCCCGGGTGTTGCTCACCTCTTGCAAGAACTGGTCCACGAGGTATCCATTTGCACCATGGAGTTCGACGCCATCGAAGCCTGCTGCGATAGCATTCCTGGCACTAGTGGCGAAGCTGGCGATGTATGATTTTATCTCTGCTTCTGTGAGTGCGCGCGGGACTGCAGTAGGACGGATAGAAAGTGGGATAGGAGAGGCAGATACAAGCGGGGAGTTATTCTCTTTGGCGAGAACATCTGGGAATGCAGCTCTCCCGTTTGCCCACAGTTGGCAAAATATAAAGCTACCCTTCTCGTGTACAGCATCGGTGACGCTTTTCCATCCTTCTACCTGTTCCTGGGTATAGATCCCTGGGACAAAGTCCCTCCCACCAGCAGCCTGGGAGATGATGGTCGCTTCGGAGACGAGGAGTGTCCCCGGGAGGGATGCACGTTGTGCGTAGTAGGTGGATGCATGGGGCCCGGGGACGTGGGTAGGGTAAGTGCGAAAACGAGTGAGGGGTGCGAGGACGATACGATGGCTGATTTTCATGTGGCCCACTTGGATGGGTGTAAAGAGGGTGGGCATCATCGTGGGCCTTGTGAAGGTGCGTATGGGGCATATCAGGAGATCATATACTCGGGCTGTTGGATTAGGTCTGCCGCATGAGGAAACCAACGTGGTGATGAACCATCGATGCACCCTGCTGCATGGGATGAACCGTCTGAGTTCAGTTCGCGTGACATGTAACTTGAAGGACTCTCGCACCGATAACACTTTGACAACTTCGAACGACGAACAGCTGAGATCCGAAGTCCAACCGATATCGTGATGTGACTTGTAAAACTGAGTTTGAAACAAAGTCAACGATAAACTTATTTTTAACTAACGATACACGACAAAATTATGGACGTCAATTCGTCCGCGTCATCCGACAAGTGGCAATCCGTCTAGTACGGACAGCCAAGGATTCCAAATAGCCTGACTTATCGCGACGGAAGACCAGCTGACTCAATAATTCTCACCACCAACATCCCTGGTTGTTCGCTATGGACAGTTTTTTGGTGCACTCTTGCCGAAGCAGCAGCACATCCCATTGGAGTCCGTATGATATTAATGCACAATCGTTCTTAGCTGATAAGGTCAACTGCCCATCCATTCACTTAACAGTGCATCCTTCTCAAATGCGGCTTCCATCCGCAACAGCTCATCATACTGTAGCAGTACCTCAGGTCCTACGCGACCCTCTCACTGGTAAGCTACATGTCTACGGAAGAAAGAAGTACATCTGAGATGAAGAAGCCAGACGCATGCACCACATGGTCTACATGACCACTATTCATTATGTAATAGTGACCACGTGCCATATAAGGTGAGTCGTACACATGAAAGAAGCCATACTAAATTTTAAATACTGGAACCATCAAGTTCCCAAATCGGCCGGTTCGAGTCCTTCCTCTGTTCCTGCACAATCACTAGTATGATTGCTTGTCAAGCCAGGAACTCTGCTGACATGATCTTTGCACGCTCGCTCCCCTCTCACGCTTTATCTGTACGTTCGCTGGGCCTCAAAAGCTCTGCCACCAGCTCCCATATGAGCTTGCACCCTCGTTGAGGTCTAATACGTACTCGAGCTATGTCTGTTTCTGGAACTTTGTATTTGTACTTATCTTGCCCGTGTCGTATAAAATCAGATCTATTATCTATGTTCAGTTCGACAGTTGCACTCTATCGCTGGTTTGAGCTTTCTTTCCAGTCCTAATGACTTCCACAAGTTCGAATTCGCACTCGGGACACACTAGAGATGAAGCAATTCTTGCCGGCTTAGGATACAAGCAGGAGTTTCGGAGGCAGTTTACTCCACTAGAGGTGGGTCCTTATCAGAGCGTTGGGCAGCTTTGACAACGTTCTTGCACAGGTCTTTGGTGTTGCATTCAGCATCGTGGGGCTCCTTCCATCCATTGCGTATGATGCGTCATTCTACCGAGACGAATTGTTCACTGATACACCGTTGTTCAGGTCGGTACTCTTCAATGCCATGCCCAATGGTGGTCCTTCTGCGATGGTTTGGGGTGTAAGGCTTTACATATCAAGAGTCTTGGATGCTGTACTCATTCCGTTACACAGTGGGTGTTTGCCAGCGTTTTTATCATGTGTATCGGGTTGGCCATGGCGGAACTTGCGTCTGCAGCACCAACCTCAGGTGGAGTATGTCCTTTATCCTATCGCCGATATAGACCCGACCTCTCATAAATATCTAGCTTTATTACTGGACCCATTCGCTTGCTTCCCCTCGTTGCCGTAATTTTCTCTCATGGATAGTTGGATGTGAGTATCATCCTTCCTTCCAAACTCGTATCGCTAACACAAGGTATTATGCAGATGCAAATACAATCACGTCTATCGCAGGACTTGGTGAGGAACTCGATGTGCCACGAAAAAAATGTTTATTAAATTACAAAACTAGCCTCAGTAGATTGGGCGTGCGCGGTCCAAATCACAGCGGCAGTTAGCATCGCATCTAATCAAGTATATGTGACAACCAATGCGCAGATCTAGTGAGTTATCTATGTCTTGTCTAGGTGCCAGTTTCTCTTATCCGTCGCAGTGGTATATTTGCAGCGTTAGTTTTGTCCCATGCTGTCCTCGTGAGCCTCGGGACGCAAATCCTAGCAAGACTTCAAAGACTATACATCCTTCTGAACGTATGGTAGGTGTTGTATTTCCGCTTTATCCTAGTTCCTTCAAGTTCACTGCCCGAGGCAGCCTCTGCTTTGTGGTCATTATCGCGCTTCCCATCGCGACGCCATCAGAATTCAGAAACAGCGCTACCTATGCACTCGGGGACTTTACCAACTGTATGTAACGTCTATTATTGTCATCTCATCTGATCATTGTTCTCAGTTAACGGTTGGCCATCTGGATTTGCGTTCATATTGAGTTTATTGGCGCCTCTCTGGACGATAGGTTTGGCCTATCTTTGTCGCTCGCATTTTATTTGACAACGCAACAGGTGGTTATGATTCAAGCGTGCACATGAGTGAGGAGGCATCCAATGCGACTACCGCCATACCATGGGCCATTGTGAGCGAGACTAGAGATACTGTAGCTATAAGACTAATGTCAGCAGGTCGGCTCCATTGCGATATCTGCAGCCCTCGGCTGGGGTACGTGTCACGTTGCCAAATACATTGTTACGAATCTAACAGCTTCCAGGTATCAATGTCACCCTTGCATTTTGCATGGGTAGTGACCTCGAAGGTATCTTGAACAGTCCGATTGGTCAACCTATGGCGCAGATATTTTACAACTCCTTTGGGCAAAAAGGAGCGTTAGCCCTCTGGTCTCTCGTCATCGTGGCACAGTGTGTTCTCCTGACATTGGTCTTCCCATACTGCTCTAAAAGATGAACAGATATATGATGGGATCGAGCTGTCTGCTTGTCGGTTCCCGCCAGACGTTCGCGTTTGCTCGTGATGGTGGTCTACCGTTCTCCCGATACTTTTACCGAATCAATAGCTACACAAGAACGCCAGTCAATACCGTTTGGCTCGATGCTTTTCTCGCTCTTGCGATGGGTCTTCTGGCGTTTGCGAGTACACAGGCTATCAACGCGATCTTTACCCTCGGAGTGACCTCGTCATACGTATCTTACATCACACCGATCGTAACCCGTTTCGCATTCAAGAATGATTTCAAACCCGGTCCATTTAATCTCGGGAAATTTGTAGGTCAGAAAGCAATCGATGTGGTCTTGTACTTATCTCTCTTGCAGAGCTTTCCCGTCGCAGCAATCGCCGTGTTATGGATGGTCTTCATGAACATCGTTTTCTTTTTTCCCACGACCCCACAGACTAATGTGCAAGAGATGAACTATACAGTGGTCGTCCTAGGTGGTTTCATGGGCCTCGCTGTTTTCTGGTATTACTGCCCGGTATACGGAGGAGTACACTGGTTCAATGGACCTGTGTCAAATATAGCATCAGCTGACAAAGGGCGAGATGATGAATCGGCGTCAGAGAAGACGGGGAAAGAGCAAGGAGTAGATGTCTTGATCGTGGACGCATGAGTCTAGTTCTTGATATTATTCAATGATATTATCGAGCAGTATTGTAGTTGTTGTGACACGGATTTTCCCTGCTTTAGTTCCCAGTCGCTCGAAGTCTTCGAAAATACGTAGCGTTAGCTGCAGTAAACGCCCCATGGCTAACATGAACCTTCGAGGGATCATCCATCCATCTCAGAAATCATCAAGAACGCTCGAAACAGAGCTGGAACAACAAACGGACCCCTTCTCTCCGTCTCAATCTCATCGAGACCTCGCTCAGCTTGAAGGCGCTTATACCTTTCTCGCCGTATTTCGTTCTCTACCTCAGCGAGACGAACTTCAAGCTCTGCGTTATCATATTAAACCAAGGCTGGATGCAGCTCAGAACTAGTCACCTGAGAATTTTTGCGCTGGTCGAGATTCGAGGATGTGGCGGGGAGCATCTAAACGGCGCAATGAAGCTACAAGCTCGGTTTCGCGTGCTTGTAAGGCAGTCATTTCCCGCCGGGTATCCCAAAGATCGCGCGTGAGTCGGGATGTTGCATGATTATTGGAGGTTGATCGTGACTTCCCGCGCAGCGATGATGCTACGGTGGTCGAAACAATTCGGGGAGGTGGATCGGGGCACACTGGACGGTTAGGAAGAGATGGGTGCAGCTTGGCGAGATTAAGTGGCGTTCCTTGATTTGCCACATCTGAGCCGAGAGTGCTGGACAGCTGCGCAGGGGTTATTACGGGCTGTTGCTGATGGAGTGGGTTTACGGCTGTACCCTCCATCAGGGCTTTGGAAAAATTGGGGCCTGTGGGATCAGATACGTCCGAGAATTGGTTGGGACCTTCCGGTGTTTCCTGCTGCATATAGACACTGCTAAGACTTTGCTCTTGACACTCCCCAGGCTCCGGGCTTGCTGTATACTGCTCCCTCTTGTCACGATACTGGGGTTCGCAGCTTTCAGTAGTGTCAGCCATATGGCCGTGACGAGGATGCTGACGAGGGTTCTTCGGCAACTCGTGATTCTGGTATTGTATGCCGTAATTTGACAGCCTTGGGGCTCTCCGGGAGCCTGAGCTGTGAGAGCTTGTAGGCGCTTCATACGGTGCCAGTGAGCCCAGGGGAGAGCCTCGCGGATAAAGTGGTGAGCTCACCCATAGAGTTCTCAAGTGGGATTTGAAGGTTGGTAGCTGTTGAGGCCTAACTCAAAAAAGCTGTCAAGACCCAGTCAAAGTAGGTGACCTCTCGCACAACTTGGACACGTCAATTAACTTGGCCCTCTGACGCGTCAGAGTGATTCATTCACGTGACCGTGTCAACTTGCACAAATAGTCAGCGCTAGTCAGCCTACATAAGTCAGGTCATTTCGATATTTAATACGGAAAAATCTGTTCCACCAATCGCGTCGTTGCTCCATTAGCAGCGCACGCACCATCAAACTTCTTTTTGACAAGCGAAAATTATGGGCCTTTTGCTGATCAGGCTGAGCCTCATCAATCGATAACATTGCTGTAATAATACGTACCATAAACCATAACATGAATTCAAGATTAGCGTAGTATAAAAACACGCAAGGTACAGTGCATACTAAGTACACTCGTTACTAACTTGAAGCTCATAACGTGATGCTGGACCCTGCAGGTTGTTATTTCGTCACCCAACAAGGCTCCGCCCCTTCGGCCTGTTCTCGCAATTCTGTTCGGGATCAACTTCCAATGATCGCTTGCATTTGCTATAAAGTATGGGATTTTACCGACCTCTCTAACTTATCAAGCCATGCTTGCCATCGTTCTGCTGCTTGCTCTGCCGTTCTGCAACGCAGAGTCAGCATCCAGTTACGCAGGATCAACCGTCGTTGATTCTTATCCTCCCCCCGGTGCCACCAACACTGCTGTCGACACTTACTTCCCAGATGCATCTCAAGTCGGTTATGCAGGTCCAACGCCTAGTCAGTGTCATGAATCATAATAATGTTGATTCCTGTGTCCTAATAATAATAAAATCAGCTGGTGCTGAACCTGCGGCCATTGTCACTGCAGTCCCGTTCTCTAAGGTCGAAGGCGTATTTCCCTTGTCGAGGCCCAATTCGGCAGACGGCGCAGACACCACTTTCAATGTGATGCGTCACTGGGGCAACTTCGCACCCATGTACTCCGTGGAGTCATTTGGTCTTCCTGATGCATCCCCCGTCATCCCAGAAGGGTGTGGCCTCAATGCTGTACATCTCTTGATGCGCCACGGCGCCCGCTATCCAGCTCCCGATGAGCCTGGGCCTTCTCAGTTCGCTGCTGAAATTCATGCTGCTACATCGAAAAAAGCCTTGAGTGTCACTGGTGATTTAGAATTCTTGGCCACCTGGACATATAAGTTGGCCACGACTATCCTGACTCCTTTCGGCCGTGAATCGATGTACGTTCGTTCTCCTTTGCGATACCTCCACTAACACACCCCTTCATCAGGTTTAGCAATGGGGTTGCCTTCCGCTACAGATATGGCGAGTTGCTTAATGCGTTCACGGACCACCTCCCGGTATTCCGTACCACTTCTATAGATCGCATGGTGGATGCTGCGTGAGCAATTCATTCATATTTCTGCGTGCGCTGTGCTTAACAATGCTATTGGTAGCCTGACCTTTGCTGCGGGCTTTTTTGACGTCAGAACTTACAAGACCGACTATCACCAGGAGATCATCATCCAGGATAACAACTTCAACAACACCCTCGCTCCTTGTGAAGCGTGCCCCAATGCCAATTCGGAGGATATCGGTAACTTCGGTGACACTCAGTCTAGTAAATGGGCGGATATTTATCTCCAAGATGCTCGAAGGCGCTTGCAACCAATGATCAAAGGAGTTAATTTGACCATCCCACTATTGGTTAGCATGCAGGAACTGTGCGCCTTGGAGGTAACCTCATCCTTTATGTGGTCTTTATGGATTTCTGACTTCCTGTAGACCGTGGCCCTCGGATATTCCAAGTTTTGCGACCTTTTCACTGAGGAAGAATGGGAAGGATACGAGTATTACGCCGGTATGTTCCCTCGAATGATCCTTGCTGTCTGCCTTGCTGAGCTCGGCGGTGATATCTATTTGCAGACCTCGGTGAGCACATTGAGTGGTAAACTTGCAGCCTAAGTGACTAATGACTTGATTGTGAACAAAGATTTCTGGTACACCTGTGGACCAGGCAATCCAACAGGAGCAGCGCAGGGCCTTGGCTATGTTCAGGAACTAGTGTCGCGTCTCACCCACACTCCCATCAATGTCTGGAACAGCAGCACCAACGGCACTCTTGACTCGAGCAACATCACATTCCCTCTTGATCAACCTATATACGTGGATTTTACCCACGGCGTAGGCATTGCAAGTGGTATGTTGCCACTTCCTTTCCAATACAAGACTACTGACGGAAGGGCTCAGTCGTCACTGCTCTGAACTTTACTAGTCTAGCTGCAACTGGTCCTCTGCCAACCGACCACATACCCCCTCACCGTGTACGCAGTCTCATAGACCACCGCTTGTCTCTATTTCTGACCAGTCACATCAGTCTTACATTTCTAGCCAGATCGCACCTTTTTCCAGCCAGCTCGTGGCTCAGGTGCTGAGTTGCCCAGCTTCAGAGGAACCAACTCATATCCGGTTCCTTCTGAACGACGCTGTAGTGCCACTGACGGGCATTCATGGTTGCACGGAGGATTCAAACGGTCTCTGCGCGTTGCCCAGCTTCATCAGCGGGATGCATGAACGAATTGGGCAGATCGACTTTGCGCATGATTGCTTCGCCAATTATACCATGCCCAATCCCAACAACATTACCAATGGAAGATACCCCAGTTAAAAGGATGAGCGCTGAGCGCTAAGGGCTCGACTACCCATGAAACGAAAGAGTATGCAGAACGCCTTTATTACGTGGTAAGCTCTAGGCTTACATAGAAATGCCTTTTACGCAAAGACATCGAAATGTAGTAGAAAATCTATAGTCCATTATTGTAAGTATTTCCTTCGTAATATAATTGCTACCTGTGTCGACTTGCACTGGGCTTCCAATTTCAAGTGCTGTAGAAAAATCGCCAATAGCCGGGGAGTATGTGCACAAGGGCAAACCAGAGCTACAATCATGAGTCAGTAGATAGAATTTTCCGACTCGAGATCACTGACGCTATATAGTTTGCACGACTGTTTGTGCGCACTCGCGGTCCTATAAACCATGAATCTCGCCCCGACAATCGTTCCGTATGCCATGAACGCGAGAGAACAGACAAGATCTACCTTCCAAAGTGTGCTAAGGCAGAGTGACCAAAGTGGAATGCCAATCGTCATGGACATGCGTGCAAAGGTAGGGAACAAAGTGACAAGAGTGCGTCTTCCTGCCAATCGATCTCCCTCCTCATCTTTAAAATCTTGTGCATGAATCGTCGTTGCAAACATTACGAAGTTGAAGGCAGCTGCACGTGCCAAAATGTTATCAATGCTGGATCCTGGTTATTGAAATATAGATGTCAGTCAACAAAAAAGCTTGCTTATGACTTCTTCACGTACCAAGCACGATGGTTGTACCTAATTCAAGAATTGTATATGCGATGGCTGTCAATAGGTTCTTCGAAAGCCAAGTCTTATCCCCACCAAACTCATTATACCAGATGCTGAGGGCTTCTAGACAAGCGCTACAAGCAAGAGCCTTGATGCCATACATGGCAGAAAATATCAGGCAGACTGGCAGTAGCAGCCAGCGCACATCCGCCGCATTTTGGACATCTATACGACCAGAAGGGATAGGTCGATGAGGCTTGTTTTTCCGGTCCTCCTCTGGATCCAGCATCTGGTTATATATATCATGTTTCAGGAGGTGCAGCCATATCCATATGATGATGTCCGGAATGCGAGTTACATCGGGATGGGGAGCAGCTGCGAGGGTAGATAGAGTCTGATACACAAAGTGATGTCAAGGAATATACAAGCAACACGTAGGGGCACGCACGATTGGGATAAGAACTGTCAACACATCGGACTTTGTGAACAAGAATAATGTCATGATGTGCCTGCTGATACGGCGACCGCTATCCAGAGCTTGAGACAACATGCTGGTCTGATTGTTTGCTCATTATTGAGCCAGCAGCCCACGATTTTATAGCCCGACGTGCTGTAAAAAAAAACCAAATACTAACCGACATAAAAGTTCACCGGAATGCGTGTGGCAGTGGCGGTAACCCTGCAAACCGAATAGGCTACCCTTCTTTCGACTTCGGTCAAAGGTGACCTCAACTTCCGGGAAACACAAAAGTATTCCCGACCTTGTGCTGTTCACGGCATCAATGAACCTGTGAATAGATCTATTAAATGTTGGTATCTCAAGCAATATATCATTGAGTATCACAATCATCAACATACCACTTTCACATGGGATGATGGGAATGTTTTTGCATTGTTGAGGAAACACCGATCTGTGGCAAGCACACGGGCCTGGTAGCCAAATTAGCTCCGTCACCCGTGATCCTTTCAGGTGAATGGATCTAAGAAAGAATGCACAAGCACAGGTGCAGGAAGCCAAATATGGACCCAGCCTGAGACGGATGATGAAAGAGGTTGCATCATGTGCGGAAGTGAAAGGCAATTTGGTGATTAGTACTGTCGGGACTGCAAATGTTTATGCATTGTTACGATATGCATGTCAACGTTTCAACTGTACTTGTAACTTAACTTACATGTCGGGATCATCAAGAAGCGGTGACCACAGTCTCCGCAGTGACAGTGACTGTATAGTACGTGTAGGAGTCGCTTCGGTTTTGTCCGATCCGAACATTCATGTCGAATAACAAACCGGGATATTTCCTCCCTTGCACAGCTTTCTACATGTTTCTATGTAGATCGTTCCATTACCACCTGTATGCCGCACGCAAATCGTTTCTGGCTATGTAGCCGAAGCGAAATAACTTGGAGGTAACTTCGAATTTCGAAAGTGTATGAGTGATGAAGTGCCTTGAAGTGCTCGGCTCAAAACGTTCCTGAAAACATTGTATGTAGGTACATCTGGTGTAACGTAAGAACGTAATGATAGGACCTCGAAAACCTGCAATGCCGAATTTGCCTGACTTACCCGAGTAGTAGGACGGCGAAAACCTCTTGACCACGAACAAGACAACTTTCTGACGCTCGCCAGCGATGCTCCGTCTACACGAAAGGCGCCACCTAAACTTCAATCAACTCTTACTCAACCTACAGCTCAGGTTGTTCATTACCCATCTCTTTGCTTGTCCAGAATACCCACCATGCTCCTCCGAGTCTAGCTCCTAAGTCAAGTTTCATCAGTGCATGCGGCAGGGTGTGCCGTCCACCGACCAAACTCCACTCATCCATCACCTTCGCTGCCCTCGTCCTTCTCCAGTGATTGAAAGTATGTTTTTGGCGCCCACTCGCTCGTACGGCCACCATCGTCGTTCTCCACTAAAGCCTTCCTTCCCTCCGCCAAATCCATCCTACATTATCTCTCCAACAACACTGGACATGCTTATTCAGCATCAATATCTCCGGCCTCAACCACATCTCCTCAGGTATGGAGAACTTAGAATTGTACTGCTCGTATCTTATCGGTATCATTAATGCATCATCACCAGATATCACAAAACACGAGCCTGCACCAGTACCACCGCGATCATGATTCTCTGTCACACCTGCGAGCTCGCTTTCCAGCCAAAATAATGATTAATCTCCTACAGATTTGAACCTTCTCGCACTCGTGAACGGCAAATTGAACAGCAATGATGGCTTTGACATGTCCGTCTTGGGATCCTTTGTCGAAGATGGACAAGCTTAGAACATAGAGACGTGTCTTTCTAATTTGTTTGGAAATAAATTTTTCGTATGTCTCCATAATGTTCAGTGTTTGCTATATTCAAATTCACTTGCATTTTTCTTGAATCACCTTCCACGTTATGTCGTTTACTAAGTAGAATGAGGCTAAATGAACGATCTAACATTTTCCTGGTGAATGGGCGACAGCAAGTGGTGGGAGATCCTTCAGAGGTCACGTTCTGGCTTGAGGGGTGCCCGTGGGGTTTCGAGGCAGCGCCAGGCTTTGTGTGGTTGGTACATCATGATCGAGTCTCAAAAAATGTTACATTAAGCACACTCAATGGTACACTTGGCAAGGCACAGGCTTCATAGGTGGACAGGAAGTACATAGAAAAAACGTAAGGTGGTAATAAACAGAATCTCTTGTCTAGAGAAGTGCCTTTACCCAAAAACTTCGAGATGCGGTAAAAAAATACAACCTACAATTACAAGCATTCCTTCGTAATATAATACATTGCACTGAGCTTCCCATTTCAAGTGCTGTTGAAAAATCGCCAATAGCCAGGGAGTATGTGCACGAGGGTATACCATAGCTACAGGAAATTCGGAATGAGTCAGTGAGTAGAATTTTCTGACTCGAGATCACTGACGCTGTATAGTTTGCACGATTGTTTGTGGGCATCTGCGGTCCTATAAACCACGAATCTCGCCCCAACAATCGTTCCGTACGCTATGAATGCGATAGAAGAGACGAGATCTACCTTCCAAAGTCTGCTGAGGAAGAGTGACCAAAGGGGGATGCCAATCATCATAGACACACGTGCAAAGGCAGGGAACAAGGTGACAAGAGTGCGTCTTCCTGCCAATCGATCTCCCTCCTCATCTTTGAAATCTTGTGCGTGAATCGTCGTTGCAAACACTACAGAGCTGAAGGCGACTGCATGTACCCAAATGTTATCAATGCTAGACCCTGGTTATTAAAATATAAACGCCAGTCAGCGAAAAAGCTTGCTTATGTCCTCTGGCACGGCCCACGTACCAATCACGGCCGTTGCGCCCAGTTCAATAGTCGCATATGCGAAAGTTGTCAATAAATTCTTCGAAAGACCAGTCTCATCGCCGCCAAACTCATTGTACCAGATACTGAGGGCTTCTAGGCAAGCGCTACAAGCAAGAGCCTTGATGCCATACATGGCAGAAAATATCAGGCAGACTGGCAGTAGCAGCCAGCGCACATCTGCCGCATTTTGGGCAGTGATAAGACCGGCAGGGAGAGGGCGATAAGGCTTGTTTTTGCGGTCCTCCTCTGGATCCTGGATCTGGTTACATATGTCATGTTTCAGGAGGTGCAGCCATATCCATATGATGATGTCCGGAACGCGAGTTACATTTGGATGGGGAGCAGCTGCGAGGGTAGATAGAGTCTGACCAATGTCAGGGAATATACAAGCAACATGTAGGGGCACGCACGATTGGGATAAGAACTGTCAACACATCGGACTTCGTGAACAAGAATAATGTCATGATGTGCCGGATGATACGACGACCACTCTCTAGGGCTTGAGACAGCATGGTCTGATTGTTTGCTCATTTTTGAGCCGGCAGCCAACACTTATATAGCCCGACGTGCTGCTAAAGACTTGAAGTTACCAAATAACTAGCATGAAAACTCACCGAAATACGCATGGCAGTGGCAGTGACCATACAAGCCAAATAGGTCACCCTCAGGCCGCCAGGCTTGCTTCCGCGAGATACAAAAGCATTCCCGACCTTGTGCAGTTCACGTAAGTATCCAAGCATGTCACGAGCAGAATACTGCACCCCAAGTAAGGTACTAGCTAGTATAAAGCTAATGGCCAGAGTCGTTCATCTCCATTTTCAAAAATCGGTGCAGAGTAGTTCTTCATAAGAACCGCAAAGGATGTTTTTCCGCCAAAAAGTGAAATTACAATCCAGGGGCTTCACAGAATACAGAATTATAGTGTTTTCAATAAACGCTCACTGGACACGTTGAACTCAATTGGTAAATTTGTATGTATTTGCTTGGCGTAACTTGCACGCTGTGGCGTTGGAGCGATATGGGCTCGAAGACAACGACACCGATCGGCGAAGAATGTTCTCGGTCGAATGATAGGGTAAAAGTCAAAACACGCTGCACGAAGTTTTATCAATCGCACGTCATGCACTAAGCCTTGTTGGGGCAATCATACTGCATGTATTCTGAGCTGATAGTGAGCTTCATTCTTAGATCCTGTGACATCCCAATCATTAGTCAATCTCGGGCACAAGGCTCCCAATTGGAGTGTAGCTCCGACTTCATTGGTAGATATTGCACAGATACACTACATGAATTCCCCATCTTCCCTGCGGGATTTTTGCTGTATCCACGTGAACTATGTCGTCCATGAGGCTTTTTGACGGCAGACATGAACTTTGTCTCTACAAGGTATGGTATAGCTGACAAGGCCAATCTTACCAATATCTCCCAGTGGAATAGGCTCGGACACGTGGTGGACGATAGGTTACAGTTCAATTCGCCGACTGATCTGAAGCCCATCATCACTCTTTTACCAGGCCAAGGTCGGCCCATGCTACTCGAGTCTCAGTCTGCAAGCAAGGGAATTGTGTCGAGAGAGTGACACGGTTTGACAGGTATGCCTGTAATGCTAGATCAAACCGTAACCTGTCGTCCACTATACGGACAGATTTTGTTGTCTTGTTATCCGCATATCAGGTGAATACAATCCTCGCGAAAAAAAATCACCACCAAACCTCACTCATTTATCAGTTCCTGCTATTCTCTTGAACGATGCAGTGCACTGAGGCGACAGAATTACAGACTGAGGCGCACCAGCTCCTCATTGCCATGGAGCTTTCTAGGGAAATCGTCTAATTGTCTCGTGAGTCTCGCTCATCAGAAAGGTGTGTGTGAATAGGCGTTATAATTACAGTACGCGATAGGCCAGTTCTTCAGAGGGTAACATGCCCAATATGCCACTAAGATGGTACGGATTCTTCAGGAGAGCTAGCAGCAGCTACCTGAGTTGTTGGGAACACTGGCAAGTATAGGATCTGACTCTCCGCGCACCGCTCTATATGGTCTTGCGGCTGATGAGGAAACCATTCTCCTAAGCATCATGAGCCTCACGTACTCCCGAAACCCTTGACATCCAGAAATGGCACGATCGTCACCCTCCCAGTCAACAAGTCAGCTCTGAAACAACGTGAGGCAGCGAACATTATGCGACTCCCCGTGCTACAAAGACCTCCATGGCATCGACGCATGACATTTCATACTTGGTATATACTTGTACGTTTTGTCTACCATATCACCCCAACGAACATAAAACACGCTCAATGTTTGAAGAGAACAACTAGATATGATCAATACCTGAGACATGAAACACCCTATAGAAATATGATAAGAGACGGCGGGGCGACCTTTCATGAATGTTATCTCCAGTGCGTGTGTCTCCAGTCTCATCATCATGCACTTAGTTTAGCATCTTGCTCAATGAGTTCGAGGGCAATTGCAGAACGAGGCTTGATAGAACACTTGAAGGGTTTAGGGTGGCTGGGAGCGTGTATATTCAGACCGGCGTCGGGCGTGACAAAATATGCGACATACCTGGATGTACCTGATGATGGATCGACTTCAGGTGTAATCTCAACGCCATGCTCGACAACCTTTGAAATGTCAAACACGGCCAGTGACATTACAGTAGATATCCAGATGAAGGCATCGGCGAGGTGGAGACCTGTCGATGTCCAATGAAAAGTTAGTGGCCCAAATACCTGTTTGTCGATTGATGCGAGTCGGGCACACCTGGACAAATACTGTGGAGCAGAAAGTTAGCATTCCGCTCAAAACCCACACTATACCTACCGTCTACCGAATCCGAAGCAGGCTGTGCGAGGCTCCGTCTCGGGTTTCTTTCCATCCTTAGCCAAGAAGCGTTCAGGATTGAATTGTGAGGGGTTAGCATATGTCCGTGGATCGTTGAGCATGAACCTGTCACAATTAAGAACATTATATTCTGTTCATCATTCGAAGAGGAGAACTAACCAAATGTTAGGTAAGACTATGGAGCCTTTTGGAATATAGTACCCGTCATGGATATCGTCTTCAGTTACACGGTGGGGGAAACCTGTCATCAAGATACCCATCATCAAATAGTAGTGTCATAAATGAGATCTCAATACCTGTAGGAGCGACAACGTGCCAACGAAGGATTTCTTTGACAAGGGCGTCAGTATAGGGGAGAGAGTCGCGGTCAGCAAAGGTGGGAAAACGGTCAGGACCGACAACTGCATCTATTTCAGCCTGAGCTTTCTTCTGCACATCAGGGAAAAGTGTCATAGCTAGAAAAAGCGAGTATATTGCAGAAACAGTCTGAGGAAATAGGTTAGGTGCTCTCAAAAGATGTTATCGGGAGGGACGAACCGTGTCAGTACCGCTGGCGCATAGGGACAAAGCAGACCATTTCACGACATGTTCCTCTTCCGCAGACACATCACTGCCTTCCAAGAGGTTCGAGGTAAAAGACACGGGGGCGATGCCAGCAACCTGTAAAATTTGAACTTTAATGCATGATTTCAAACCTGAAAAACTGTAAATTGATCACCATCTGGTCCTTGACGAACTTGTGGGGTGCAGAGACCATCTCTTCGAGGGTCCCGCGCCATTCATGTGCTATGCGCTTGAAGCCAGCACCGGGGAACCACGCGGGGACCTTTGCCACTAAGATTGTCAGGTCATCAAAAGCCAGCGCAAACGTCAGAATAATATAGCTCACAGAATGGTAAAATATCGACCATAAAGGCACCAGGAGCCGATCCCTGCGAGGCTTGGGTTGTAACGCGATTTGCAAGGTTGACGAAGGGATCATTGTTCTTTTGAACTTCATAACCATGAGAGATGCGCAGAATGACAGCGCCAACGGTGCTATAGTAAAAATTAGGGATAACATCACTACAAGAATAAATAATACATACCGTCGGACATGTTCCTGCAGTTGGTCGGGTTTCGCAAGCACACGCTTCAGGAATCGATGAGTCTCGACCTCCTTGATCACGTTGTATATGTCCACTGCGGCGCAGGTACCCATGACTTTATGGAAGTGTCTGCGGAACATGCGGAAACGATCACCATAAGGCTGTAAAGGCAAAGAGGTCTTCCAGCCAACGAGTTCGCCGGTCATAGGAATAACAGGACGGTCAGAGTAAACAGTACTTTTACTGTCCATCATATCCATTGCAGTCTTGACAGAGTTTAGCACAATGATGTGCTGACCCAGAATCTCGATATGCGTGATATCACCTGCAGAAAAGACTTTTGAGAATGCATGATTTCGGAAAAAAGGGAGGTACTCACCATATTTCTGACCCCACTCAGTGAATGTGACCCAGGGCTTGATGCGAGGCATATCTAAAATATTGCCAATGAGAGGCCACCTCCGGGGACCAGGTGGATAAGGTGCAGGATTCTTTTTGATGACTACCTGCTTTACCAGATAGACTCCGGCTGTAACACCGGTAAGGCATAGTAGGTCCAGCCAAGTAATATTGGTGATTGTCAACATGGTCTCCTGCTGGTGAAGGATGAGCGACTCAAGAACAGGAATGTAGAGCAAATTGATTGCTAGATAAGAACAAGAGCCCGGGGGAAATTAAAATATCCAATATTAACTGGACGAACTTCTCGATACGTAAGTACCGAGGCCAAACCTCTATCATAGCGAGAGGCTGCGACTCTCTCATACATACTTGTACGTCTTGTCTACCATATGTGGGGTATCGCCCCAACGAACATAAAGAAGCTAAGACAACGCTCAGTGTTTGAAGAGAACAACTAGATATTATCAATACCTAAGAAACGAAACATCCTAGAGAAATATAATAAGAGACGGCTGTAAGGTTTGAAATTTGAAATTTGAACATCCTCTGCTCGAAGCTGTCCACGTGACTCGCCGCATCACTCTTCGTATCCGAGCCATGCCGCTTTCCACTTTCTTTCATTTAAACTTACCTTGTGCTCTCAACGCCACTCCCTTCTGCGTCCGTTTTCTCATAATCGTTCGGTCTAGCTTATACCCGAGGACCCTTACCATTTCGCGTTTATAGACAGTCCATGTACTCTCATAACTAAAGAAGAATCTCATGCGCTGATTCCCCACTTCAGAACACGTCCGAACACTCTCAAAGTCCCTTTCCGTTGTCACTCTGCCGTCTAACTGTACCTCTCTCAAGTCCATCATTAGTTCACTTTCCCCTCTCGTACTCGATACCAGCCTTACACGGCGGAACGACAAGACCAAGAACCATACCTCAGTGTTTGGAGATAACGACTGAGGTATGAGGAAACGAAACGATGCATATCAAGTATGCAAGCCCACGCGATAAGTAGAAAAAGGAAAAGTGGTATGAAATGATGACGACGATCCTATATCTAACAACCTGTCCTCTTATAAATGTTATCACCAGTGCGTGTCTCCAGTCTCATCATCGTGGACTTAGTAGTTAGCATCTTGCTCAATAAGCTCGAGGGCAATTGCGGAGCGAGGCTTGATAGAACACTTGAAGGGCTTAGGGTGGCTGGGAGTGTGTATATTCAAACTAGCGCGGAACGCCGTGACAAAATATGCGACATACCTGGATGAAGCTGTGGATGGATCGACTGCAGGTGTGATCTCAACGCCATGCTCGACGACCTTTGAAATATCAAACGCAGCCAGTGACATTGCAGTAAATATCCAAATGAAGGCATCGGCGAGGTGGAGGGCTGTCAATGTTCAATGAAACGTTAGCAGCTCAGATATTTGTCTGTCGATTGACGCGAGTCTAACACACCTGGGCAAATACTATGGAGCAAGAAGTTAACATCCACGCTCAAAACCTGCTATATCCTTACCGTCTACCGAATCCGAAGCAGGCCGTGCGAGAGTCCATCTCAGGTTCCTTTCCATCCTTAGCTAAGAAGCGTTCAGGATTGAATTGCGAGGGGTTAACATATGTCCGTGGATCATTGAGCATGAACCTGTCGCAACTCAGAACATTTTATTCTGTTCATCATTCGAAGGGGAGGACTAACCAAATGTTAAGCAAGATTATGGAGCCTTTTGGAATATAGTACCCGTCATGGATATCATCTTTAGTCACACAGTGAGGGAGACCTGTCATTGAGATACCCGTGATCAAATAGTGGTGTCATCAACGAGATCTCAATACCTGCAGGAGAGACAACGTGCCAGCGGAGGATTTCTTTGACAAGGGCATTAGTATAGGGGAGGGAGTCGCGGTCGGCAAAGGTGGGAAAACGGTCAGGACCGACAACTGCATCTATTTCAGCCTGAGCTTTCCTCTGCACATCAGGAAAAGTGTCATAGCTAAAAAAAGCGAGTATAATGCAGCAATAGTCTGAGGAAATAGGTTAGGTGCTCTCAAAAGATGTTATAGGGAAGCACAAACCTGTATCGGTACCACCGGTGATTAGGGAAAAGGCAGACCACTTCACACCGTGATCCTCTTCCGCAGACACATCACTGCCTTCCAAGAGAGTCGAGGTAAAAGACACAGGGGCGATGCCAGGCAACCTGGAAGATTTGAACTACAATACATGATCGCAAAACTGTCAATTGGTCACCATTTGGTCCTTGACGAACTTGTGGGGTGCAGAGACCATCTCTTCAAGGTTCTCACGCCCTTTACGTGCCATGCGCTTGAAGCCAGCACCGGGGAACCAGGCGGGGACCTTTGCCACTAAGATTTCCAGGTCATCAGAAGCCAGCGCAAACGTCAGAATAATATAGCTCACAAAATGGCAAGATGTCAATCATAACGGCACTGGGAGCTGCGGCCTGCGAGGCATGGGTTGTAACGCGGTTTGCAAGGTCAATGAAAGGATCATTGTTCTCTTGCACTTCATAACCATGAGAGATGCGCAGAATGACAGTGCCAACAGTACTATAGTAAAATTTAAGATGGTATCACTGCGAGGATAAATAATACATACTGTCGAATATGCTCCTGCAGTTGGTCGGGTTTTGCGAGCACACGCTTCAGAAACCGGCGAATTTCAACCTCCTCGCTCATATTGTATACTTCCACTGCGGCACGAGTTCCAATGACCTGATGGAAGTTCCTACGCTGCAGGCGAAAACGGTCACCATAAGCCATGAAAGGCAAAGCGTTCTTCCAGCCAACAAGTTCGCCAAGTATAGGAAGAACAGGACGGTCAGAGTACACAATGCTTTTACTGTCCATCGTTTCCATTGCAACCTTGACAGAGTTCAGCACAATGATGTGCCGACCCAGAATCTTGATATGCGTGATATCACCTGCAGAAAATGTTTTTGAAAATGCGTGACTTCGGAAAAAGGAAGGCACTCACCATACTTCTGACCCCACTCAGTAAATGTGAGCCAGGGCTTGACGCGAGGCATGTCTAGAATATTGCCAATGAGAGGCCACCCTTGGGGACCAGGTGGATAAGGTGCAGGATTCTTCTTGATGACCACCTGCCTTACCAGATAGACTCCGGCTGTAACACCAGTAAGGCATAGTAGGTCTAGCCAAGTAACGTTGGTGGTTGTCAACATGGTCTACTACTTGCAAAGGATCGAGCAACTCAAGAACGGGGATGTCACGAGCGAATTGATTGCTAGATAAGAACAAAAGGTGACGTACTTAATCAAGTTGCTTATTTGTACATGCTGTTTTGTCATCTCCGGCGGTTGGACCAGATACCGACTGCAAGGGAAACCCGAGGCCAAACCTCTATAGCGAGAGGCTGCAACTCTCTCATATAGGATCGAGGACAACCACAACTTCGCAGATTACGAACCTACCGCTGCTCTAGGACCCCTGGCACTTCCGAGGTCTTACCAGTGTTCGGCCCACTTGGCACCATACGAGTATAACTAAGTCAACTTACGTTGATACATTGATGTAATTCTCAACTCTTGCTTGGAGACTTCGGCTCGTTCAAAGTCACGGTTGTCCTTGCAGTTCTGCAACTCGTAGCGTACTAGTATGGCTACAAGGACTACTGCAGCCTCCAAGTTACACTTACAACCAAACGTGGACGACTCCGAGGAGATTCTTGCCAAGTTGGGATACAAGCAGGAGTTTCACAGGGCATTCACTCCACTAGAGGTAGGCTTGCCAATGACTCAAACACACGCGTAATCAAACCCATTGTACAGGTGTTTGGAGTTGCATTCAGCTATATAGGGCTACTCCCTTCTATAGCGTAAGCTACCGCTCCGACACACTGAGCATAGCTTGTTTACTGATAAAGCTACTCAGATCGGTGCTCTTCTATGCCGTCCCAAATGGCGGGCCTCTCGCGATGGTCTGGGGGGTAAGTGTTGATATTCATATGCGAAGAGTACTCTCTCATAAAGTTTCATACTCTTCCTCTGCGCAGTGGGCGATCGCCAGTGGTTTTATCATGTGCATTGGACTAGCAATGGCAGAACTCGCGTCAGCGGCGCCTACTTCCGGTGGTGTATGTCCTAGACTGTCGTCGTCACAGACTTGACTCAACAAAGTTTAGCTATATTATTGGACTTACTCACTTGCCTCTCCACGGCGTCGCAATTTTTTGGCATGGATAGTTGGCTGTAAGTCCCATGTTTGAGTTTGATGTGATATACAACCCGTGCTGACCTCCGCAGATTCAAATACCATACAGTCCATCACAGCAGTCGGTAACAAGTTCTCTTCATTCCTTCAAACGACCTGTTTCTGATATCATGGGGCTAGCTTCTGTGGACTGGGCTTGCGCAATTCAGATCACTGCAGCAGTCGGTATCGCTTCTGACCAGGCGTATGCAACGACCAACGAGCAGCTCTAGTGAGCCCGTCCTCTTCCCGACATCACACCCTTTATGATTGTCTGTCACCAGCGGCATATATGCAGCGTTGGTGTTATCACATGCCATCCTCGTTAGCCTTGGTACCAAATTCTTGGCAAGACTGCAGAGATTATACATCTTGTTGAATGTGTGGTGAGTATTATGCATTCCTCTCTAATCGTTTTTCGAACATTCCTGGAGCCTCTGCTTCATAGTCATCATTGTGCTCCCGATCGCAACGCCATCGCAATACCGAAACAGCGCGAGTTTTGCGCTAGGGAGCTTTACAACTTGTATGTATTATGTACCAGTTAAAATCGCGGCTCACGATCAGTTGTAGTGGACGGCTGGCCATCAGTGTTTGCATTCATTTTGAGCTTAATGGCTCCTCTGTATACAATAGGTTAGAACATCTTATTCTGAGTTGTCTATTCGCGTTCTCAACCCACCAGGGGGTTATGATTCTAGCGTGCATATGAGCGAGGAAGCCTCAAATGCCGCTACCGCGATACCATGGGCAATTGTAAGTAACACTAGAAAATGAGCGATTATCCAGCTTACCCTAGTTAGATTAGTTCCATTGCCATGTCAGCCATCCTTGGCTGGGGTATGTGGAATGATATACAACATCGCTATAATCTTGAGGTCATTTTCTTATCTAGGAGTCAACGTCTCTCTTGCCTTTTGCATGGGCACTGACCTCAACGCCATCCTAACTAGTCCCATAGGCCAGCCCATGGCGCAGATCTTGTATAATTCACTCGGAAAGAGTGGAGCCTTAGCTCTCTGGTGTTTCGTTATTTTAGCGCAGTACGGTTTGTCGACATGCAGTACGTCCATAGACTAATCGCAGAGCAGGTACATGATGGGGTCCAGCTGTCTCCTGGTCGGCTCTCGCCAGACCTTTGCATTTGCTCGCGATGGAGCCCTCCCATTTTCACAGTATCTATACCAGATCAATGGCTATACAAGAACACCAGTTAATACAGTCTGGTTTGACGCTGCCCTTGCTCTCGCAATCGGACTTTTGGCGTTTGCAGGCACTCAGGCTATCGATGCGGTATTCACAATTGCTGTCACCGCATCATATGTCTCTTACATAACGCCAATCGCGACTCGCTTTGTGTTCAAGAACGATTTCAAACCTGGCCCATTTAATCTTGGGAGACTGGTCAGTCGAGCTGTAGTAATATCGCGGTATTCCTGCTGATTTCCTCCTGCAGAGTTTTCCTATCGCTACGATCGCTGTATCGTGGATGGTCTTCATGATCATCATTTTCTTCTTCCCTTCCACCGCGCAAATAAATGCCCAGGCGATGAACTATACAGTCGTTGTCCTGGGAGGATACATGTCGCTTTCTGTTTTCTGGTATTACTGCCCAGTATATGGTGGTGTGCACTGGTTCAACGGACCTAAATCCAACTTCGCACCTGCTATCAAAGGTGGAGATGAGGATTCGGTGTGTGCGAGGAAGGAAAATCGTGATACAGATCTTTCTGGATCAGCAGTAGATTCATAAGTCGTATTCGCGTGCCGTCATTAAGCACCAGCTGGTATATATACTACAGTAACTATAATTCAACACAAGATGTGCAGTGGATTCCAAATTTCATACGAATGATCATCCCATATTTCAAGCCGATTGCTCATTAGAGGCTCGTGCAATCTTCTCCGACTCCGTTGCCTCCGCGTTCCTATAGCCATCGGTGTTCTTAGCAGCCTTGTGGAGTAACAGTCCGCTGAGTGTTGCGAAAAGGACTGCGAACCATGGAAGGATCGCACATAGTCGCACTTTGTACATTTCGTTTAGCACGGAGATCGAATACTATAACTGGGTTAAAATACGCACGGTAGCTCTGCTTACTATATTCAGGTGAGACACCGATACTTTGCTCGAACTGCTGAATGTCGCTTTGAGGTAATGCAACACCGCCCACAGTTGCTGTGATTTTGGTTGATCCAGTGGCGAAGAGAACATCACACGCGATAACAGTAGCCAAAAGCCACAGGGCGCCAAACAATATGAGAAAGGCTTGGAGGCGCAAAAGGCGCTGTTTTCTCCCGATTGATGAAATTTGGGAGAAAGTTGAGACGAGGGAGAGGATTGTCAAAAGTGCGCAGACTGCCGCCATGACAGCGCAAACCGAGTAGATGTCTCGAGAGGAGCGTCAAATAAGCCCATTGCGTGTCTCACAAGCACCTTACCATGATAGTTAATATCCACAATGGCGCCATCAGGGGCCACGCTCCTAATGTATGAGCTTTCTTGGTCGGACCTTCATTGGGACTCTTCAATTCAGTCCTTGTGGAAGTTACAGTCTTCACTCACTTCACTAGAGCATTGATCACAACCGAGAACCCCACAACCGAGAACGCAAATGTCAGAAAGAGCGAGACGAGGAGTAAAATTTTGGCCATGGTCATATGGTATGAGAGAGTGGCGTGGTAGTGGCTACAGTGCGGTGCAGTTACGAACAAGTTACGAATGTATCATAAAAGCAGGAATGTTATATCACCTCTGAAAGATCTGAACTATGTAGATCCGCTCCTTGGGCGCAATGAAAAGTCACGCTAAATATCATCGTGACTTGGCACTAGTCCCAAAAACTATCATGTGTTGTTTGCCTTTTGTAAATATCAGAACGCAGATACCCATTACAGTAAAAAAATAAGATCCGATCATCACTCAGACATGACCGCTCGCTTCTAGTTAAGGGAGATAATGATGATGATGCATGTGCTTATCCAGATCCTATACTGGCGTTGAGAACTTACTTAATCGGTTTAGAGAACTGAACCTACCTCTCTACAGTCAAAGGACTGCTGGCATTGGTCGATTATGTCGGCGCCAATTTTCCATTTGCAGGGATACAGCCCACACTCGTCCTCGTCGGCTTCCCCCGGGCTGACGTCAACTCCTAAAGCGTCCACCTGGCTCAAGGAGCTGGAGTCTGGATCCGATAGACCGTTTAGTTCTAGGATTTCACCTGGTTCAAGCTCGGTGTATGACAATTTCACCAGATGGAAATCGGGCATCTGATCGTGCTCTCGCGCTTCGGAGTGTTTCAGATCCTGAATCTTGTCGTGCTCCACGGAAGACTTTTGATGATTACGTCCAAGCTTGATGAGGTCACCACGTAAGGAGTCAACCTGACATTCCAGTTGCCGGCATCGTTCTACAAGCTCAGGGTGTTCGGCAGCACGCCGTCTGACAAGATCATCTGTTCGCCGATCTTTCTCCTGAAGAAGGGCGGAAACTCCCCTCCATCGATCGACGTCTTCTTTCAGCGCCTTTATCTGACTCTGTATCACAACGTTGTCAAGAGATGAACCAAATACAATAAGATAAATTACCTCGAACATGTGTTTGATCAGAGTAACTCCATCGCGTGCCTGACCTTCTGCAATCTTAGCCTTCAGCTCCAAGTCAACATTCTCTGCTCTAGTGAGGTTCACGAAACTAGAAGCCTGCGTGTATTGATCACGGAAAAAGTCGCGGTCCTTTTCAGCCAGAGCCTTAGAGCGAGTCAGGGCGTCCAAAGAAGAATTTGATCTCGTCACGTCTGCAACAAGTGCCTCGTGCGTCTCGATCATGGAGGCGCGCTCTGCAGACCACTTTTCGCGCTCGGATTCCCAAAGTTCCTTGCTACCTACCCATTCAGCACGATCGGCTTCCCATTTGGTACTTTGTAGTTCCATAGCTTCTCGATGAGCGTCCCACAAAGCACGTTCTCGGGCACTTGCTGTTTGTTGTTGTGCCCAATTCTCCCGTTCTGATACCCATGCAGCACGCTCCGCCGTGATAACTGTTTGTTCTTGTTCCCATTGAGCTCGCGCCGCTTTAAATGTGCCGCAAGTCTCCGTCAACGACTTGATCTGAGCAGCAAGACGATCACGTTCCTCCACCCATCCGGTCCGCTCACCAAGCATTTCGGCCACTTGGAGATCCAATTTCTTGCGTTCATTCTCCCATAGCTCACGTTCTCGCCGGAAAGTCGCCTGGTCCGCATCCCAAGCGGCTCTAAGCTCGTCAACCGGGCGCGCGTTGGTTTCAAAGCGATCTCGCTCAGCGGTGAGCCTCACGATATCCTCTTCCAAATTACGGCGCCCCGCCTCCCAAACTTCGCGCTCTTGGTTCCACTTGACCCTCATGTCGGCAAGCTCGGAAACGGCTGAATTGGTGTGCATTGCGCCTACGGGCTGAGCATTTGATGCGATTCCTTCCCGAGTAGTCGCGCTTGGGGACTGCCAGGCTGCCTTTGCCTCGGCTTCGAGTTTTGAAGTTTTCTCGCGCTCAAGTGCCAATGCAACTTGCAAAGCTTGAATCTCGTCAGACTTCTTGTGGAGGGTGGACAGTGCTTGATTGAGCCGTCTTACAGTCACGTCGCTCTGCGCAAAAAGGTAAAGGGGTTGGTTAGTCTATCGGTAAAGTTGGGCTGCAATGCAATACGTACATCATGCTGCAGTACACTACGTGTTGGTGAACTGTTCAAGTTAATATCTGACGTATCAAAATCTTCATCATCCCTGCCCTGCCGCTGACCCTGACTTGGGTTGGCGATCATACTGGCAACTTGTAAGTCATCTACATGTGTTGAAGGCTGATTCGATTCGGCGTTACTTCCCCCTGGCTCGGCAGGTATAGGAGACGGCTAAATGAAATGAGGTGGGAGCCAACAAAATATATTAGCGACAAACCTGAACACCATCATTATCATTGCCCGTCTCTGGATTGTCGATGGCTACCTCCTGTCGTCGCGATTCAAATTTTAAATTTTCCACAACATCTACCTTTGGCACCACAAGCGCTGGATTACCACTGAACAAGGCCTCCTGCGTACATTCCTCGTCCTCCTCACGAAGAAGGATACGCTGAGCCTCTTTGTCTTGGGGCCCACTTTGTGTGAAAGTGTCGATAGTCGTGCTATTTCCTCCGCTGAGGTCAACATACGCATCCTCCATCTGCTGAACGATTTCGAAGTCTCCTTCGTGAGCTCCCTTGTTAGACGCGAATGGGTGAGCGTCTGGTCTCGACTGTTTGCCGTTGTTTGTCATAGCCAGAGGCACATGTAATCGCGCAAGGTCATTGATAGTTTTCTTAGGTGGTTTATCGGCAACTTGGAAAAGCTCCTTCTGACGCAAAGCCTGCTCATACAGTGCTTTCCCTCTAGCTTTCAGTGCAGCATCTGTGACACCAGGAACAAGCTCATCGTCGCTTGAATATTCGTCAGGACCAGAGTATCGTCGCTTTCCCTTATCTTTCCGCGGAGATGAGAAGCTTTCAATGGAGCTCATCGGAGGCTCGTTATCATGTTCTGTAGTGAGCGATTCAACCTTCTTACGAAAGGTTTTGGGAGAGATACGTGGAATTGGCTTTGTGGGTGGTTTCCGCGGTCGAAGTGGCACTTCACTGCTTGAAGCGACGGTAGGCAAGGCTGATGCTGTCTGGGCCTTCCTTGAAGTAGATCTTGGGAGAGAAGGTTGTTTGGGTGACGGCGGCTGATCGGTGTGCTTCCCATTCATCATGTGGTTGGGAAGTGAAGGCTGGGACTGCGAAGACTCTGTCTCTGGGACAATCCCTGAAAACGGTGAATCGCCAGTAGGTTTCTCGTAACCTGTCGCAGTAGCAGTCGTGGGTGGAGGCGTTACAAACTTAAGAGGCGGATTAAGAGGTGTGTCGTAAGGATCTGCAGTACCATAGTCTGCATTCTCGCCCATATTTGCATAAGGATCTCCGTCACCTTTATCCGAAACGATGCCCATCATGCGGTCAAATATCTCTAGACGAGCTAGGGCGGCAGGAGACAATGATGGTTGACGTGGCAAAATTGGAGGGGGAGAGACTGAAGATGACTTTCTGGAATGGAGTATCGCGGGAGTAGGAATGCGTGATCCGACTGAGGATTGAGTCACGACATGTTTGGCTGCAGTCTCTTGTGGTACAATATTTGAGGTTGTCTTCTTATTAGCGAAGCGAGCTATGGGTGGCTTTTTCGAATTGGGTATCAATTCGGCTTCCTCTGTAGATGACAACTCGATAACATCGTTCTTCAAAAAAGACTGCCCATTTCGACTTGGGCCACTGGATTGTTCAGGTTTTTGAGTGGTTGTGACGCGACGATGATCAGTGACAGATGAGGGGACGTTGTCTTTGGGCTTGGGCACGGCGCGTTTTCTAGGTGGACCAACTCTGGTGACTGAAATTCCATCGCCTACTCCGCTTGATGCAACGACATTATCATCGGCATCTGACTCGATAAATTGACTGTGGTTAGCGGGGGCGCGTTGTGTAGCCTTGCGCTTCAACTTCGTGCTGGTTTGTTCACCAGTGACGAGTTTCTTCTTCTTCCTTGGATGCTCCGACTCTGAAGGATCCGCCGAGTCGCTTGAACGTGATAGGTCCTTTGCCATATCTGCAAGTTTACGCTTTGAAGACGAGACCTGTGCTTTTGATGTTGATGCTTGAGCACGAGGAGGTTCATCATAGTCTGTTAAAATAGGGACACTTTCTTCCCCAAGAGAGCGTGATTTTCGGGAAGTAGAAGTCGTAGAAACCTTCGAAAACGTCGAGGCGCGTGAAGCAGTTTTCTGGCCACCTGATAGAAGGAATGATACGTGTCAAACTTATTGCTGTTACAATGGCACTTACCCGTCTTGCTCGATTGACGTTTCTTCACGGCCTTTTTCCTCTTCCACTCTTCTACAAGGTGATCTGTACAGTCATGCTTGGGTACCCAGTCTAACGGCCACGGCCTCCCCGTCTTTGGATCATTGCCTGCCCACCTAACCCGATATTTCTTACCCCGCTCGGCAACGATTTCTATGACTTCCCATAGAGCATCGTCATCGTTAGATCGAGGCTCAAATTGCGTCTCGAACTCTGACAACTCTCCCGCAGGAGGTTCCCCTTCAGTAGACATGATTCAAGCAAGATACAAAACCATCAAAAATTGTTGAAAAGGGTGACCAAGGGGGTGACACTAGGAAAGTAACTAACGATTACATAATCAGCACTTGTGATAGGCTGGGGTGGCCAGAATTTCAATATTCATTAAACTAATTGATGCGATTTGAGTGCGATCCTTAAAGTAAGTACTCAAGCTTCAAGTTACACTATCCCTCATCTTTCGGGTAAGGATTATCATCTCTAGTTCAAGTCCGACAATCGATGTTACAATTGACATTAAGTAGGAATGGTCCACATATATGTCAATCCAGAAGCATAACCAGCGCAAAGGCGTTCACTAGGAGAAGCAACCTTTGTCAGCAAGCTTTCTTAAGATTAGAGTGAATTGTCCGCATACCCGATGAACTTGAGCGCAGTAACAGATCCTAAAGCAACATCAGATACCCCCTCTCCAGAACTCATCCGACGAACTTCAACAAACTCCCATTGCGCTTGCATTCCGGCTGGAGTCCCGTCTGCGTTCCATGTCCATAGCGTGATTGAACCATCGTCGTGACCTGTGGCAAGGATATCCAAATGCGAATATTCGCGTTCATGGAACGCCAGAGAAGTAATCAGCGCGCGCACAGTGTCGAGTTTGGCAATTGGTCTCGCGTTGATTGTGTGCAACATTAAGCGGGAAACGGAACAAGTAGCGATGTATCCCGTAGACTCGTTGATGGCAGATAGATACACTTCTGCTCTCAGGCTTTCATTGCCGTGCCAAATTGAATGCCGGTAAGACCCTCTGTTCAGGTCCCAAACAATGGCACTCCCGTCCTCGCTGCCACTAACAATAACGGACCATGTACGCGATGTTGCAATACACGCCACACGTTCAGTGTGTCCTCTGAGGATATGCGTCATCGACAGCGTTGAAGATGCATGCCTGCGAGACCGCCCCGAAGCTCCCACAAAACCCGAAGGCGCCACTTGACCTTGGTTGACACGCCAAACACGCACAATATTGTCACCAGAACCCGTTACTAGAGTGTCCTGGTCCGCGAAGGCAGCACATGTGGGTGCCACCTGCTCAATGACTTGGGTAACCTGAGAGGACTACATTAGCTGAGACCATCGTCAACAAAATTTTTGAGTACTTTTCCGTGGGATACCAACCGCAGTGAGTGATCACTCGCGTTCCAATCCCATTCGATTTGTTCATGACTAATCGAAGGAAGGCCAATCGCTCCAAGAGGCAACGGACGGATACCGCTATATTTCGCATCAAACAGGTCGACGGAAATATTTGACACAGCACTATCGAGCACGACTGCGTCAAATAGTTAAAAGCTTGAAACGAACGAAGCAAAACACTGGGACACTTGCCTTTGAAAGGCATGGAATCTCTTGCTAACAAAAGTGCGTCCTCAGGGACACCACGGGCTATCGTGACAGGGAGACTCAGGAACCCTTCAAGATTTCGTGGTGGATGTGGTGAGGTGAAGAGCTTCTTGGGAGTCTGCCCGACTGCATTGCTATTAGTTGACTGTTTCAGGTGACTGGGACAAGGGCTGTCGCACAATTGTGGATGATTCCAACAGTAGCTTGTCGCTCAAGATCGTTGGTAATCTTGTCCAGATCTGTACATGCCCATCAACGAAAAGTAAATTCCGACAGAGAAACCTACCAATTGCGCCTTCGTAACTGAGAGGGTGAAAAACGTTTACCGAATCCACGTCTCGTTGCTTGCATCCCCATATGAGATCTATCCAAGCGGGAAGGTTCTTGCTGACGTAATGGCCCTCAAGAACCTGTTTACGCACCAGAATAAAATCAGTTAATCAAAACAATCTTCCATTGTAAAACTTACACGGCGATGCATTACGATGAACAGGAGCGGGTCTCCTTTCGCCCACGCAGGCAGTTTAACATTGTGAATCCGTTCTCCGGTAGTTTGAGAGATACCGAAGTCGAGATTTGATGAATTCTCGAGGAATCTGAACGTAGTAATCATTATCAATTTGAACGGGACAGGGTAATCGGAGGACTTACTCCGGACAAGTAAAGAATTCGGGTATCAATTCACGCACATCCCCTCGGATGTCATGCGATGCTGAGGAATATGTTCTCCTGATATCACTGAAGTATAAATCGTTACACATTACCCCACATCCTGGTTCCAACTGAAGACTGACGCAAAAAGCCTGTCAGGCAAATCCCAGTTTCCTCCCTGAGGGGATAAATAGATGTTTTTTCGCACCAAAAAGGAACATACCTGTAGCGTCTTGAACATATTGGTAAACGGCTGCATGCGAATATTGAAGTGGCAAACGATCATCGATCTGTACTCGGTGTCAAGAAAAAAATATGGGCAAATAGAATAAACTTGCGAGCTGAAGTGTGTTCCGTAGTGGAATGGCTCTTCGTCAACACTGCTCAGGTTAGTATAGCGAGTTTCCGCAGCCTCACGACGCTCAGCCGTCAACGCTCCCATAGGCTTAGTGAGACTGAATTATTATGTTAATTGGAGTCTACGATTTGAGTATACGAACTCACTCTCTAAACACATCAGTAGATGAAAGATCTAGCACCTCCGAAACATAATCATTCAGAACCCAAGCTAAAACTCGCCGTGAGTTTGCTTGTGAATAAGGAGGTAAAAACCACTGACGAAAAACGGGGTATTGAGTTGCATCGTTTGGGGTACGTCCCGACAGTTGATTGAGAATACTCAAATAACCAAACTGGTTCAAAGTGAGTGTTGAAATAAGAGATGTAAACATCACACACATTGCTTAGCTCTCTGTTCTGCCACTGTTGTTGCGCCAATTGGAGTTCTTTTTCTACTGCGCTAGTGGATGATCTACTTCTCAAAAGCGATTTGGGTGTAATAGATCTAGGTGTTGAACTGAGGTCGGATGTCCTCATTTTCAAAGCTATCGACAAAAGCATCTGGGAAGCCACTAGGCGACGTGACTTATCAAGGAAAATAACCAGCAGTGTGCGGCTATCTTTGAAGAAGATCTCGAACCTGACGACCGGGTTAGTAAAGTGACATGCAGTGAGTGACGCATCTTACCCTACATCCTGGAAAAGGAACATCCTGTCAGAGAAACCTGAAACTTGCTCTAATGACCTGTCATAGAAGATATTCAGTATGACAAAAGATAGAATAGAAAACTGTTCTCTATACCATCGTTGAGCCCGCTGCGAGTTCCGAACGTCCACGGCACTTCCGGATATAAGGAACCATCCTTCCGGCGCATCACCTGCATCAATAACTTCGCCTTCACTATTCTCTACGAGGCCTTCTAACATGTACAGGTGGGTACGCCCGAAGATCAACATGCCAACTAGGAATCAACGATTGAGAATGCCAGCGAGCAAGTCAGCAGTTGGACCGCTTACGAAAGGAATCGACGCCGGATACTCGGCAGACAGTGCTAACAGCCTCAATGACATCGCCAGGTTCGAGTTGATGCCTCACTCTCCTGAGTTTGTCCTCAGTTACCTCTTCAGCGAGCTGATGATCGCCTGGAAACAATGTTAGTCAAAATTGATAAAGCATTGAAAGTAAACAACAACCGTCTTCGCCTGTATAAGATGGAACAACCACGGTATTCGGAGAAGTAAGTTCTGACTGGGACAACGACAGCAACTCTGAATCAAAAGCTGACGAAGCTTCCTCATGACTAGTAGACCTCGAGTCCTGCACAAACATTTCCAGGAGGCTCTCCATCTTTGTCCTGGCTGATATCATTGTTTTGCCTCCAACAGCGAAAACTCACTGACCTAACTCTGTGCGGTCCTTCGGTCTCGTCCAATCTCGACACGCGTTTCCGAGCTAAATGGGGCCAAATATCGCGTTCGGTCGTCGATACAGATACATTTTCTTCAAAAGATGCGACTCTACGTCGCTTTTCCTGCCTATAACAACAGTCAGTACATCTCAAGGTTGCTGGAGCATGGACAATTAAGCACAAGTCTAATAGTGTCTGTCTGAAGCGTTTGCGCTCTGAAACAAGAATCGTCTGCCGCCATTCTTCAAGACGCGCAGACGCTTTACAGACTGTGTCTGCTTGAGCAAGCCCGAGTCGTGACCCAGAAGTGTCTACAGGCTCAGTTCGCCCTTTTGGCTGAGCGTCCGGGCGAACGATATCAAGAATCTGTGCATATAGTCTGAGACGACTTGTCATATGACAACGGGGTAGAATACCTGTTGTTTTTGAGACGTAGATATGTGCTTGCCCATCGCAAGAAGTAATCCGAAGTGCGTTAGTTTGACGGATATTTTGGCATCCAGCACCCTGGGAGGCTGTCTTATTGGGGAGAATATATTGAGGCCATCAACAAGTAGCTGGACAGTGCTTTGGGACCTGAAGACGCGGCGGAATGATGAACTCGACTCGTGCAGCTTTGTTAAGTCATCGAGAATCCAGATGATTGCATCTTTTGAAGGAGCTGCACGAAGAGTGAATTGAATATCAAGACATTAAACGGATGGCCCACCTTCATCGGATTCTGCATTATTGTTCTCGATTGACAGTCCTTGATACAACGCAAAGAGAAACACAGACACCATTTGAGGGGATCCTGAGTCATCGCTGAATCGGTCTCCAGAGCGCCCAGGCAGGATATCTAAAGCTGCATCATGTACACTGCGATCCCAGACTGGAGGTAACACAGTCTTGAGAATGCCCCAACCACTGGCCAACTCGAAGTTTTTGCCAGATGATACCGAGGCTTTTAGGCTGAGGCCAAGCATGCCAAGCACTTGGCAAGCAGTGTGTACGGAAGGATGGTCGCCAAGTAACAGTAAACAGATCCGTGGCATAGGGAGCGTACCAGCAAGCTTAGAGTGAAGCGAAGGAATGCGCATAATGGAAACAAGACCTTCAAGGACTTGCTCGGCTTTATCCCTGGTACTAGAACGTAGCAAGTCTCCACGGGATGTTGTTGATCGAGGTGACGATGAGAACGATGATCGGGACTCTGGGAAACATCTAATTGGACGAAAGGGGTTTGAAGATGAGATAACTCACCTTCAGCAAGGGTGGCAGCTACGTATGAAACGATTGGTTTGATCGCTTCTTCCGCTGTAAATGATGATTGTGCAACAAGCACCAATGTGTTGACGACAAGTGGTATAGATTCTTGCGGGTACCAGACTGACTGAATGGCGAATAATAACTTGCGTACGATGCCTAGTTTCGACAATCGCATCTTGATGGTGAACTGTCTATATCGGCTGGCACGCAACAAGAAGGCGAAATGTTCGAGATGAGCCCGTTGGATGTCGGCACTGGTTTTTGACCACAGCTCAAAGTCAAGTGCCACGGCTTTGTATGCGATGGTGTTGACGACAGTGGATAAACTGATAGAGGGTCAGTGCCTTGCATGTTAAGATATAAGGCAGGCATACTCTGGAGAACGGAAATTTAGACCAAGGAATTCAAACAAGGTTTCAAAGCTAGTCGTGTTTATGAGATGACTTCGAGCTCTCAGCGTGCTTGCAAGAACATCATAACCATCTATACGAAAATCAAGTACAAGCAAGATCTCGCATATTCTGTACTCACGTAACCTTTCCATGTCATCAGAGTTTTGCCAGCTGTTGCGAAGACAGTCAGAGAAAACGCTCAATGCTCTGGAAAGTTCATGCGGCGTTTGAGCAAGTGCTACTAGTCGCAGCAATGAAGCCGCCCCGCCAATCCTCCACACGGCAAGGTCCAACGACTGACAGCATACTGGAAACACATCGCCTCGAGTAATTTGGTCCTTTTTATTGTGCGGTTGAGGGACGACACGAAATATAATCGATGAATCGCTAATAATCGAATCCCCACGAATGGCCTTCTTGAGTTGCGAATTCTCAGGTAGCAATGCGCCTTGAGCTGTAATATGCATGTTGAGCGAAGTCGACGCTTCGTACGTCAGGAACCTGATGAGAGTCTGATCTTGGAATGACCCAGAATATCGGGGGCCCAGGTGGTGTATAAATCTCGGCAAGTCGTCATCTACATGTATTGAAGTGATCAGAGCCATTTGCTAATAGAAAATGCTTACCGAGCGCGACCGAAAGCAAGTAGGCAGAAGCCACGCACCAGCTAGATTCAACTGCGGTAACATCATCACCTACCATGAAAGTCGCAGGCGACGTCTCATCGAATTTTGGATATGCCCATTGCAACGAGTCACTTGGAACACCATCAATGAACAAGCCTGAAACACGGCGGGGTCAAAAGAATACAAGAGTGTATCCAAAGCACGTACAGACGGAAGGATGCGATGATCTATGGTTATGATGCACAAGGGTGACGTGTGTCCATCGAGAAGCCGCCAGTTTCGACTTCGGAAGCACTTCAACTTTTTGAACGACGCGTGATCGGAAGGCTAATGCCCCGTTGCTACCGACAGAGAGCGCCACGGCATCGTTTGACCCAAAGGATATGCTGAACAATTTGTGTGGCTCCGAAGGCATCCTTTCGAGCCAAATCCAGGCCTGCCCACGATTTAGACGCGATCGCAACCTTGCAAATCAAATAACCTACCATGAATGTGAACCCATGAGCAGGGAAAGTCTTCATTTCAGTGGACGACATAGCTAGCGCAGAACGGCCATCAAGAGAGAAGTGTTGGGGCCACCTCGACTTCGCACTTGAGCGCAGAAGTTCGAGCATGTCTGCATCTACAGTTCCATCTTGCTTCGCAGTACACTGCAGCAAATCTCTCGAGTCTTGGGTACTAGCACCCATTTCAAAAAGACGCCGAAGAATTTTTGCTAGGATTCGGTGCTCCTTATCGTCATCTTTGGCGCTGCTCATATTAGTCTTCCACGATTTGAAAAGATGCGGCAAGATATTTTGCATGCTTAGGACGGCGAGGTTTCTATGCGTGCTATGCGTCAGATGTTCTAGAAGCCGGTAAACGATGAGCCTCAAGGCGCGATCCGTGTTCATTTTTTGCAGAATAAAGCTCCAAAGAACATTGAATGCTCCAGGGAGTCTGATACTGGCTAGACCAGGTGCAAATTCCAGGAAGTGGATGTGCATCGCTTCGATCTCAGGCACTTTTGTTCGTAACGAGCTGAAAAATTCCACGAGGAAGAAATCACCAAATGAAAGAGCTAACAAGCACCCGAGCGTCACGTCCGCTGTCACCGCATTAGAGACCAGCAGGTCCGCAGCATCAGAAAGCGAAGAGTAACCAATGAATTCCTTGGTTCTCGAGGTCACGATGGTATTAACATCAGGCGCAAAGAAACGCACCTCAAAGAACTCAAGGTTCACTGCATGTCCCTTCAAAGCCTCAGAGGCCAACGTGAAAACCGACTTGATACAAGCCACGGCATCACGCGTCGATTGGGATCCTCGTCGTCCGATCGTGGTTGACAGTGTAGAGAGCACGTGAACCAGCAAGAGAAATCCATCTGAATCGCGAAACGCGTCCTTCGTTGCGGGTACTTCGCGAACAAGAGTAGCAATCCGTTGCAGGAGCTACAGGATGCAATTATGGGTATCTCATGACCACTGAACATACAACGACACGGGGCTCACAGTTGTCTTCGCGACTACTGCCTCTGTTACTTTCAAGTCCTCTACCATATCTCGCATGGTTTGTTTGGCTACACGTTCACCACTGTTGCTGGTATCTGGGGCACCGCCACCAATGATGTTAATTGCAGGCGAAGTAGGCGCGAGGTCTTCATGCCTTTGCCATGGTGCAAGAAGTGACCGAAACATCCCGACAGGATATGTGCTCGATTAGATTCAAGTCCCAATCAGTTAGGACGCGACCCAGAGAATAACGATTGGGGTATGTTGAATAGTGTTGAAGTACGTACATGCGAAAGACGACCTGGCTGGGAAAGTGAGCTATTACATCATGATCATGATCGCGCGTATAAATTCCGACCGAATATTTCTGATAAGTATGTCAGACCTATCAATATCTCTGAACATACTGATTCACGATCTACAGTGATCCTATTTCTTTCGCAAGTCTAAGTACATAATCGGCAAGTTCATCTGAATATCAAGCGGTATCGTACACTACAGAGTCATCACACTCTCTAATTCCTCCTCGCGTTGATGATATCGACGAACTCTGGCTTCAATGAAGCTCCTCCGACAAGGAAACCATCTACGTCGAGTTGAGTAGCTGAAAAAGAGAGTCAGTATATTCTTGTTTGTCTTTTTCCGTGGACGTACAAAGTTCTTTGCAGTTTGCAGCAGTAACACTGCCTCCATAGATAATCCTGGTGTTCTCTGCTACAGCGGTGGACACTTTATGAGAGAGGAACGTGCGGATATCCAGATGAGCCTCCTGAGCTTGAGCGGATGTGGCAACTTTGCCTGTGCCAATCGCCCACACAGGTTCGTATGCGATCACAACAGTACTGGAACGTTGTCAATCAGCACGGCATGGCACAGCACAACTATTCAAGTTCGCACCTCCAGTCACTCTCCTGCAGCACATCGACGACGGCCTGCAACTGCTTCTGAACGACTTCTGCAGTCTGCCCTGCTTCACGCTCCGGAAGGGTTTCACCGACGCAAAGGATGACTTTCAACTTCGCATTTAAAGCAGCCTTAGTCTTCTGGGCAATGAACTCAGACGTTTCATGGAAGAGGGTCCTGCGTTCAGAGTGGCCTAAAATAATTCAGCCGACATCCATGGAAGTTTAAAAATCACTCACCCAGAATCACATACGGGATACTGGCGTCGACGAGTTGCGCAGGACTAATGTTGAAAGAAAGTTCAAGATTGAGCCAACTCAGGCTTTCTATTGACTCGCCTTATTTCACCAGTGAATGCTCCTGAATCTTTGTAGTAGCAGTTTTGAGCAGAGACCTGTATTTCCGATCGCACCGTGTCTTTGAGTGGGATGAGATAAAGCGACGGAGGCGCGATGACGATCTCTGCATCAATCTCTGTGAGCTGAAGGTCTCATAGATGCAAGAAAAATACGCGCCAGTCGTACTGTCCAAATCGGCAGAGTTGAGGACACCGATGATAGATTCCTTTTGACCCCGCGAGACGGGGTTCATCTTGAAATTTCCACCTACAAAGAATTGACGAGGCATATGAGGTATATGGTGGAAGAGAGAAGAATTGGATTCAAAGACGGCGTCAAGCAGAGGAAAGCAGTGGACAGCGGCGTTGGCAAGCGTTCAGGCTCAAGTTGAGTACTAGTCCATATCTAATCGTCCGATGTCGCGCTAAATCGGATTACAACGAGATCATACGAGGATAATCAATAAATTTCAAACGTGGGTCGCGGCCCAGGGTACGTGATCCAGACGTAAATCTGACGCAATTCGTACGAGATTTGGCCAGAATCAATTCAGTTTGTGCCTGATTATGCTAACTATTAGGCAATAATTTATTTGGTCCCTGATTCCAGCCGCAGCCTAAGTGAAAAAGAGACCTCCATCCACAGAAACCTGTGTCGAGAATCGAGATTATCAAAAGGTTTGACGGGATTCCAAGTGCACTTACGCTCTGCCCTATATAACATCAGGTATCCAATAAGCCCCGATGTCCCACTGACTGGGAATTGAAACTCACCGGTTATAAAGTGCGCCTCCTTCGACACGAGGTAGGAGACGATACTTGCGATATCTTCTGGAGTACCCTCGTACCCAACTGTTGTCTGCACCTGATGCGAAAAAACATGGGAATGTATAACTCTGCACAATCAACTCGCGTCTTACTCGTTGAATCGAACCAGGATCAAGTCCCTGTTCAATTGTCCATCGTTCTCTTTGTTCTCTCAAAGTCTGCACTGAAGGTTGGTTCAGACATCGTTCGGACTACATGAACACTTTAATGCGCACGCATTTCTGTCTGGATGGGCCCTGGAGCATAACAGTTCACGGTGATACCGTGAGGACCAAGCTCCATAGCTGCGGAGGATCAAGGGAATCGGTTATCCGTCACTCGTTCCATGTTTATCACCATCTCACCTGCAGCCTGAGTGAGCCCTCTCACAGCAAATTTGCTGCTGCTATACACAATAAAATCCTTGGCACCTTTGTATCACAGGTAAGTTAGAATACTATTTGAACAGGCAATTAAACCATTGTACTTTTCTTCCCGAGTATTGATGATGCGCCTATAATCCTTCCGCCCCGTCCTTGCTCGATCATCTGCCGGGCGGCATGCTTATAACAGAGGAGCGTCCCTCGGACATTCACCGAAAAAGTGGCGTCGAAACTTTCTACGTTGGCTGGGTACAGGTATAACTGCGGTGGACGTTAGTGCCACATAATGGCCACTTACCGTCCAAGACGTTGCCAAATGTGATTATCCCGGCATTAGCTATCATCTGCCCGATATTAGCTGATGCTATCAGAAGTGTGTTAAGGAAGACTTGCTACATCAACGCCCCCTAGAACCCGAACAGTGGTTGCGATCATCTCTTTGACCTCATCTTCCACCGATACATCTGCTGGAATAACGATCGCTCGTCGTCCCTTACCATTAATGTCACTGGCTACCACATCCAATTCTGTGCTCTTGGTCGCAATGTCATTCAGAGCGATATCAAAGCCATCGTCAGCAAGGCGAAGTGCGATGGCACGGCCAATTCCCCGGCTGGCTCCTGTGACAATAGCAGTGCCTTTAGGTTGCGACATGGAAGAGAGGAATTTCAATATTAGTGAGAGTGTGGGCAAGTCTCGAACGCGCTTGATCAATACTGAGCCGCAGACTCTAAATACCCCAACTTCTGACTTATCCGGATGTAGCCTTTTAATTTTGCCAGAAGTTCGGAAAAGGTTTTTGCGCCCCATAGTATTTGCAAGAAGTAAGAATACATTGACGGAGACATTACATGTTACGTGAGCAAGAGATAGGCTCAATGAAGCTATGAACTCAAGGCGCTAGCTACATATTGAGGCTATCCAATGTGGCTCGATAGGAACTTGTCGATGTTTAGTGTTCATAATCGTTATCTGGATTCTGGTCAAGCTTTGCAATTGCGCCACACTCGCCGATATCATCCCTTTCCTCGAGACAGGATTGTTGCCAGACCCGAGTTTCCAGAGTCCTTCCTTGAAGCCTCGGCTTGTTTTGTCTGGGACGCACGCACACCATTCTTTGACTTGCAAACCAGAAACGAAACTGGAGCAGCCCAAATCTAGTAAACTGAGCACGAGCAAATTGACGGTCCTGCGACGCAATGCAAGGGTATCGCGGCAGAGGAAAGTGGTGAAGTCGATGTTTGAAGTGCGAATATACCCTTGAAGGCGCGCATACGCAAGGTTGGTGAGAGCCGTCGCGTGGTCGGGATGGCTGACCGGACACTGGTCCAGAATCAACTGAAAATGCTCTACAGGATCGTTCAGGTGGGACTTTCTTGCTCGCCACGTATTTGGCAAATTGTGCGTGGCCTGCATCCGTGTGTCAAGCGACTTCGCAGTCTATGAGGGACCGCAGTTAGTTATTCATCAGCAAAAGCTCACAGGGCAGAGTCCGGATTCACTCACATCAAACAGTGCGCTGTTTTGATGGTCGCAAGCATGTATAACGGAAACCACGAGTGTGATGTAAGGTTGAACACCACGCACGGGTTGGAAGGATATATTTACGAGATGTTAGTATATGTGCATGAACAAGAAGCGAGTCACTCACCGAATGGCTCATCCCACGACATTTGAAGATACCTCTCTACTGCTTAGCATTCGACTAAGCTCACAGAATGCCCTGATCTCCACTGACAACGCAGATGAGACATGTGGTGAACTGTAAACCAAAGATCAGTTCTCATATCACGTCAGGAGTCTCAATGACTTTACAGACTTATAGTATTTCCCCAATGCTACAAATTCATTGGATGATAAGACACCAATGGCCGATGGCCAATTTCCGGCGTCTCAGAGAGTCGACATTGATGAATATGTAGATGCCATCTTCCGTTAATAGAGTGTGAGGATCGTGAAACAGATACGAAGGTAATATGGAAGGACTCGCCTTCAAGTCTGATATATCGGCATTCTAAGCCACCAAACATGGTAGTGCGATGGACGAGGATGGGCTTATTGGGATAGGAAGACTCAAAGAATATGGGAACTGTAGATGGAGTTTGGCTGAGGTTTCAAGGCATGTTGCGCATGTATTTCCATATGGTCGAGAACTGTCCGGTACGATAAACGCTGGTATGATTGCACCGAGCACTGGGAAGATCACCGACCAGGATTAGGGAGGAGTCCGTGCTAACCGGATGATCGAGAGCGGACGGTTTGCGACACGTTGCGACACGAGAAGCTGCATGCGCAGCAGTGAATGACAATAATATTAATGAGTGTGATGAGAAATGATTGCGACTTGGAGAGACAAAACGCTTTGAGATCGGTACCTGGTGCTTATATAATGTCCGCGGGAGAGCAGCGCTGTACGTCCAAAGACTCCGACAAACAAGATTTCAACATTAACGTTCAACCACCTTGCACACTGGCTGTGTCCGATCCCAAGCCGAGCCAGCTCGTTGAAATCAACAAGCAAGATTTTTGATAGCATCTTCTGACGTTGTTCTGACGGGCAACTACTAGTTTCGAGTTTGGGTATTATCTATTACAACCGTGCATCCACTGCCACCACGTTATGCTGCGTTCTGTCTCCTATTTCCTCACTACTATGGTGACCTCTGCGTCATACACGGCGTTATCGGTCATCAGTAGATATTCGAATAGAAAAAGGAATTCTTGGCGATACGACGGATTCACCAGAAACCAGTGATATTCATGTAAACAGTGGGTTCGGCGTAACCTGTACACAATCTTTTTGGTAATTTGGTAGACAAAACTTCCTTGACAGATGCGCAGGTCAGGTCTTCATAGCCATAATGAACGAGATGGGCCTTCATATTGTCATTTCAGCCGCATCGACTGCCACTATCCTCGTTGGAAGTCACCGAACAAGTCCCGGTAACACTGCCCTCTGGATCTCGTGAGCAGAAGCTCGACAGTGCGCACTAAAGTATAAAGGCAGAGATACCTGTCTCTAGTAAGTTACCCCAATTTATTTACATACATAGTCGACACAACTAATCAAATGCGCTTGCACAAAGGCTCTCAGGCAGGTAAGCGCAATGACTGGATTACGGATTTATGGGTGTCTCATTCAATACTTGTCCATAGCTCTGTTACTACTACTGGTGCACGCTGCCAGAACAGTCGTTGCGGCAACCAACTTCTCTCAGTGTTTAATCAGCATCATTCAGAATCCAAATACTACCCTCGATGATTTATTCAACAGTACCGGATATCCCGTGTCGGATGTTTCTGATGCAACAGCGATCAGCTACTCGTTGTGTAAATCCGAATGCGGAACTGGACAAGAAGCTTTTCAGTGGTCTGAATTTTCGCAAGAATTCAGTGCATGGCTGCTGCCAAATATTGCACTGATTTCGCAGCTCCCCTTTGGCGCACAGTACAGGCTTGATAATCTCATGTCTGTTGTGTTAACTGTTGGTTCGCCGACACTTGCTGGTTACTCTCTATTCGTCACCCTCCTCAACTCTCGCTGGATTACCTACCAGTTTGACTCGCTGAACTATCATCCCAATTCACATTTCGCGCTCTCCATCTTGAGCAGCCTTCAGCAAGTCCCTCTCAGACTGCATCCTGATCACGAACGCTTGCCATCTCTCATCCTTCCGGAAAATAACTGGTGGAAGTGTCTCGCTGAATTTGTGGACTACACCCATACCTGGTCAATCGCGTCCGCAACCTCCATTGCATGGGTCATCATCGCCTATATCCTGACTGTTGCCAACTCACCATCGAATAGTGCAGACTTCCAATCCAACGGACAGGCGACTGGCTCATTGTGGTTGTGGCTGATTCCGATAGTCGTCGGATGGCTGCAGCTCTCCCCAAAATGCGACTTCAGTCGCTTACAAGCTGCGTATGACCGTGCAGACAGACACAGTATGCACACAGGAACAGCAGACGTCCGTGTCGGGATGCTTCCTGCGTCATCCCGGAGAGCGTTGGCAATCACTGCTAAAGAGGATGATGTGATGTCTCCAGACGAACTCCTCACCCCTCCGGTGTTCAATTACTCGCGTTCACTGCGATGGGCATCTACAGCAGAGACTATCTTCATGGTATTCAAACAGGACTCAGAGGCATCAGAGAAGGCCTATAGCTATTCTCCCGTGTGCGGGAGTGATGGGGACGAATCTGGCATTCATAACCCTACTGAAAACATCGAGACCATCCAATACATCGACACTACCCAAAGCATTCACGATAGGAACCGACGCGAATCCCTCCAGCACATTGCAGTGTATTGCGCGGAACCTAATGGGGTGCAGATTGTACGCAGCCATTGGGCACCTGGTGTGTTCACAAGAATGTTTATCGCTTCCTGCGCTTCGCTGGGATTACAATGGGGAACAGTCGGAGCAGCACTTCTGGTGGCGTGGTTCACTCCTACAACAGTGGGTCTTCCTGTATACTTGTGATCAAGTTGGCTAACGTCTGACAGAAAATTGGGTGTCGCTTTATGGGCTATCTCCTTTACGGAGCCATTTCGACTTTAATTTGGATGATGCTCCTGGTATCCAGTATTCTCGCCCACTATTCCGCCGCTGGCCGCCGCCGAGTATCGCTATCTGCACGTGTTGCCATAGCATCTTCACACATCCTGCGGTGGACGGGCAAATTGCTTGCCATAGTAAACTTTTTCCTGGTGATCTTGGCGTGCGTATTCCAGTACTCCAACTTTTACGATAGGTGTTTCTGCAATTCCAGCGTGTTTAGCAGGGGAGGCGCAGCGTATGATGTGATTATTGAAACCACAGCCAATAATGGTGCCTGGATCGGTGCTCTTGTCTTAGCATGCGCATCAGCATCGGCTTTCCTTGGTATCCTGAATCTTTTGTTGGACACTCTACCAGAGTAGGCAATTGGGAGGAGTACCTTATTTATGCTGAAAGACTATTTGGACTTATTGGAGGTACAACGTCGTCATTGCCTTCGTCGTGTCTCCTTTGGCATCCCGGACTTTTTATTGTACCTTATATTCTCGCTGTTTGTGACTACACCTCGGCGGTTCTTCTTCAACACGCTGAGGTATGTATCGCGTCCTATCTATGTTTCGATTCTCTCTTCCTATATTTCTCTGTGGACTCGTCTATTAGGTACCGTGAATGTTTAGCGGTTCTTCTTCAACACGCTGAGACTCGTCTCTTGGTCACTTTCCTACAGTACTCAGGCTAGTAGCACTGTGTATGTACGAACAGGACATTCGACTTTTTGAAATCAATGTTATCATGATGCCCCAGCCCGGCCTTCCGGAACTGCAACATCAGCCAGGTGTGCCCGCACAAGGGGGAATGTGAAGGCAAAGAGCATGACATTGAAAATGAGAAGGGCAATCCACCCATCTTCAGAAGTCGAGCCAATAAGTAATACTTTAATATCACATGCTACGTGAGCAAGAGATACACTTAACGAAGCTATGAACTCACCGGGAATCACTGTAGATAGTGGTTCCAGTGAAATTCATTGGGCAAAATCATAAGATAATGGTCTAAAACTCAGAGCATTATCATATACTGAAATCAGGGTGCTGATAGTTCCGTTTTTCACTCTGAAATTTCAGTTGAAGTTGCGGTGAAATTTCACTCTGAAAGCCCACTCTCACGAGTCTAAAATATCACAACGAAACAAACAAATTTGTATGCTACAAGAAGTTCTATCCTCTAAATCACTTCGGAGCACCAAATATATAGTGCGACGAATCTAAATATCACAACGAAACAAATAAACATGCATGGTCCTCGCACAGTATACCGTGATTGATCATTTGGATCGTTTCATGTGTTACACATCTCTGCCAGTCGAGGAATCTCCGCCGATCAACACATCTCCACCAGCATGGAAAGCAATGGACGTCATGCCTGTTCCCCCATCGGCCCTGGCTACGAGCTTAGCGTGAGATTTTCGAACACTGAGGATCAGACGCGGTCCCAGCACGAACATCTGCAACATCTGTGCAATTGCCCAAATGCCAAAGTAAATAAGACGTTCCGTGGTGTTCTGCACAGAAATGATGAGACAGTGGTCAGCTGCAGATGCTAGTCACTGGTCGGCGTACCGTGATATTTGGAGATAGTGAGCCCAGTGTGAAGCAAGTCATAGTAACAAAGCTAGCAAATGCGGAACTTCAGTAAAACAAGATAATGACGTCCAAATCACCTATAGAACTCACGCTATAAAGTAAAACGTGTGGCTCTCTATTAATATCGTGAGACAGTCCCCGACCGTCGATCCTGTCGGCGATTGTCGCAGTTCACGGAAGTGCTTTATAACAATCCAGACTGCAAGAAACAAGACGAGGATCTCCCATACAGCAGTGGATATCACACTCTCATAAGTCAGATACATCATGTCCATGTCAATTTCGGTAACGCAGGTATGGAAGCCGGAAAGGACGGCCTCCTCTGGTAAATGTTCGTGAGTCTCTTGTGCTCCAGACTTTCATCAATGATTCAAACGTACGCGATGAAACACCCATGTTTGCAATTACCATCATAACTCCGGAGGCGATCGTGGAGGCTAGCAAGGCCACAACAAGAAAGATGAACAATTTTTTCGATCCCTGATACATGGCATTTATCCGAGCAATCATGATGACTTGAATGATATTTCAGTGAAATCAATGTCAGGAAGAAAACCGCGGGTGGGCTTACCACCTAACATGGCATTAACGATGACAGGGTTCCATGCCTGTATGTACCAAAGGATAGTGCCTGAAACCTCAGATACTTAGTGGTGTAATAAATACCTCAAACACACTCACAGCTGTTGAAGTCGTTACCTTGAAGACACAAGCCGACCGATAATATAACTCACCCCTAATATAGCAGCGTAGTCAGTAGTTGAATGGGAATGAAAATGATAGGCATCAGTGCAGGATACGCACCACATCGATAATAGAGAGCATCACTGCATGCCACCGGTTAGTAGAAGAAGCAAGTGCATGAGAGGACACATACGCAGGATGTTAATGCTGGTTGCGAGAGATGACTTATTAGCTCATTGCAGTGTAGATAGCCTTGAAAACGTACATAGAATATAGTATTCCAATGTAGCGCACCTAGTATATGTTGAAGTCAGCACAAGATGCCAACTGCGCTCGTAGCAATAACGTACACAGATATAAAGAACAGTCATGAAGGACCAACGTTGCCTCTGCCCCAAGTCAACTGCATCATTCTATCTGGTTCTAATACAGGACCTTACTCACCAAGATCAATTCGAACTGTTGAAACATTTTTAGTGAGATGCGCAGGTCATGACACCAACTTACCTCTTGTCCGAACGTTAATGCTTGGATGTTGTATACATATCAATAATCTCTCGGAATGTATTATCTCGCTTACCCCAGTCGTATACCACCGCAGTAGAGCATGCAGCTGCAAACATATTGAGATGTCACCATTGGCATCCAAATTGCTCTCCCAGTCCACTAACCTAGAAAATAGTCGTAAAGACGACAAAAATTGATGATTGGCCACCAAGCAGGATCATCTGAGACTATGGTCATATCAGGATGGAGCTTGTGGGATATGTGCACACTGCAGATAGTATACTACCAACCATAGCTTTTATCGCGATTAGTTTGAGCGAGTGTGCGATGCCCTGTTATCACTCCTGGAGCCACCATTCGGCTGCCAAGCCGTGGTGCAAACAAGGTATCAGCACAGGTAGTAGGTAGTACCCGCGATGCGCGCGGGTTACCATGCAGGTCCCTGATAATATTGACAATGACATGTGGAATTGAGCACAGAGTCTTAATTACAGCTGTTTTAATATATGATGGCAGTGTCATTTTTTTTGTAAACACTGATATGATCCGTTCTAAGTCCTAATTCGTGTAGTTGACAAAAAAAACGACGCCACTGCCATCATTTATTAAAAACAGCTGTAAATAAAACACTCGGTAAAAACCGGCTAAACGTTCTGATACAGCCATTTGAACAGTACCGTACGTACGTACTTATCCTACCTGAGTGGCACCATTTAATTTACTAAATATTCATCGCCCATCTCAGGTTGGGTCCATATCTGACTTCATGCACCTGTGCTTGTGCATTTTTTCTTAGATGCATTCAACTGAAAAAGGTCTATGATAGTTACATAACTTGGCTACCAAACACGCGAGCTTGCAAATCGATGTCATGGGCCTGATGCAGATTGTCTACATGTTGTAAGTTATCATTATACCGTATCAATTTAAAGGCCGAATTGGGGTACTGGAAGTTCCATGAAAGTACAGTCAAAGATATGAATGAAGATGCGTCAAAATCCCTCGTCCTTCGAAATACATGAGACTATAATATCTCTACCGTTCTGACGTTCGACATGTCGCGGACAGCAGTCACGTCCTTGACACGTGCGACAATGTCATGGTCCGATGCGATTCTCTTATATTCCCCACCACGCTGCTGCGCTGATAAAAGTGCGCTAAAAGGCTGTCCGAGGCGAACCATCAACCTCAACGCTCGCGACTGAGACTCCAAATCAACTAGGCCAACTTCTTTAGGGTAGCCCCAACATAAATCAGTTAGTGGAGACCCGGGAACGGTCTGCATATCATCTGAGAAATCAGGCAGCCTGAGGTCATAATGGTTCCAGGGACGGACGAGCAAGAAAGTCTGCCGCGAAGGTCTTGCCTGCGAGAACTGAGTCCGAGTCAGCTTGTCTTCCGTGGTGATTAACAAGTCTTGGAGTCCGTCTGCTTTGATGTCATATGTGAAATATGTCTCCCGATGTAGACCGTGCCTCCTTCTGACTCCTGTGACAAGAAAGGTGATGCAAGGAAGGAGCAGTCTGCGGTTCGCAAAACGAGGAGCGCACAGGTTGTCAAGCTGGGCGTACAATGCCACGGCCAACCCCACAACCGCGGCACTTCGGAGGTTGGAGACCGACACCTGCATCTCATCTTCGGATAGCGATGGTAGTATGCATGGCGGCGCTTCGTATGAGGCAATATCGGCTGGCAAACAGCTATTGAACTCCGACGGTTTTCCGACCCAGTCCAGGGCACTGATGTCACCCGACTGAGCCACGATGGCCTGTAACAGTCGGCCGAGAGCGTGATGCTTCTTCTCGCCATAGATTACAGGTAGGTGAACGCCAAAGATGCCAAACAATGAGTGTGCGATATCTTCCTGTAATGTCGTGATGCGTGTCGACGCTCATTGAAGTTTCTCTCGGACATCTCTCATCCCTGGACGGAAAGCCACGAGGGCCTGGGCGTTTATGCTTGTTGCATCCTCCAACTCATGCATGATAGTAACAGACTCCTTGTGGTTGGTGGAACGGTCATTGAGATATGGGGTCCAATCTGCTTGGTAGAAGAGAATGACTTTGGGAGCCAGGAACTCTTGGAGAGTCCATCCTCGCGTGTTCCAAGCGCTCTTTGCCAGTGCGCCAGACTTCGACGATGACGCAACATCGGATAGGTAGACAATCGTAAACGATGAATGGCGATACCAGATGAACATGGAGTTGATCGAGCGCTGGAGCTCAGCATTGTTATGTTGGTCGATGCAACATGTATCACTCCATGCCCAGTGATACCCTGCATTACGGGAAATTTTACAGAACGTCTGTAGCTTCACCATAGTTCCGACTGGATCCAAATCGTACACGACCTTGTTTTGAATGTCGAGTAGCAGCGGCTCCTTCGTTTCCCATGTATGCGATAACATTACCCAACGGAAGTACATCACCACCACTTCTTTGATGCACTCCAATTGAAGGTGCCCGTGTGTCATCAACGAAGACATAAGTTTCTCGTACTCTGTGCTTTCCATGAAAGCCGTTATCTGTGCCTGTCGATCGCACAAACGCCCAGTAGAGGTGTTGAGTAAATGAAGTGGAGCAGTGTCCAGGTGAGCATGAATCGCTCCTCGAATAGCACGTTCTACTTCACAAGGAGTGACATAATGATATTTCCGACGTAGTTCTGGAGAAAAACGTGATTATGTCCACGTCAACTCATGAAAGACTCGGGACTTACGTCGTATCTGCGTGTCGGGAGCATCTTCCAACTTGGAGAGCATGATACTGAAGGTCACAACTGCTTCATCATAGCGATGTACCCTGTAAAGCGCTTCGTGCTTTAGTTGGTACCCAATATGAGACGAAGGGTTGAGTTTGATCACCTATGCATGACGGTGTCAACCCAATGATAAAGATCCTGCTTATCATCCGCACCTGTTCTGCGTCGGAAAGGGCTTCCGCATATAAGTTGCGTCTCAAATTTTCATTGCTGCGGTGTACAAAAAGGAGGTCGTATGAGGGATCTAGCCCTATCCCTGCAGAATAAAGCTTGAAAGCTCTTGCTTGATCGTTTGCAACAACAGCTTCCTTTCCCTTGGCCACACAGCGTGCAATGCAGTCTTGCTTGAAGGCTAATCGACCTCAAGTCAATATCGATGTTCAAGTTGTTAAAATCGTAAGACACTCACTGGTAGACCATCCGAGACAGCTGGTCCTCTCAGCCTCGTCAATCATACGCATCATGTATTGATACGCTTCGATCGCTTCGATCACTTGATCCGCACGGAGGAACGCGTCACACTGTCGTTGGTGGATGGTTTGCCATAATGAATCCAAGTCCCAACCGAAGAGCTGCAAAGCACATGTCGTCAATTATTGGAAGTGTTGTGACGTTGTTGTGACAGACCACGGTGAATATCTTTAATCTAGGTTCGCACAACGCCGCGCGTAAAGATGAGCCAGTCATATTCATATTCGTAATGAGGACCTCCGTGAATTGTTCGGCAGCTTCGAGGTACCGCCCATTCTCAAAAGCAATGGTTGCAAGTTGTACATGTAGATATGACTGGCAAGTGCATTTCAGTGACACTCTGTAAGCCCTGACATAAGACTCACGTTTACGACGTTGCACGAAAGTGTGTCTAAATGCTGACAAGCAATGGCTAGGTCTTGAACTCGCCGGATTGCCTCTTCGCGATGACCTGCATTGAAAAGCGCAATAGCCTGAAAAGTTGAAGACTGAGACTGAGAATGACTCAAATAGCAAGTAGTATGAATCGTACCTTGATCAACAGTAAAAGATTAATGGTCATCGAATCATGAGTAGCAAATGTGAAAGCGAGATCAAAAGCTTCCATGGCATTCCAAACTTGCCCCTTGCCGCAAAGGGCAATGCCCTTAGAGATGCAGCCCATTAATGAGGGTTGGATATCGATTGACTAGATCACAGAGAAGTCAAATCAACAGTCATGAAGAGCAGAGTGTCTTACGTTGACTGCATCTCGAAGTGCCTGGTCCCAATTAGAATTTCGCGCCATTACAACTGAGCGACTGGCATAAGAATCACACTTGTCGCCATCAGTGTCGATCTCCTGAGTCAAAATCTCTTCAGCAGTATGCAAGTCCCCAATGATGCATGCATTGCGGACTGTCGGGTTCATAGGGAGGTTCTGCATATTAAAACATGTTCACATTTCATAATGAGCAGATGCACCGGAGGAAAACTCACATCGAATGATGAAGGAAACGAGAGGATACTAGAGGCTGCATGAGTTTCCGAAGAATAATGGCTTTTAATGTCGGAATTGTCAGAGTCCTCATTGCGCGGCTGTACCATAGCGCAGAAGAATGACCTGCGAGTAAGAAAGGCACAGTGAAAAAATCATGGGTAAGAGCGTACCTGAGCTTGGATATCATTTTGAGCGATGTCCTTTATTCAGTGTCATTAGCAGTATACGATGCCACGCTAAGAAGAAAACTTACCGTTGTGAAAGGTGTCGACAGAACATTCTGGTTTGAAAGGTCATATAACTTTGTTCAATTGGACTCAGAACGGATATAGAAGCTTACGCCAGCGGCAACGTCAGTGAAGAGTCGCTGTTGCTCTTCCCTTTAGTCTATCCTCCGCATTATAATCTTCGAGTACGTTCTTGATGGACCAGAGCCAAACCTTCCCATCTCCATCTCCACTCATGAGCAGTTCTCCATTGGGAGAAATTACAACACAGCCAATCCAGGTGGTGTGTTCAAGTGCCTGCCCTATCTGTTGGTGTGTTTTTGTGCTCCACAGCCGTACAGTATTGTCACAAGAGGCAGTTGCAATGAAGGAGTTGTCAAAGGAGATGGTGAGCGAGTAAATCCAGGCAGTGTGACCAGCGCAAGGTTGACCAATCTGGTCTGCATTTGATGAGTTCCAAAACTTGACTGTTTGGTCGTATGATGCGGAGACAAGTTGCTGGCCGTCATGGGACCACGCAACACTTCGAACCCGATCTTGGTGAGCGTTGAACTCGAGAAGAACCTCGGCGTCATTAGTGCGCCAAACACGAATGTTATTGTCTTTTGACCCTGAGGCCAACTTCAACCCATCGGGGCTGAATACCACAGTCAACACCATACTGTCATGACGAAGTGTTGCGAGGACAGTGCCAGTTTCTGCATCCCATACAACAATCGTGCAATCAGATGACCCGCTTGCCAGTTTTTTGCCATCGGAAGAGAAGCACAACGAGTTCACATCTCGCGCATGCTTCACCAGCGGATCCAAAGTCTTCTGTTTGTTCTCCACATTCCATAGGATAATATTTTTGTCCTCTCCGCCGCTCGCAATTCTCCTATCATCTGGGGATATAGCGACTGCTCGTACCCAGCCCTTGTGTCCTTCGAATGGCGCTCCTACCAACGCTCCTTTTTGCACATCCCAAATTCGCAGGGTTTTGTCCGATGAACTGGTGACGACCCGTCGACCGTCTTTGAAGAACGCAGCTGCCAACACCGACGATTTGTGTCCTAGCATTATACGGGACTGCGTCAAGTGCTCTTCCGAAAGTTCCACTGACATGTTGTGCTAGTCTAGAGAGAAACAGACAGTCAGTAGCGAACGATGGGTGTGTTTTGTGGAATCTGGAAATGTCTATACCGTAAAGCTAATAGGTGGTGAGTAGCATTGATTTTGTGCCCACAACCCACCTCATGTAGGCGCTTTTCTGGTGTTCCTAGTGGCTCCCCACCATGCTGCTACCTGAGCGTGGATCTCATTTCATTTCATCACTACGCCACTTGCGCACAGCTAAATTTTCGTCATATACAGCATCTCCTTTATTGGTGCGCAGTGAAATCATCCGAGAGAAATTATGTCTGCCATTCCATTTCTGCAATCCTTTCGATCTTTCATGATCAGTTACCACGCCTAAAGAATTACTAGGCTCTAGTGTCTTGACACTTACAAAAGTTCCAAAATCGAGGTGATATGTACTTTGAGACTTCGTGATCTCAACAGCTCCTTTGTGAGTGTGCGCTAGTAATACTGAATATGAATTCAGCTGAATATTGCGAAGACAGGCTGAATGTACCAGAGTGCTGCAAGGATGAGTTGTTTCGGGTGGAAGTAATAATGACCGCGATTGATAAGAACGCACGGGGATGATATCTTCGGATAGAGGGACTGCCAAGGCATGGATGAAAACGCATCAGATGAGTTTTTGTCATTCGAATTACAATATCCTAACGTCCGTCGTGTCATGAAAAGCAGTCAAGTCCCTAGTATGTGTGGTGATATTGTGATCCGACACGATTATCTTGTACTCCCCACTACACTGCCTCGCCGCCATGAAAGTGCACGCCGAAGGTTTATCCGAGGCGAACGATGAAGGTTGCAAGCTCCATTCTCCTGTATCAATCAATCCATCGTCTTCGGTGTATCTGCCGAACGAATACTATTCCGACGGACACTCAGACTCGGCAGACTACTGGCAATCGTCCACGCTCCACGTATACATCTGCGAATCCATGCAGCAAGTCATGAACGCATCTACGAACGGATAAGCAAGAACATCGGCCGAGTGGGCCGTGCCGGCGACAATTGAAGTAACTTGTCTTATACGGTGATCAACAGATCGTCGAGCCGTCACAGTTGTCTTGTGCAGGCCCCGCACATCATCAAAATCCAGCAATACTATTAAACTGTGCTCTCGTAGATCCAGCGTAACGAAAAGTAAGAACATATTGCATATCAAATCATAAACGACGACGGCTTGATTCCCCTAAATTGAACCACACCTACAAAGTGACTGAAAAATTGTGTGATAATAATTTCTTAACTTGTGGATTCCCGCTGAGATTCGATTATTCGGCAATTCATGGACTCACATCAGGAAAGCATCAAACCGCCAGTCAACGGAAATCTGCGTGACCGGTTCCTCAGTTGCTCAACATACCAGTGGCTCGAATGAACTTACGCATTGTCCTAACACACAGAAATACAGGTTAGTTCACACACAGCCCTCGTGAGATGGAGACTTGCCTGTGATGAAATGGGCCTCCTTGGAAGTGAGGTATGCAACGGCGCTGGCAACATCTTCCGGTTGTCCGACTGTACCCGACTGCAGAGGTGTCGATCGTCTGTGCTGCAATTTAGCCAAGGACATGTTATGGTAGTAGACCTCGTCGCACCTTTTGGAAGTAGTCAACCTTGTCGCCTCGCTTTGCAATTTGGGACTTTGATGCGACAACTGTCCGTGATTCAGCCGGGATAGCATAAAACCTACTTTTAGCACTCACCCATGGGTGTCGCTATGATTCCCGGAGCATAGGAATTGACCGTGATTCCGTATTGTCCGAGTTGCAGCGCTTGATGAGGACGTCAGTACTAATGCATGTGCATGAGATAATGACCTTACCAGCCGCTTGCGTTATGGCTCTAACAGCAAATTTACTTGCACTGTAGGACATCAAAGGGGACTGTGGCTTCGTAATAGACGCATGATTTTCAGGTGCCACACTCGACTCAGGGACAGCCTCTTACCTTGTATTCCTACCATGGAGCTGGCACCGATGATGCGGCCGCCACGTCCCTGTTTCACCATCTGGATTGCGGCGTATTTATAGCACAGGAATGCAGAGGTGCCGTTGATTTTCATCATGCGGTCCCAGCCTTCTAGAGTTTCTGCATGAAAAGTGAGTACTATGCTAGGTATGGTTCATGATCGATCCACGTACCACTCAAGAGATCTACCATGCCACTAATTCCAGCATTCGCGATCATCTGCGGTAGTATGCCATGAGTCCAACGATTACGCATTTCGGGTGACTACTCACGACGTCCAAGCTCCCTAGAGCGTCGACTGCGGTATCAATCATGCTCTTCACCTCGTCTTCTTTACTGACATCGCAAGTCACAATGCATGTTCTAGGATGGTAGGAGCTCTCTGATTCTCCGCCTCGCCGAAGTTCGGCTGCGAAGTCTTCCAATACTTCCTTCTTTCCGGGCAGATCATTGAGCGCTAAATCAAAGCCGTCTTGGGCTAATCTGATCGCTATCGCACGGCCGATTCCTTGTGCTGAACCGGTTATGAGGGCGACACCTTTGGATTGAGACATCGAGAATATTGATCGAGCAATCCCAAGATAATCTATGGATGTTAAATACCTTTTGGAATGCTTCAAGTTCTTATCATGGTGTCCAGAAACAGCAGACCAGGATAACGGCACGGCACGAAGGGGATAGAACGCAGTTGCAAGCCTTCAACGTTCAACGCCACTGTCAGTCAGTGGTGTCACATTGGGCCCAGCCCTCATCATAAGGCTTTAGGCTGGCCTATGGTTGGGTAAGGCCCGAGCCTACTGGGGACGGTGACCGGGCTTCCCAAGGAGATACTGGCAGTGGTACCATGTTGGTATGTTTTGATCTATAGTGCTATGACCTACAAGTAATCATTGGGTGATTATCCGAAGGCTCAAATATTGCGGAAGAATAGTAGATAGAATAAAAAAAGACCAGTTAAGGAAGTACTTAACTTGGTAGGTAAACTCATTTGAATTGCAAAAACGATGTCGTGAACTCTAAATCTCCTGGGCGGAAGTTTAAATTTTAAAAGAGCTATCCGCTGACTAACCTACTGAACATGCCCTATGGCACAATCGTTTTGACTCTTGTACAATACTTGCAATTGCCACGGGGTATCGCAACATGAGGTTGACCTGAGGAGACAACCTCAGCTTCGACCTTCAAGTTACAAGTAATGCGCTTATCTGTGAGATTTAGCAAATTTCCCTCTAAAGTGACCAACCACATCACTTCGGGCGCCTACCCAGCACTTTGTCTTGGTTCAACTAGACTACTTTCGTGCAGCTCTTCCCGACAGCCCTTTGACAGGGCTTTCCCTGCAAGGAAAATCCCTGAACTCGTTATCAATTTATAGTCCGCACTTGTTCGGTTTCCCTTGGTTTATATCATCCCAGCAGACTCAGGGGCCACTCCCACTTTATCGTCAGAAGGAAGTTCTAGGACTGTCAAACCCTGATCCAGAAGTATGGAATGTCTGGAGCAGAAACTATGCGTCGAGTCTCAATTATTTGGGTTGATTACTGACTGACTTTACGCAGCATTTAGAACTCTTGCTTAACTTGAAAGCCTTGGAATGAGGAAGGAAGGGCCTCCGGTCTACTTCCAGATATCAGTCTAGGAACACCGGCTCCTGGGTCTTTGACGTGCGGACTTGCAAAACACGAACGTGCTGCGACATATCAGCAGGAACTCGTGATACTCAGACTTGTTTACTTGTGAGCGTAGACGGCCAAATATAAATTCATTCATTCATTTGAATCAAACAGGAGTAACTCTAGTCCGTCATGTTCGGCGTTACCTCTTGAAGATACATTTGTTTCTTCTTTTAATGCATTGTGTTCGGAAGATGTCTGACTCGCTAAGATAGAACGACGCCTCCGTCGACAGAAATCTGCAGTGTAGTGAATACCTTGAAAGTTAGGTGACCGGCACTGTACACTTACGCATTGCCCTGTCGCAGCGTTGAACAAGCTGCAGGGAATGAACGACAAAATAAGAGCTCACCTGTAATGAAATGCGCCTCTTTTGACGCCAAATAACTGACAATGCTTGCGATATCCTCTGGTTGACCATTATGTTTGATCGGCCGGTTTCCAATTAGCTGCGCGACGTGAGCCGACGGTACAGATACACGCGAGCATGAAGGGAACACAAACAGACCTGGGTAAGGTAATTCGTCGAATCTTCGTCTGCCAGGCTGACATTTCCCGATTGGTCAGAAATACTATCCACTAAGTTCACGAAAGTGATCAGCTTCGAGCTACATACCATGTTCACATGGAACGTACGTATCTGGGTTTGTATGACACCCGGCGCATAGGCGTTGACTGTGATATTATGTTTTCCAAGCTCAAGAGCTTGGCCAGATTTAGTGATCATTCACACTCAAAGATGTTTCTGCTCACCAGCCGTCTGCGTCAATCCGCGGACAGCGAACTTGCTAGCGCAGTATGCAGCAGCTGATGGAAATCCTGTAGACAGCACTCATATCAGCCCTTCGAGCTCGACTCAACACGGAATAGCAGTCACCAATCTTTCCGGCAATGGAACTTGCGCCAATAATCCTGCCACCGCGACCCTGAGATATCATCTGTACTGCGGCATGTTTATAACACAGGAAAACTCCGCGGGCGTTAACGGTGAATGTGCGCTCCCAGTCTTCAACAGTGGCTACACCATATCATGAGATTGCAGCGCATACTCGAACAGAACCTCTAAGCTTACTTTCCAAGACAGTATTAGCTCCTGGAATGCCAGCGTTGGCGACCATCTATAAAAAAATCATAAGCAAGCTTCCAGGAACGGAAGCTCAGGGTCCTACCACATCCAATCCACTCAACTCTTTTACGGTGTCAGTGATCATGTTCTTCACTTCCTCTTCGATTGTCACATCCGCAATCACGATACACGCTTTGCGTCCCAATGCCTCGACTTCACTAGCAACAGCAGCCAGCTGCTCACTTTTCATAGGAAGGTCGTTCAAGGCAATGTCGAAGCCATCCCTCGCAAGCCGCAGAGCGATACTGCGACCAATGCCCTGAGCAGATCCTGTGATGAGCGCGATCCCTTTGTGAGGCGACATGGTCATGGTAGAAGGTTATGAGTTTGCTACATCGAAAAAAGTGGTACCATCAGATTATATATCACAGGAATCCTAGCTCCTTTCATATCGCTTGGAGGGTGTAAGACACTAACTACTCTTGGAATATCTCTCGCCGTAGAAGCCAATTGCGGCGACAAATCACGACAATGATCACGGCATCAGTTCATAGGGGCTTGAATGGTCGGCATTGTTGAGTGTGCTTCTGAGTCGATGCGGTAACCTGTATGCTACCAGTGATTTCAAGCTGTTCCAGGTTGTAAGTCACGACCAAACGTTTGGTCAGAGACTCCGACGGTGACGGATGAGGCTTCGATAAAGGTGAACATTGTCTGAAAAGTTTTAGTCACCGAGAATATGTAGCTATTGTTATTCCTACCTCAACAGGCCAGTTGCTATTGCGTCCATTACGGCCAGTCACACAAATCTGCACGAATCATAGTTTCTGTTATGCCTGCTTCGAAAATAGGCCAGTTGCTGTTGTGTCCGTTACGACCAGTCACCAAACCCTGCGAGAATTGTAGTTTTTGTTATTCCAGCTTCGAAAATAGGCCGAACCGTCGCTGTTGTGCACCCACAATCAACGTTCAACGTGTGTAGAGTCTGCCAGAATGATAAGGAACTACTCACGTAATTCCACTAACAGACAAATCCAGTAGCTCCCCTCGCGATGGGTCCGAACGACCGAATCGCTGAACATGATGACAAGAATTGGAAGAGATCCAGCACAATCAAGCTTCTTCATCGGGTATTCAAGCGATAGTGAATAACGTGGACGAATGATACCTGGTGGTACTGTGTTGTAGTGGCCAATGAAATATGTACCCCCGCCTGCATCAACTGTAGTCTGCAGGGGCGCAGGCTTCCTGCTTATCCGACAGAGCCACTGCCTGCATGGAATGATTGCATACACCTTGGACGGTCCACGCTACATCGAGTTTACCCCCTATTGCTACTAGTCGCCCAGTCCAACCCTTGCAGTTGGTCCTCCACGAATTCAATCGCTCACCACTCGAAGAAGCTTCCTGAAAAACTGTGTACCCACCACTACGGCTCCCTGCCCATGAACTTGGTGAGTTCGTCAACCAACTTCTGAATGGGGCGCCGACGATAATTGTCAGGTCGGTTGTTGAAGATGTAACAAGTTCGTCATCAATGCGTTCCGCTGGAAGGCCGCCCCCAACTATATTATGTCCGGGAGGCAATACCGCATCAGTACCCGTCAAATAAATGCCGATGTATCTTGTGAAGCTGTAGACGAGGTCTACCCGGATGTTGCTGGGCGGGATGTACCTGGCAAGGAAGGAAAGAGCCGTCTCACAAAGCCAGGTCCAGACTGTCCAGTTGTTTCTCGGGTCCAATGGACCGCTAGCGGCGAGCGGAGTTTAAAAACGGTAGACCCCCCCTGCCATAACAAAGCTGCCTCTCACATTAGCCCTTCCATGTCTTCGTCACGAACTACAGAAGAGACCTACGAAGCACAGAATGATCAGCGACTAGATGAGTTACATTCAAAGATACGCACATTGCGCGGAGTACGATTGATATTACCTCATTTCTACATACCTCTGAACGGTCTTCCAGGTCACCACAGACATCTACGACGATGCCGAAAGACAACATCTGACTCTAGATGATACAGTACCTTATAGTAATTCTCCTCTTCACTTTGAACATACTAATATTCGCATGTAGGGAAACGCGTTCTCTAGCCTTTCAACATCCTTGTCTCAGTCCTCTCGACGAGCTGCGCAAGCATTCGGTCTCTCCGGCGCAGGCGGCGTTAGACAGATGCGGATAATAATGTATATTGTTGGCTCTTTTCTGGCACTCTGGATAGTTTGGAAAGTGAAGGGGATCTGGTGGGTCAGCGAAAGCGCATGAGCCGCTGTAGTTGCTTGTGAGTACTTGTTCGTGATTGACATTATTCCGGTGCTAAATCGAACAAGCATCGACTCGTTTATACAGGACAATATACGTAATATCTATACCCTCACATGAATCAATGATAAAAGCAACAGGAATATTGAAAAGGGACTCCCTCCTGCTACGTAAGTTATGCGCGCAGAAATTTGTCACGCAGACTTTCAATTTGGTTTCCATCTACAGATGCGTAGATATGTCACCCACAAGGTGATAACCCCGACACTCGATATACTTACACTTTGAGGTTGTGCGACTAACTGCGTAAGGCTGACTAGTGTCAACTTTCTGCCCTCCTCGAATACTGCGCACCCTGGGTGGCGTGGGGATCGAAATGACTGATTTGTGTGTACATAGTAGTTCTTCCGAGTTCTCATCTCGCGTTGATCACCTTCCTGTATTATGAGATTATGCCGCCGCATACTAGACATACTGATTATAGACTCAATAAAACATACTCATTACTCCGTGCGTAATCCATTCCTTAAATCTTGAAGCTTCGAAGGGAGAAGGTAAGGACTAGACTTGCAACGATCCGAATATGAAAACCCCTTGAATTTTCAGGAATACTACTGCGGAACCTCGAATCCACCGCCTTGCCCCAACGAAGCTCAGGCGGCCAGGCCTCCGCCGCAGGGCAGAAACGCACGCTTGAACACAAGTTATACCCTTGTGTTCTGTCTCTGCGGCCATGTCAGGCCCGTGCGCGTGAGGCATATGCGATAGGGTTCGCACGGGTCTCCTGGTTGTTCCATACGAAGGCTGAGATCTTTCTTAGCCCCAGGTCAGGACATGATGAGAATCCAATGTCGATCGATGGAAATCATGACGAAAAGATTGCAGGGACGGTGGTGAAATTCAACGAGCTCACGAGATTTGTCGAGGGCAAAGGGAAATCCGAAAAACAAACTGACAATAGCTAAGTGGGCACCCACTCTTCTGAGTTACACGTTCTGTCTAAGCCAGAGGTCTGAATGGTAAGCACCGACTAGATGTATGTTTGTTTATACGGACTCTGACTCAAAGTGTTTGCTACTTGGCTAACGTCACTTACAAATACTCGAAGTGTTTTGATCCTTTTAAGGCCTTCCTGGTAATTCAATCAGCACCAGTCCAAGGAAGAAATCCTCAATTTGACATTGGAATCACACCATAGCATCTGCAAGGAGTAATAACATAATAACTGTTTACAAGGCCTTCTCAGCCCATATTGAGTCCCCCATCAACAGTAATCTAGGAGAAAAAATTAGACCAGCTATATGCAATAAACTAAATCGACCTACACATTGACCTGGAGACATCACATGCTACGTGAGCAGGAGACAGGCACAATAAAGGCATGAACTGACCGGTAATGAAGTGCGCTTCCTTCGATGCAAGATAGCTCACGATGCTAGCTATATCTTCAGGCTGTCCGATGTGCTTGATGGGGACATTCTCAAATACCTGATCGAGGTTGTTAGAAAGCAGGATCTGGGTAAAGTTTGTCATCGCGCTCTGCTCACCGACTGAAACCACTTCCTCGATCAAGGATCGTCGATAAGTCGTTCATAATCTACATTCCCAGACTCGTCCAGCACGACCTTGGCTAACTAGGAATCAGCTGAGAAATCAGAAATTAGTTTGACCTTACTCATGGAAGCATGTATCGCGCCCGGAGCATATGCATTAACTGTAATCCCATATTGACCGAGTTCAACAGCTGTCAAGCGGTCTTTATTAAAAGCTGTCCATGCGAGTATCTCAGGAATTACCTGCAGCTTGAGTGAGCCCTCGAACCGCAAATTTGCTCGCCGTATACGAGGAGTTGTGGGGAAGCCTGTCTGGTCATCTGGATAAGAATGCTCAAGCAAATTCATATCTATATGACGCACCCATTTTGCCCACGATTGAGCTCGCACCAATGATTCGACCGCCGCGCCCCTGTTCGATCATCTGTATTGCAGCATACTTGTAACATAGATAAGCTCCACGGGCGTTTACTGAGAGTGTGTGGTCCCATGACTCTACAGTCGCTAGTGGAGGGCATGAGAAACCTGTCAATGATAGACTTTGACCGAGATAATCGTACATGATACAAGCGAGGCAAACTCCACCACTCCAGCATTGGCAACCATCTACACGATAAATATCCATGAAACACGTCTAGTGAGATAAGAAGAGCCTCGACTGACGACGTCCAGTCCACCAAGTTTTGTAACAGTATCATCGACCATCTCTTTGACTTGTTTGTCGACAGTCACATCGGCTGGGAACGATGTAGGCTTGCCTTCCAAGGCTTTCAATTTGATTCGCTACCACCTCCAGCTTGGCATCCTTGTTGGGCAGATCATTGAGAGCGACGTTAAAGCCATCCCGTGCGAGCCGAAGAGCGATGCTACGACCGATTCCCTGAGCGGACCCTGTTATCAATGCTATACCTTTTGAGATAGACATGAGCGTTATGATTCGGCGTAACCTGGCGCAACGCACCTCTCGTGCACCTTTTACATACCAGGCTTCTATCACATGTTCCATGAGAATCGGCGGAGATGAGTTGAGCGCTAGTAATCCTTCCAGAGTGGGCCCGAGTCGGTACCTCAACTTGAATGACAACATTCAAAAGGATTGCCACAAGGATGGGATGATATTACCCCCTCGAGCTCAAGGCCTCGCCGGCCGCAGTGGAGGAATGTCAGAAAATTGTCGTGGACGACCGAAGTTATCTTTGATTTGCGCCGTGCGTCCATCGATGGCTATAGTCACTAAGTATGCCCATCATGATTGCGAGTAAGTCGGGACGGAATAAACTGGTTATATTCGTGTTTGACAGCAAAATTGTATGGCGCTGGATCAGTTCAAAAATGATACACACACAAAACTCACACACACACACATACGAGACACACACATATAGTTAAAACACACACATGTCTTGTAGTATTGTAACACATTCAGTACTATAGACGCATTTCCAAATCAACTATGTCAAAAACAAGGGAATGGGGAAGGATATGAAGTTCTCCAGAAACAGGACCGGGGTTGCTGGCGATTTCGCCCTTGAAGGTGTCATGATCACCCATCTCGATGAGAGGAAAGCCAAGAGCATGACGGAATGCGTTTGACATGCGAAGCGCCTTCGCTTTCAGGGATGCGCCACAGAAGTGATGCTTGCCCTTGACTTCGGTGGAGGTGATCATCACGAGGCTCGGGCGCACCAAGCGGGCGACGTTGTCAGAGTCATCATTGCCATTCACGTTGGCATTGGCAAGGGCATGGCCGAAGCGAATGTTTGCATTGGCATTTGAGGAGCTCTCTACTAAGAGACGGAGGGGCTCCGCACTGACTCGGCTGGCTGTACTCGACTCATCAGTAAGACATCACATGCTCGCTCAAGTGAAACGTACCAATACCAGCCCCTGCAGCCGGTCTTGAATCATTAGGCCGCTGCAGCCCTGGCAAATATCTCACTTGTAATGAAGAAAATCGAGCACTACCGATGACCGAAAGCAAAGCGGCCGATGTTTCGAGTCTCCCTGGCCTATGAGGTCGGCACGCTGAACCCGTTTACACCGCGCAACACTGTGAAAGTGACTGAAAGATAATGATGGCCATATGAAGGCATAGGTGCCAAAGCAGCTGGAGGAGGGAGGAAGGGATTCGTGGTAGGAGGAGGGGTTGTCTTTGCCGGGTAAGGTCCTTGACCTACGAAATCCTTCTTGACCATGTCCTCGCTCCAGATACTGACACATCTCGCGCTCTATCTGGTTAATTTCGCGCAATTGGAACATTCTGATGCAAAATTGGTGTACATACCCGGCTGATGAGAATGTGAGACCACGCTTCTTGAGCCAGAAGACGGACACGGCTGAGAGCAAGTTGGCGAAAAATTCAATGAGATTTTCATTGACAATGCCACCGGATGCAACGATGAAGGTGAGGATGTGTGAGATAAACTGATGAACTAAATTTTTCAATTGAACCAACCAGCATTTAATGAAGGATAAGTTGGCGGGATAGGAATTAAACGAAGAGTTGAATAGTAGTATGGGCTCAGAATGAAGGATTAAAAGGAGTGAGGAAGATTAAAGGGCAAATGACATAGGATTCAAAGAAGTAAGGGGAATTAAATGGGATGATGAGACTTTCGCACAAAATTAAAGCCAAAGTTTGATAGAGCCAATGAAGTAGTCCTTCGTCCAGGGGTTGTGGAACGGACGTGACAATGGATCATTGACGTCTGGGTGGCCGCGCAACAGGTCATTCAGCGTAGGTTGGACCGAAACGAGAGGCTGGAAGAGTGGTCGATTAGGTACGCCGGGCACATGATGATTCTGAGCCTTTGCGAAGTCTCGCAGGTCGATATCCTGGTGGTTTTCTTCGTCCTTGATCAATGGCATCATTGGATTATGGCGTGGAGCACGCTTCTGAACCCGTGGTGAGATTGACATCCCTTTCAGACTAGCTGGTAGGGTGTTGAGACTGTCATCCGTATCAGAGCCACTTGGACAGAAAACTGTAAATTCCAAGTGTTAGACATTTGACTTCTGCCAGAAAATAAAAACTCGACACTTACGTTTAACTTGGCCTGAGGATCTTCCCGACTTGTTCCCCGTTTTCGATGCAATGGGCTGTCCATGAGCTGATTTTAAATATTATGTGTCAGTAGTGTTCCCATACAATTAAATGGTAGTACTTACCTCCACGCAATTTCTTCTGAGCTGGTTCTTGACGGGTTCCACGCTGCATTGGACGTTTTGGACGCACTTGAGTAAGTAACACAATGAATTTTAAACACAGCGCTCGAGACTGTACACGTGAGACTAACCAATCTTTGGAACTTGAGTGAATATGTCGTCTTCGATTTTAAGCCCATACTCTTGTTTATGGTCGCCGTCATCGCCATCATCGCCGTCATCACCGTCATCGCTGTCATCAGCTATATCAATAATAACCATGTCTGGGTCCCAGCGTGCATAAGTATGCTCAGGTACGAATTTCCGGATACCTATCATTATACATACACTGATTAGAAAATCTAGGACGAATTTATCAACGACTCACCAATAAAGATATTTGTCTGTTGAAGTGGGGCATTGCTTCTGCCTTTGTACCGTTCGAGGTGTTTGCCAGTTGGGAAGGGCTCAGGTGCGACACTGAGCCTGCGGTTCTCTTTCGAAATTAACACCCATTCAGATGCCCCATTGTCCGTAGCCTTCCCTTTGACATCACCAACCTTCACAGAGTCAAGGTATTCAAAGACTTTGGGAAATAATCTTCGAATGTAAGCATCAACTTCCTCAAATGTCCAGTCTAAACAAAAGCTGAAATCCACACTTCCGTCCTCAGACTGATCTCCATCAAAATGAGCGCATCCTCTTCGTTTTAACTTCGACATCTCTGTTCTGACAGGCGGAATTGTGGTCAACAACTCTCCTTTGTCCTTTTGGTTGCCAGGTAAGCTCATACTAGTCATAGCTTGTTTGAACTAACATACATCGAGGTAATTCACCAAGATGGCAATGGCACCGACTTTGATCGGGATGTGACCTTGCTTTGAAGAGCTGGCCTGTCTCGAGGATACAATCCTGCCCTAGGCGGCACCAGTCATTTCGAACACACAGAAGTCAGGTGAGTTACTCACTGGAATCTCTGCTTTGCAGGTGGGCGAAATCCTGCCATTACCTCATCTCTCGCAGCTGTCGCAGTAGTTGTATTCTGACTACCTTGTCCTGCTCGTCGAGCGAGCGATTGCTTGAATATAGCCATCACTCCAACTCGTTCCTTTGCAGTAGCGACTGCTGGTAGCTCAGCCAGTACAGGCGGTTGAGGTCGTGGATGTTTGCTCTTCCCATGCAAACATTCAGCGCAAAGTTCTTTTTGGCCAACTGGAATATTTGTGGGTGCCGAGTACTCTTCGCAATAGCAGGGTACTGATTCATCAGGATTGCCCTTGCAAAATGCTGGCTTCGGCATTCTAAGTGAGATGGAAGAGAGGACTGGAACACAAATTAGTCGGCGAGGTGCGGAATTTGTATTCAATGGTCCTGGGTCCCTCCGGATTTTGTTAAGTACTACTTAAGCGACTCAAAAAAATTCATTTGCTTCAAAGTGATCTAGAATACTAGATGCCTGAGCCCATAATGTCGAGCGAGTTCTCCAGATAGGGTCAGCCAATGATATCTCCACATGATGCTCCCTCCGCCTTCCAACTCGTAGGTATTCACTTGTGTTTTCATCATACTTGTCTTCACCCTCGCGTAAATTGTATCCCTCCGGTACAATCCCCTCCATGACAACCTCCTCAAGTGTTTCAAAGAACATACTTTCATCCTCTTCGTTCCGAAAAGGAGTATTGCTGTCTGGAACCTCAACAGCATCATGCTGGACATCATTTGCTTGTTCCTGCTCAATGCGGCCAATAATATCTTCTTCTTCTGGTTCATCCGCCTCGTCACTTGGGTGGCCAGCACCTGTCTGATTTCGATGACAGGACAACCTCCCTGCCATGAATACCATAATAGCGCTGCAGAACTGTAGGACAGATTCCCTCAAACTCGTCTTCATAGATACCTAATGATGCCTGTCCTAGAAGGCTGCATATCCTTCGTAGTTATGAGATAAAAATTCTGTACCACTGAATATTCACTGACCTGAGGGCTTCGATCCCTGGTATCAGAACCACGAATAGGATGCAAATTCCATTCTTGTTGAAATTGTCGACAATCATCATTGAGCGCATTTAAGAAAAGCACACTGAGGAGCCACAGATGCCCAGGCTTGTCGACATCAAGTTTATGAAGTCGTTCGAGCCTGGTAAAGAACCCCCGCCACCGGCGTACAAACTGTGTGCCTACTTCAACCCACAATCGTTCGATGCGAGAATTCCGTGTTGATCTAACATGCATTATTATTCAAGTAGATTTCCAGAGGACTCCACTTACGATCCCCATAGGAATGAGCCACGATTGTGACCGTTTGTCGCAATCATGTGAGTGGCAACCTGAATATTCTCGCCGCCACGATCTCCACGAATACGAGACGGGATACCATATTCATTTCTTGCATAGATGAATAAATCCAACACAGTTGATGCACGATTATTTGTGCCAACTCGTAGCGCTGTTATCTGTTGGTACAGTAAGGTGTATTGTTACTTATATGAATTAATTGACTTACAGTGCGACAATACCCGTCAATGAAACCATGGATGACGAAGCCCCATCGAATGAGCTTGTGATGACCATCTACATGCCATAGTGCATTTGGTCGAGCAACTCGGTATTTTCGTCTTCTGGTAACACGTCGTTCTCTCAGCCTTTGTCCCAGCCTGTCAACTCTGCGCAGGGACTGCCAAACACGATGCTGCTGAACTCGAATACCTTGGTGTCGAAGGAAGCTGACAAGGTACCGGAATCCTGATTCTGGTTTACTTTCTTTGAAAGTCCTCACAAGTTAATCGAGATCGAGGGTATACTGGCATATTTATCAATACAAACCCAGGGATAGTAACAGGACAGTTTTTGATACTTAGCGAGGATCCCCAGCCCCTACAATAGTATGCATACAGGCTTCTCTGTATCAATACTCATGCAAGGGCTAGAAAGCAGCTTCTCGGCCAGTATGCATACAGGCTTCTCTGTATCAATACTCATGCCAGGGCTGAAAAACAGCTTCTCGGGCATCACCGGCTATCCTATTCAGGATAATTCCTGCTGTGCTTCTGCGCTTCTCGGTATCAATTATCCGGCAAGCAGCAAGCCGAGTGTTCCTCACCCATCCTATTTGGGATACACCTTCTTCTCCCATCTAAATATATCACATACCTTCGGTTTTCTGTTCCTATTTAGGATACACCTTCTTATCCTGTCTAAATATGTCGCATACCTTGGTTCTTTAGATTGACGCATTCCAAAACAAGCCCTATGATATTTCTTCTCGTTGTATCAATACATACGCACGTGACATTTGACCCTATGATATTTCTTCTCGTTGTATCAATACATAAGCACGTGACATTTGCCACCAAAATTTTGCTAAGTCCTGTAGACTGTCTGCTTCTCGTCTTCTCATTGTATCAATACATTAGCACGTGCCATTTGCAACCAAAATTTTGCTAAGTCCTGTAGACTGTACAGTATTAAAAGCAACATGCTTCGCTACTAGTAAGTCCTGGGCCCATCATGTATCAATACAGTAGCATGTGCTGTTGGCGCCAATCAAACAATTGTATCATCAAGAATGAATATATTTGCATTGATTAATACATGGTACAAGATTAAGACAGCGCGCGTATATACATGGTGACAAGAACATTGAGAAAATGCTCCCAATGAGCTTACAGTGGCCTTCTTCACGCGACGGACTTGCGAGATCTGCAAAAAGACGCTGTGACCCTTCTACACCACACTGAGAATATTTGACTTACCTCTTTGAAGTGCCGCCAATCTTGTTAGCATCCGTCAGACAGGTTGATGGGAGGCGCATTCGACTGCCGCGACGGAACGACTGATTGAGTACATCATCAAATGGTTGCACCTCCTCCGTCATCTGGTCCACAGTGGTGCTGGCAGGGCACATTTCGATGCTCGTGGACATGTTAGACACGGGGGCCTTCGGCGCCAAATCAATTGTGGTTGTAGGAGGAGAAGCAGACGGAGATACATCTGCTACAGGCGCGACTGCTGTAGGTGAGGTAGGAGGATAGGCAAACGGAGGCACATCTGCTGCAGGTGTGGCAGGAGTTGCAGACCCGTGAGTTGCAGGAGCAGCAGAAGCGAATGGAGACGCTGCAGGTGTGGCAGGAGGTGCAGACGTGTTAGCTGTAAGAGTAGCAGAAGCAGACGGAGGTGGGGTGGGAGATGCAGACCCGCGAGTTGCAGGCACAGGCACAGCCGGAACCATAGGAACCGTCGATACCGGGACTGCCGGAGGTGCACGGGGAGACGTTGATGTTGAATCACAGAGGTGATCATAGATAGAAGGGGCCTTAGCTTTACCCAAAGTGACAGGACGCGCGCGGGGTATTGTCTTGCCGCGGCCAGAAGGACTATGTGAAGCCACACGCGCAAAGGTGGCGCTAAGACGAGGTGGAGAAAAGCTGGTAATCCTACCAGCATCTAAGTCCTTCTTCCATGCAGTGATGGGCGTGTCTGGGCTATTCTGAGAAAGGAAGGGAGGGAGTATTGGAAGGCCGGACTCCGTGTCAGGTTCAGGCTCAGGTAAACTAAGGTAAGGGTTGAGAGACTCGTAGAACCCAGAATCGAAGGAACTGTTGGGGAATGTATACTCATGCGGGCCATGGGAAGTTGGGTGAATCATTGTACGAAGCTCGTTTTCAGCGGGGTGTATGGATACACCTCCACCTTCCACGATGGGCACAGAGTCAGAAGTTGTTGGAGGGATGATAGGGGGATCGAACGTAAGAGGAGTGGGATCGAACGTGTCGACCCCACTGAAAACGTCGATGTGCTCCAATACTTCAGGTGGTGCAGATGTAGCACTAGTAGCTGTGAAAGTTTTAAAATTTCACTTATAATTAAAAGGTCGTGTACTTACCAAATGCGCCCTTCAGAAACATGGTGAATGGTTCAACAATCCGTTTGGTGTGGTCGGGAAGTGAGTCGCGGAAGGTGAACCCAGTGCTCCCCTTCCCATGGTGAAAACTGTCCGCGCATTAGAATACCTTTTCCAATGAGGTAGCAGCATATACTCACCTGAAAACACGAACGTCCCCATTTGCACGTGGATCCGGGCCACCTAGGTATATGCTCCCGTGCCAACCAGTTGTCTCAAATATCGTCTCTAGTAGTTGCCCGGCTACCCCACCCAAACCTTCAATATATCTATTTGTATGTTAGCTGCACTTAGAAACTTGAGTGAACGAAAAACAAACGTACTGAAGTTTGAGAGAGTCTGAGGGATTCCGCAACCCCTCAAGTTCACATTTTGCCCTTTCAGCACGACGCCGACATTCAGCCTTCGCCTGCTCCTCCATCTGCATCACATAGGCTTCGCCGCGGGCTGCCATCACCTTGCTGGCTTCTGCGCGAATGCCGGACATGCGGGTGTTTTTTGTGTACTCACCATTCTCCACTTGGGCCGCAACTTCTTCTTTGATCGAGGAGTCTTCCTTGTAGTCCGTTTGTAAGAAATGTTCCACAGCGGTAGGTCCACGTGTCCGAGCAGTCGAAGTTGCCATCAACTTGGTGATGGTCTTGGTGAACTGGGTGTGGCGTGCCCTACCAGCAGAAGACGCTCCTCGATAACAGTAAGAGCGCAGTTGCTGCATTAAGGTGGTTTAGCCGTGAACCGAAATGAAAATGTATGTAACGTACTCCCTTGCGCTGCTTAACGAGTTTACCTAATTCTTTTATTTGATCACTCATTAATTCAGCCTCGGTAAGAGGTATCCCAGTTGTGCTATCTTTGAAATGGATGCCAACTTCTGGCCATTTCACAAACCATTCTAAGCACAACTGGTTCAAGTATGCGGAGACAGAACCCTGCAGCTGACTCAAGCGGAAGCCATCCATCTTAGACTTCAACCAAACAGTCTGTTCGTGAGTCGTCCACGAGGCTCCAGGCATCTATTGTTCCCATCAAGGTAAGTAGGTATCAATACAAGATCGTGTGACACACATACGGTATGTTTTTTGACGTTTGATAACACCGACACCTCCGACTTGTATGAATGCCCCATATAGGACGGAGTTTCAACTCTATTTCCAATTCAGCCAATCAGATGAGGCGTTTATTTTTCAGCCCTATAAGCCCCGTGTGTATGAGAAACTTAACGTCAACATTCACAGCTAGTTCAAATTCGCAACATTCCTCCTGTTTGATCAATATGAAGGTCTACCCTGATGAGGACGACACCTTCACCTTGACCGAGCTTTGGAGTGCATTACAACTGATACGCCAGAATGGTAAGTTTTCTTGTCATCATTTTATTTGTGTATCTGAGATTGTATATATAACAAGCGGCTATTGACAACGGATCCCACCAGTTGACCTTTGCCCAGAATAGCCCTGCCCGAGCCGACGGTAAGTGTCATTATGTCAATCAAACCTAACGCTGACGCTGATTTCATATGAAGGTGCGGCTGATCCTGCCGGTGATGACCTCAGTGATGACGAGTTAACTGTCTCGCAGCCTCCTCCTGGCATTGTTCCAGCCCAGACGCAGCCTCCTCCTGACATTGTTCCAGCCCGGACTGCTCAACCATCCACATTACTTGATTCAGCTGCGCAAACCGCTCAACCATCCACATTACCAGCTGCGCAACCTGTTCCAACTGTCACTGCACAGCCTCTGGCACAAGCGCATGCCAACCCTCCTGCCTCTTCACGCTGGTACACTATCACCGTTGGGCGTGAGACAGGCGTCTTTCAGGGCTGGTATGTTCTCTGACACCCTAACCGTGTTTCTTTGAATTCACTCTAACTAATTGTTAGGCACAGTGCTCATATTCATGTTGTTGGAGTCCCGGGTGCATGTTTTGCTCGTCACCCCACTCGTGCTGCTGCTGAAGGAGCGTACACAGAGGCACTGGCTGCTGGTGGAGTGACGCAGGTGCCGGCATGATGTGAGAGTCCACGCTGCACAATGTAGATGTATCTATGTAGTCTATTTTGTCATATTCTTGTCAATCAATCGCATTTTCTTGTTCACAAATACATCGTCACCTGAGACAGCTGAATTCTAGTCCGTCGTGTGACAAATGTTGTTCAAATTGGACTCTGGGCGTACATTCATGAAGATGTCTCAGGATATGTAAAAAATTCTGAATGTGAGCAGTATATAATTCTGCAAACGTGCTACTCTAACGCCTGGTGAAGCCCGTCTCAAGCTAGTACAGCACGCACGATGCAACGATGCTACCAAAGTAATTGTCCCGAAGCTGTGGCAGTGCCACCTAAGTAAGTACTATGTAATTGTGTTTGTGCTTTATAGCATTTGCCACACCTTTGCCTCACCGCAAACTTCGCCTCCCGATCATACCACTCACACTCTCACTTCACCCAAAAAAATGGGGCGGCATCGGAAGCCTTCGCCAGAGCGCAAAGAAGCACGTAAACACTCAAAACGTATACACTATGCATGGTAAGTGGTTTTTTTTTCATTCTTTTTCATTCAATTCAGTAACTATTACTCAAACGCAAGGCATCTGGGCTATGAACGAATCAAAGCACGGCATAGATGGAGGCGGCGTCAGGGTGCTACAGAGGTATGTTCATAATTTTGGAGGTTTAAGACATTTTTATTCGTTTTATAGGCTACCCTCGATGCTTTTCATACTATGGAAGACCTATGGACCAGAACTTACACTGGTGGTAGCCGAAATCACAACGGATGTGAACCTCGCATTATTGCCCTTCTTCAAAATGTGGACGAACAGGGCTGGAGTGCGGTTAGACCTGGGTTTGCGGGTGAATTAGCGGAGGCGAGGATTTTACTTGAAGAAGTCGAGACACTGGCAAGTTCGGTTACCAATTTGGAGGGTCCCTGTACTGTCCAGCTAATGACCGAATGTTCGCGTCTCCTCTGCCGTGCTCGTCTCTGGCTTGCATCAGAGGAGGAAATTCTCCGGCTTATGGATGAAGGACCAGATGTCCTCGACGATGCATTATTTACCAATAACTTAGTCTGGCAGAGGCCCTGATCATTAATTACATATTCGAATCGCTGTGTACTCATGTGACAAGCTTTTTTTTGTTGATCAATCGTTTCTGTTGATCGATCTTTTTTGTTGATCGATCATGGCCCCATCTCGCAAGCGCAAATTCGACAAATATCAACGCCAGTTTATTGCAGAAAATCTTGCTAATGCAGCACAACGAGCTGCAGCAGCTGGGCATGATGATGCGGGGCCTGGCACTTCATGTCACACGCACACGTCTGTTGACGTCACTAACAGACTCCGTCCTTTAGCCAAAACGACATATTTCTCTGCGCCCAATGTAATCTCACCAGCCGCTAATTATGTGCCATCAACGCTTATTTCTACACCCTCCGAGTTGGAAACTGATTTCGTCGTTGAAGACGCTTATATAGATTATATTGCGGACACGAACTTCAATCCAGAGCCAGTCGGAAAGACAAGCAAACGCTCACCAGGAGTATGTGCATCTCACTTCAAGTTCTTTTACCTGTCGCTAATTTTTTGCAATTAAAGGACGACCCTAAAAAACTGTGGCTTCTGGAGAGAGACATTTTCCTTCGCGAATTCATCAGGCTCGAAAGCCGTGGGGACACAATGTTGTCTCAATTCTGTCACGGCCTCCATGGTTGTGACAACGAGCCCGTATATCGTTGTAGCGACTGTGAAGGACTTCAAATGTATTGTCAATCGTGCGTGGTAGCTCTCCATTGTGCCATGCCCCTGCATCATGTCGAGGTATTGTTTTGAAAGTTTATTTGCCTTCTAAGTTCTGATCTTCGATTACACACAGGTCTGGACAGGCGAATACTTTCAGCGCACCTCCCTTCGCGATCTTGGGCTACGCATGCAACTCGGGCATCCCCCGGGGGTCTCATGTTGTAACCCAGTGCCAGCATTTGATGCCGAATTCACAGTTCTTAACACTAACGGTATTCACAGTGTTGCGCTCGATTTTTGCAACTGTGAAGCCGCACAGACTCACGCCATTCAGTTATTGCGTGCTCGATGGTACCCTGCTACAAGTACTGACCCTCGAACGGCTGCTACCTTCCGACTCCTCGATCATTTTCAAATGTATACGTTCGAATCCAAGGGTTCTGCATTCGAGTATTATCAAGCTTTGTCTCGCTTGACTGACAACACAGGCGCAAAGAGGCCCAAGGTAAGTCTTTCGCTATTTCATACATATTATGACTAACTATATACTAGGACCGCTATGAATCCCTCCTTCGCATTAGCCGCCAGTACCGCCATCTAATTGCCCTCAAAAGAGCAGGCCGGGCTCACGACATCTCTGGGATTTTGGGGACGGAGTCGGGCGAACTTGCCGTGGTTTGCCCGGCTTGTCCCCAACCTGGAAAAACCTTCCACCACACTGGGCAGACGCCCCTAAAGAAAAACAGTAAGTCCAGTCCATTCACCTATACATGAGGGCTTATCTTGATCCACATAGGTGGTTGTATAGCCTGTTTGTCGGGATCGACGCGAATTTTCGAATGTGTCGTCGGAACAAATCATCGGAGCAAGCGGATCCCAGTTTTAGTCAGGGCTGGGCGTATTTTGTCAAGGATTCCGGGTTCAAGAGCGTCCTAGACACGCACGCGGGGCTCACACAGGAGAAGAGCAGCTGCGCAAGTCATAACGCAGTGAACCTTGCAGATTCGAAGCGAGTGCGCGGCCTTGCAGCGACGGGCATTGGTGCCGTTGTTTGTGCAAGGCATAACTTCAAGCGTCCCTCGGCGGTAGGAGATCTCCAGAAGGGGGAGAGATATGTTAACATGGATTACTTATTTTTTTCAACAATGACACACTCGAGCGAGATTGTTGTCGTCAACGTCTCGTATGACATCGCGTGCCAGTGGAACAAACATCTTTGGGAGCGCATGTCTCGGTATCCCTCCAACATTCATCTGGCGCACACCAGCAAGACAATAACCTTCCTCGTGCCGAAATTCCACCTCCCCGCCCACGTCGCTCCATGCCAGACTAAATTCTCCTTCAATCTTATCAAAGGGATGGCCCGAACCGATGGCGAAGTGCCCAAACGCGGATGGTCCAATATTAATCCCGTGGCTACCAGCACACGGGAGATGGGACCTGGTTCGAGGCGTGATGCGCTCGACGACCACTTTGGCGACTGGAACTGGCGGAAGGTGTCTAACTTTGGTAAGTCATTACCCTCGTCATCAATAGTTATCTGACTGGCACTTTCAACAGGTGTATTTCTTTTGCAAAAGCTCAAGGATGCCATCCCTCAACGTGATCAACATATTTCGGACCTTGTCGATTTTGAAGATGCAATTCCAGCCGAGAGCCTCGCAACCTGGCGTACAATGGTAGAGGGTTGGGAGACTGACCGATCTAACGCAAACCCATTCGACTCAGCATCTTCACCCATGACGCAAGCTTCTGTTCGACTGGAGCTCTCACAAGTTGAAGCAAACCAACTCAAACGCGGACTCGACATGTCCTTGCACTCTGAGGTTTCACCAAGTGTCCTGATAGTTGTCGGAATCGAGCTCGAGACTCAGCAGTAAGTACCATTATTCTCCGATCCTCAATGTAATTGACAAATAGTTTTTGTTTGACAGGCGCCGGCTTGTTCATGAAACCTCAAGCATAGGTGCACACGCTACCGAAATCCAGCTATCTACACTCCAGCAGCGGACAAACACACTTCGTCGTCGAATCGAACACTGGATCAAAATTCAAACTCTTTACATGCCGTGTGTCGCACGTCTTCGTGAGATGATCGATGCTACCTCTGATAATACAGAAGAAGACGTCCACAGTATCAAGCTCTGGATGCCTTCAGCTATTGTCACCCAGTCTCTATCTTGTGACAGAAACCTATTGCTCATCGAATGGAAGCTTCGCAGAGCCCAGGGACACGAGGCGCTACATGAACTTCGTCAGCATCTGCGGCTCAAGCGTCATCTTACCGGCTTCAAGAAGGACTGGATTACCGGTCAACGCGGACACACGAGGTCACGTGGGATCATCGACACAGTGCAGAAGAAGATTGACGCTGCTGCCACCAAATATCGCATTGCTTGGGCCTCCCTCAGTGCTCTTGCCGAGCCTCTTCTTGAAATTGAGTGGAAGGCTGAGTTCCCGGTGCTCGAGAAAGAGGATGTCCGTGGAATGATGGAGGACCAAGCAGCAGGTGAAAGTATTTCTGAGGGGCGAAGATTAGTCTCCATATCATGGATTTGGAAGCAACGTTATGGCGCCAGAGAGGAAGAGCTTTCAGATGGTAAGCTCACCTCACCGTCCCCCACCGTCTCAGCCAGTTCCCTTCTGAACCCCGTTTTCCAGCTATGCGCATTGAGTGGTGCAAGGCTCGTGCACGCGCTCACCGATGGTCCGAGGAGGTAGAATTATTGCAGGAGGAAATGCGGCGCGTTCTCACATTCTTTGATTGGCATGCGGCCTGGTGGGTGGAACGTGCAACATCCAAGACGTGGCTCGGGCCCATCGAGAATGAAGGCACAGTAGCGTATGCACATCGGCAAGCTGCCATTCGGAGGATGATGCGTGACCACTGCTCTTCAATTTGGAGCGTTGTTCCTGGCCTCATTGCCCAGTCATCGTGCAATACCGCTATCTAATGGGATATGTTTTTTTCTGTGATTCTGATGTATTTTGTCATTAATGTCTGATTAACTACATGCTATTGACGCAACAAACTAGTACCTATCTTTTCCAAACAATAAACTAGCACCTATCTGTTCCCAATGGCATAGCAATGCTATGTTTTAATGTTTTCAACAACTCTCCGTGTTTACCAAATTGGGCAACAAAGCGGTAGCCGTGTGGGACGACATATTTGATGGCGATTGGTCTATATTTAAGCCCATTGATGGGGAGGATCTATATTTAAGCCCACAAAGGGAAACAATCCAGGGACGAGAACCAGTAAGATCTACCCCGATCAGTGGGGCCTGAGAAACCGTGCTAAGGACGAGAACCAGTAAGATCTTCCCCGATCAGTGGGGCCTGAGAAACTGCGCTAGGAACTGTGCTACCTTTCCCCAGCAAAGTATGAATAAAGGGAAGCACGTGAAGGGACCATACTCCCTGGAAGAGTATCAATAAAGGAAGCACCGGGGATTCCTTGGTGAGTATCAAAAACTATGCTGTTACTATGGCTAAGGAGTATGGATACTCCTGCCAGGGTGTGGTGGTTCCTGATCCTGATCCCTGCAAGACTTTCAACTCAGACATGAACCTCTGCAATAATCAGTTAGATCTTCTCTCATAACTCATGTATTGCAGAATAAACAAGGTTCATAATTGATCAAATCAAATTCCGTCAAAATTTAGGGATAGGCCAGCATGCGTGCAACGACTGACCATCCTCGATGCAACATCTATGACAAAAGAATACTTGGTCATAGTATCAGTCTGATTGTACTGAAAATATGATCCGTACAAAAATTATTGTAGTGACTCCGAGCCTATAGCGTGTATGTAGGCAGCACAACGTTTGACTATCTATTCACTAAGCGGCAACGTAAAACAAATGTTCGAAGCCACAATACACGAGAAGTGTCAAGCAATCGACAACGTTAACATGGTGGCGAGCATTGTCATGCATACAATAATGGAGTGTAGGAGATGCATAAAATGAGGATAGGAGATATCAAAAGACGCACATCCGTCTTCCTTAATATTGATCAACCCTCCGTGTACTGAATAGGCATACCAATCCATCGTAAGAACCGAATCCACCATTTGGTCTGCTTTTCGGTGATATCAGTGTGTGATGACGTCCCAACTGCCAATGGTGTGCTCTGCATTGTTTCGCTTGGTTGGGGCGCGTGAGTATTGGGAGAGTGAGAATCTGACTTAGAGTCCAGTGGGGTTGTCTTCTTTCTCGCATGATAGTTCCTCTGCATGAAAATGAGAGTCTAAGACAGTGGAAAAACCTAATATGAAGAAGAAAAACACACAGGCTGCATGTAACAATGCGGCACTGGTTCAGGGTAATATGGATCTGGATCTGACATTCGAACTGTCTTGCTATAGTTAGCTGCGTTGCAGGAAGTCTGTTCTACAGTACGGTGTCCAATTTGTTATTTCACACGGCTGCGTCACTGAGTACTGAGTATACTGATTCCGAGTTGGGATCACTGATTAGTCACTCGGTCAGCAACTGCCACTGTAAAGTGGCCCGCCATACTGTCACACTTCGGGCTCCTGCCTGACAACACACTCTGGGACCTCAACGCCAATTGAAGTAGGCTGTCATCGGTGCATCAATAATGCCCCCGCTCATCGAGACCGTGGCAATCATCTTGCCATTAGGTGAGTAGCAAACCGTGTTCATGGATTGCCCTGTGTTGACTGGTCCAAAGATAGTTTCTGCGTTCTGGACATCCCACACTATGAATATCCCTTCCCAGGTTCTGCTCCACTCACTCGCCGTCTGGACTCTAACACACATAATGGACCCACTCTGTATCCCGCCCCGTCAATATTTTGACCACCTTGCCCGTGTCGACGTTCCACAACTTCACTGCACCATCCTCACACCCGCTTGCTGCCCGGCGAAGATTCTATGACGCGCGCTCTTTCGTCTTTCTCCTCCCATTCCTCGACCTGCATGTCCGTCTCCAATTCCCAGACTCGAAGTGACCCATCCCGTAGATAGTTGGTGATAACTTTCTGCCCACTGGATAGGCGTAAGATGTGGCGTTATCTGCTTTGATCTTTTGGTCAGGAATTGTTGCTAGATTCTCGTGCTTCGCAGGGGCTCGATGCCCATCATTTTGGTTTCGGAATTCGCTCGACGGGTGCATCAGCTCTTACCATCAATTACCACACGAATTCAACAGTTACTCAGAAACCAGATGTACTCGACTAAAGACGAATCCGAGAAGCTGGTCGACGGAGTGGGTGTTTCGTTCGATAGAGACTCAAGTCAGGAGGGAGGTCGTTGTTCGAGTCTCGTGTTCGCTTCACAGCTCCAGCACTCAATGCTCTGCTTCCGCAACGTGCACACTTCCTTCATCCCTCGCCACAGCGGTCCTACGACTCCGTAAGCCTGCATTCATGTGTTTCCCTAGGCTAATACAATTCTGTAGGCTTTTTGTTGACCGGTTTGACAAGCGTGAAAGGCTTGTGCCATCGAGCTCGTCGCTGGTCGGAGGGAGGTTCAAAGGCTTGCTTATGCGCAGTCAATTCTCCCAGGTGTCAGGCGCGGTGCTATCCCAGGCATCGATGGACAATGTCATTACATTGGTGCAGTGACTTCATTTGCATTGGGCACTTGCGAGGCAATCTATGGTGACACTAGCGAAGACGCAAGGAATGAAATTAGCTTTTCGATCTCATTGGCACACATAGATCCTTTGAAAGACACGTGCAGCATCTGCTGCTTGAAAGGTAATCTTGCTAAGAGCTACAAGTTTTTGTATCATCAGTCAGAGAGTGCAACTTCCTCTCTTGCGTAGCTTTCTGGTCTAGATTTCATTCCACTTGTGTTTATTATCATGTAACTCCTTCCTTTATTTCATGCTGGTCTTTATCATATGCATAGTGGCAATCTCCATTCAAATATAACACTGAGATATCTATCTATCTACATCATACACCATGACTCCGATCTTTCGAGTGCTCAAATCATTTTCGGCCCTTCTTCGTCCCCAGTATGCATGCACCATGCCTGCGCGATGACGTGCTCGGGGGTGAGGCTGTGGAAGCATTGGCAGATGGATATACTTGAGTGTTTCGCGGAAACGTGGCATGGGGATATGTCATGTTTGAAGGCAGCAATATGATCATGCCGGCGGCCGGCGGCATCCGATGATTATGCCACCCAGCGAGAGGCTGGAACGCGACGCCAGAGGGCATCCGAGCATCATGCTGGACCTTGGGATGCTGTAGCCCGATATCAGAGGGAGTGCGAACATGATGCTGCCCCGCAGGAGGTTGGACCCCGACACTATAGGGCACCCGAGTATCATGCTGGACCCCAGGATGCTGTAGCCCGACATTGGAGGGCATCCGAGTATCATGCTGGACCCCGGGATGTTGCATCCCGGTAGTAGAGGGTATCCAAGCATGATGCCGCCCCGTAGGAGGCTGGAACCCGACACTAGAGGACATCCGAGCATCATGCTGGACCCCGGGATGCTGTAGCCCGACATTAGAGGGAGTCCAAGTATAATGCTGCCCTGCAGGAGGCTGCAATCCGACATTAGGCAACACTGTGCGGTCCCGCGGCAAACTTGCAGGTATCGGCGTTTTGTTGATGGTGCGGTTCGTCTCATCCGAGCCCCCCAAAAGGGAAGACTTTCCGCCGATGGTGTGGCCTGTCTCGTCGTCGCCAAAAAGGGAAGATTGATCGCTGATGGAGTGATTGGAGTGAACTCTCTCATCATTCCCACGTGATTGAGCTTGACTTTGGCTGCCTTGTAGGCGCTGAGCGCAAACTGGACGTGAGAGCAGACACGTTCGGAGTTTGGGGGGGAGCGATTGTGCAATACTCTCAGGCCACACAGGGTTTAACTTTCGATGGTTGTCCTCCAAGTTGCCCCACTCCACGTCCATCAGAGACGATTCAAGTTCGTCATCTGACTCTGCGCTGTAAGTGCTTGTGGCGTCCCAGTTCGGGATTGCGTGCAAACGGCCGATGATGGGTGAACCAGCGAGGTCTCGAGATGGTTGGTCATCTAACTCCGTGCTAGACTCCGGTGGAGGCGGTGATGGTGGTGGCGATGGTGGTGGTGGTAGAGGTAAAGATGATGGTGGTGGTGGTAGAGGTGAAGGTGGTAGTGGTGGTGGTGGTGGTGGTAGAGGTGAAGGTGGAGATGGAGGTGGAGGTGGAGGTGGAGGAGGTTGGAACGATGCAAGTTGGTATGTCAGTGGGTGAGCATATGACGGCTCTGGCAGGCTACCATGACCATCACTCGAGCCTGGCTCGGAAACATTAGGGACATAATGCAGAAACCCGCCTCTCTCTAAAATTTTGAGGGGTTTTTTTGGTCTCTTGGGTTTGGGAGGCGCGGCGATCCCGGCAACCAAACCGTTTGAAGCTGGGTCGAAGAACTTGAAAGTGAGATCTGAGAACGTCTGGTTCTTGTCTAACACGCATGGTTAGCTTGAAATGAGAAGGAAAAATAGAACATACCTGCGGGCATGTGACACAACTTCAAGTTGAACTGCCAGTGGGTGTTCGGACTATGGTGAATCGCTGTCGCAGCGTGCAGACAAGGTGGTATCCCAAATGAAGTTCCAACATTCTCGGCATAGAGCAATATATAATATTGTGAGTTAGTAATAGCGTGTAACAGCAGACGAGCCTCGACTCGACTTTACTGTGACCTCGCGGAGCAGAGCATTATCTTTGACATAACGTCCTCAAAGGGTAATGCTACTTATGTCTTAGTTGCGCATTGAAACTTAGGTATCATTTTTTCATTCGAATGCATACCCAATTATGTAATATATTGGTCCTAATAACAGCTTATGTACTTTCGCTACCATCTGACCATACATGAACATCGTTTATCGTTTATACATGAGACATGCATAGTACATGTGCCAATCCTCGTGTCGTGGCAGGTGATCAGGACTTCGAACACCCCAAGTATCGGCAACAAACAGTAGTAACAAACGAATAGTGCTGCAGTAAATGAAATGGACAACCTCGACAAGCCTCTCAAATTCCCGGAGTCACCTGTACCTGCTGTCGACAATAACGAGAAGATGGGGTACCTTTCAAGATACCAGTAAGCATGGATTATTCTCCTCTTGCTGCCTGTTCATCAAGTCGTGCATAGGTACATTTATTCTTGCTCGTTTCATCACGGGCGACGAACTCGAAGCCATCACCAATGAAGTGGATTTGAAGGCTGTCCTTGAATCTCTATGGACGAGCCCGAAGGAGGCTTCTCGGCAGCGCCATCATGATGTTCTTCGAATATCCGTCGCCAGCGAAACCTGCTTCTCCGTGAGACACTGACAGCCTCATGGATATATTCTAACTCACATTCTTTCAGGTCTCTGCTGGTCCGCCGATTGACTATGACTGTGAAACCGACTGATACAAATGAGGCTCTAGCTCTGTTGGCTGGATAGTCAAGGTTTTGTACACCAATCTGTTCTGAGAGTGCCAACTAATCTTGCTTATAGGCCTACTGGTATACAGTCACATTTCAGGGGTGGAACTATCAAGCCATTCGCACCCACTGCTTCGACCACTTGCACCCAACTCGTACTGCAACCTTCCTCTTCTGCCCCAAGACTCCTTCTTCTGCGTCGCTTGCTGGTCTAGATTTCATTCTACTAGTGTTTATTGCCATCGTAACTCCTTCCTCTGTTTCATTCTTGTCGTTATCCTATGCATGGTTACAATGCTATGTACTGTATACACGTAATAGTATGGACTCCTCTGGGAATGAATAATGTACAAAATTCATGCGACGTATAACATTGAGATCTCTATCTACACTACATACCATCTTTCGAGTCCTCAATTTCTTCTCAGCCTTGCTTCGTCGCCGGTGTGCATGTACCATGCCGGAACGACGACGTGCTCGGGGGTGGGGCTGTGAAAGCATTGGCAGATGAATTAAATTGAGCGCTTGGCGGGAACGCGGTGGTTATCCCATAGGGATATGTCGGGTTCAAAGGTGGCAACATCATTATGCCGCTGGCCCCCAGACTTGGTCGCATCCAATAGTAATGTGCCCCAGGAAGAGGCTGGAACCCGACACTAGAGGGCACCCGAGCAGCATGCTGGACCCCGGCATGCTGTATCCCGACATTAGAAGGAGTCCAAGCATAATGCCGCCCCATAGGAGGCTGAAATCCGACACTAGAGGGCATCCGAGCATCATGCTGGACCCCGGGACGCTGCATCCCGACGTTAGAGGGCATCCGAGCATTATGCGGGACCTCGGGATGCTGCATCCCGATATTAGAGGGAGTGCAAGCATAATGGCGCCCCACAGGAGGTTGGAACTCGACACTAGAGGGCATTCGAGCGTCATGCTGAATCCCGGGATGCTGTAGCCCAACATTAGAAGGAGTCCAAGTATAATGCTGCCCTGCAGGAGGCTGCGATCCAACATTAAGGAACACTGTGTGATCCTGCGGCAAACTTGCGGGTGTCGACGCTTCATTGATCATGTAGTCTGTTTCATCCGAGTCCTCGAAAAGGGAAGACTCTTCGCTGATAGTGTGGTCTGTCTCGTCGTCGTCAAAAAGGGAAGACTGCTCGCTGATGGAGTGGTTCGTATTGTCCCCAAACAAAGAAGATCCTTCGTTGATGGACTCAACTCTTTCATCATTCCCGTGTGACTGGGGCCAATAGGTCTGTTTGTCTTGTAAGTGCTGAGGGCGGACTGGACGTGACAGCAGAAACGGCTGGAGTTCGGAGGGGAGCGACTCCGAGATATTCTCAGGCCACAAAGGGTTCAACCTGTAATGACTGTTCTCCAAGTTGTCCCACTTCACATCCGTCAGAGACGGTTGCTCATCTGGCTCCGTGCTGGAAGTGCTTGTAGTATCCCAGTCCGGGATTGCGTGCAAACGGCCGATGATCATTTGCGAATCAGCAAGTTCTTGTAGTTAGGAATTGAGTAAGGAAGGCCGGGATGCAAAATGACTTGTCAGTCTTAGAAGTTAAAGATGCGGACACTGGAAAATGGCAATGCGAGCCTTTTGTAGGGTCTCGGGAAAGGTCCACATCCACAGTTTAATCAAGTGGCGCATTGTGGACTGCGCGACTTGGAGTGTTCATTGTTAGGAGAATTGAGCAAACTTTAAGATGTTTCAACTTGCTTTAGCTTCAGCTTGTGCGGAGTCTTCTTCTCGCGAAGTTCCTTTTCCCGGTCCAGCAGGTTGTAGCATAGACTGCAAGGATATTGGTGTAGATATTGTCTCGATGGAGAGTCCCTACCACCGTACTAAGTGGACTCTTTCGGGTCCGGATCATCATATGGTCATGACGGTAACAGAACATGCGCTGCTCCTACACGGTGACCGGCCTGTTCTCATGGAACTTCAAAGGTGAACTGGTAAGGCTAGCAGCTCGATTTCGTCATGTTCTGCGTCAGGTCTGCAATGTGGCGCAAACATATTGATATTAAAACTGACCTAGAAATGATTCAAATCATCATAGCCTATTACATAATGCGTTTGGTCGCTGCAGTAGATACAGAATCTGTCATGCGCACTGCGCAGGGGATAATATATGCGTGATGACAACAAGTCGTCGTTTGAACTTGTTCCAGCACACCTCTGGCATTTCATCCGAACCACTTCTGGAAGACAACCAGTAGAAGGGTGTGTTACGGGAGTATCTCAACTCGAAAGGCGGTGAGTGGAATATTACAAATAGAGATCAAGGTGGTGCAGAACGTGAAACAACGTACAGCAGTTTCGTGTTTTCAGATCTGATGCCGTATAGTACTAAGTAACGTTAACGGATCAAACTACTTACTCGCTAACGTGGAGTTCTCAGGTCCATCATCGAACGATTTTTTGTGCGCTCTCGTAAGTTCCGCAGCTACTAATCGGTTCAGCATCGAAGGTTGGCTCATATGTATGGGTAGCATGGCTTACTGTTTCTCTTAGTACATACTACGTTCTCCCTGTACTGGACAGTTGCGAGGTATGTAATGGATATCACAAAAAATTTGTTGGTGGGGCGTCCTGACTCCTTACACTCAATTACAGTGTCTACACAAGCCCTACAGGGTTGCCCACACCGATTTTGTAGTCGCCAACCTCGAGAAACTTAACCACTTATTGTGCTTCCAGACTTCAACTTGTCACGATCGTGCTCATCACTGGTCATCATCATGAAAGTTACCTCTGCTCTCGTCCTTGCGTTCGTTGCTGGTGTGCAGGCTCAGCCCTCAGTCAATATCTCAGCACTACCCAGTGGTACTACGCCCCCAACGTAAGTACCTCCCCCCTCTTCAGTTGTCATAAGCTGCTAGATTGACTTTGATCCCTATAGCTTCACCATCCCTCCGCCCCCCTCAATGACTTTATCTTCGTTGACTTTAACCGGTCCAACTTTAACACTGCCTAGTGGCATGTCATTCGGGCCTAATACGACGACGTCCACGTCCACGTCGACGAGTGCAACCGTCAAGTCTACGGGCGCAGCAATGGCACTGGCAGGCTCGTATGCTGACACTGAATTGGTAATGGGAGCTATGGCAGGGTTCTTCGGGGTTTTTGCCTTTCTAGTGTGAAAACTACTAGTTTATACATGGACCATGGTGAGAACGGCCATGCGCGCCTTTTTACGATGGAGCGTTGGATCAACTATATCTAGATAGAGGAATAGACTAGTTTATGCATTGTGCTATGCTACCAATTAGTCGTGATAAGGTATACTAGTAGAACGAATCATTTGTGTTATGCATGGGCACAACATGACTGCAAAATAAATAACAAGTTTAGCCGCCAGTTTTACGCTCGTGCCAAGGCGCGCACAACACTTTCATGAGAGAAAATAGAATAAAGGGTGACATGTCCGCGCTTTCGGATTAGGTTTTCATCCCAAACAACTACGAAAATGGGCAATCAGCAACCGTAGCGAGGGATAATATGATATCATACAGTCTTGATTTCCTTAACGCTCATCTTCTGTAGCTTCGTTCCCGCGCCCTCGCCGAGCGCGGCATCCGCGAGGTCAGTTTTAACCTCCTGAAGGCGGAGCATTCTGCGAGGTTGTTGTGAGGGAGATAGAAAGTCGATAAGAAGATAAAAACAGTGAACCCGAGTTAGCGTCCGAATAACGGAAACGGTTGACTCACCGTTCCTCTATCGTATTTTTGACAACAAGTCGCTTGACAAAAACATCTTTCTCTTGTCCCAGACGATGTACGCGGTCGTATGCTTGTGACTCGGACGCATAATTCCAGGATAGATCCAAACTATCCATCATCAGTCTTTAGCAATCGTGATGTAAATGGTTCAAACTCTGTGACTTACTTGATGATCCGATTCGCCACAACCAGATTCAAACCTACACTACCACACTTCGTGCTGATGAGGATGACCTTGGGTCCATCAGGTCGTTTGAATGTTGCAAGGGTATTATCCCGCGATATCCGGTTCATGGAACCATCATACCGCAGGCTGCGGATCCCATATCGCGAGAATAGTGTTTCGATGAGGTCAAGCATCGAGGTCCCTGTGTGATACTGTGTCAGCAATAACTTGTAGAATGTGAAGTACGAACACTGTGAATAACAGATTGTCTTGTCCCCGCTCTCGTCCCATGACTTGAGGAAACTGATGAGGGCGAGCATCTTCGTACTCGGTTCCAGGTCGTAATCGCCTTTTCGCCACATGGCAATAAGTGCGTCGGAAGGGGCGCCGGGGCCTTCCAAATTTGTCTTCTCTGCACTTTGCGATGAAGGTTTCTCTTCGTCGTCCCTCGCGGGTGCTTTCCCTTTTCCATTATCATAGTGCTTCTTCGAGGACCGCACGGCATGCCTCCTTCCGAGCTTAATGTCGGAACCATCAAGGTTGTCCGACACATCACTCACAGTCAAGTCAATTACTTCGTCCTGTAGTACACACCGCATAGTCAAACCCAGCACCAACAAAGACAAAAGTCATGCGCACGTTGTCAGACTGCTGGCGCGACCGTTTATTCCCCGTTGCTTTCTTATCCTTCTTCTTGAGTTTTCCTCCATTCGCGAATAGCTGTGAGAAATCTGGCATATCGTCGTCGGAGCTGTCGACTTCTGGCGTCGCGCCCCTGAAGCGTGAAGGCACAGATAACTCGATTTCCGAATCCGAGTCAGACGACTCTTCACTTGAAACTGTACCCTGGCGCACGGGCTTCTCGAGCACAAGCCGACGAGCGTGCTTACGAGCGCGATTTGCCTCCTCGACTTCATCCTCCTCTGGCTCGAATGCAATGGACTTGAACACCTTCGTTGGGCTCAGGTCGTTCATCTTCTTGCACGTAGGGCCTGCGCGAATGAGCGAGAGTACAGCGTGACGAAGAAAAGAGGAATACGCACAAGGCCGGTGACCTTTCGCAGCAGCAGCTTCATACTCACGTTCGGCACGAATATTTTCTTTCTCATTTCCATGACCACTGGGTAATGGTTTAGGTGTAACAGAAGGAGTAGGAATTAGGAGCTTACAATTCCCCGTTGTGCGTAATCGGCGAATTTGAAAGCATGAGCATACAATCTAGAGATACAAGACCGCGATCAAAACACGACAACGATGGCATGATGAGGGTCCACTGACCAAAGCAAATCTCATGACCACAGGTAAGGACACGACCAGCGTTGTTGACGTACACTTTCGCATACATGTGAGCATCAATCTAGTGAGACACGAGTACATACGATCTTTGCAGACAGGGCATGTTGCATCTGCGCCCTCCTCATCCGAGAATACGAGTAGATTACTCTCTAGCGCGCGTGTCATGAACCTGAGTGTAGCAATTTGTTAGCTCCTTTACCTGTCACATAATAGAGTAAAACTGAACCTCTTCTTGATCTGTAGGCAGATAGTTTAATACTGGCTATGGGTAGACTAACAGTACTCACATCGCCGACCCAGGCTGGCCCCATGACTCGGATTGCTCGCGCAAACTCCTTTCCCTTGTCATCAGACATCAGTATGGAAGGGTCTTCGTGCTCTTCCGTGTGACACTGTGGGGTGTGTTAATTCACCTATGTAATCGAAGAACAAAAGACGCGCCAAGATTAAGTTCGGGTGACAACACAGCTGCCGAAGCCGGAGGATCATCGCCTATAAAATGTATCAAAAATGACCACAAGAATGCAAATGCAAAGAAGTACCAGGATATAAGTTGCACTAAGATGGAAACTGCATTTAGAAAATATAACGCAAAAATAAATGAGTGCATACTTCTTCAACAACGTCCCTTTTCTGATGAAGCGATTGATTTGAACGTGGCTTTTCTTTTCGAAATCATCATACAGCTGTGAGATATGAGTATGTGAAATGTCAGAGTACCCAATCAACGTACCTGTTGCTCGTCTGCCGAGAATTCAAGAGTCACGAGCTCAATGTTTTTCGGGGGCAGCTGAAGAATGAGCTTTCCTTCCTATAAAACTCACGAGTGAGAATACAGGAATAAGATATCCTATTAGTGATTTACCAATCTAGCTTGTTTTGTGCGGCGAAGCAACAGGGGCTTCAGAATCTCCTGCGCTCGCATTGCTGTATGATTGAGCCCGAGAACTACATCAGAACGGGCAGTTTACTCACCCGCAAGCGGCGCATCCTCTTGCTGCACCTTTGCCTAAACGAAGATGAGAAGCAGAGCATGCAAAACGCGAAGGAACGCACAATATATTGTTTAAATGACTCCCAGTCATTCCAAGGACGAAAACGCCCAAAGCGAATAAGCCCATATATGTCAGCACTGGGAGAAGTTGGGTAACTAAGAAATGCTGTAAAAATTGGGCATACAGTGTATTTGTGACAGGTGTGCCTGTAAGCATCCACCTATAAGTTGAACGGAGTAGAGCTACACTGCGGCTAGCGTGCGTTCCTCTGTTGGGAATGTCAAATGACTCAATAAATGGAATAATGCTGAACATACCTGTTTCGAATAAATTGGGCCTCGTCTAAAATCACACGATACCATCTCATGCGACCAAGTACCCCTCTGCAAGGTAGCTGAAGGGGTCGACATAGTACAAATAATGTGTTACCTACCCGTGATCCTCAAGATATGCCAGTTCCTTGCCTTCTTCGATGTCTTTTGGAATAGTAAGCTCCGTGCTCAGGGTTTGATATGTAGTGATGATGACCTAACGATACCTCAGTCACTTTGCGAAACTGTGATGATTCAGATAACATACATCTTTAGATCTGACGTCCATCAGGGTGGAAAGCTTATCCCGTCCATGATGTATATGCACGGTAAATAAGTCATTCGACTTCGTCTCGATTTCCTCCTTCCACTGGCAATGGTGTCAACGTGGTCAAAACCGATCACGGAAAACAAACTAGCCTGTTGAAGGAGCGCGGCGGGAACGACGACGAGCGTGGTCTTCACAGCATCAGTGTCCCTGGGCAAATTGGCTGCCATTGTGGCAATCATTTGGACAGTCTTGCCTGAGGCAGAATATTTCGTCAGATGCATTTTGACGAAGTTGAAACAACTGACCAAGACCCATTTCATCTCTGAGTCAGGTCAATATCATTAAGGTGCATGAGTTGAAAATAAAATGAAAATACTTACGCTAAGATACCACCCCTGTGAGGGGACTTTCTTTCTTGGTCCACCATCCTGTGCTCTGAAATTAATATATGCACAGAAACCTATATATTAATACTGTACCAATCGACACCGATGAGCTGGTGAGGTAAAAGCCGTACTTCGAGACCGGGGAGGAGATCCTTGTCACTATACGACCTCAGTACAACCATTGCGAATGTCATGTTGAATGCACCACGCACCTCTGAAGACCGAGGTTCCGGATAGCATCCTTAACGGACCGTCTATCCCCAAGGTTTTCAATAGAGTTATAAACAAATTCTGCCAATCTTATACTTGTGTCAGCGACGGGTGATATTCCACTGCTCAGGCAAAGTACCTCTGTTCTTGATCAGGGCCTCCTTGATCAATGCGACTAGCAGGAGTTTCGCTGTCGTATCTCAGAGAGAAGCCAGATGTAATGAGCTTGCTTTGAATATTGTTCTTGGTTCTTGGTTTGGATTTGCCAGCTCTAGATGAAGCGCCTTGTGATGAAGCGCCAGCTGCAGTCGAGTCGTGAGATGGTAATAACGAATATCTGCAATTCTCTTACTCGCATGCACAGGCCTGTTGAGTGATGAGTGTGGTCCATGAATCATTGAATCGATGTCTGGGAGAGTTCGTGCTCTCATCACTGGCGACACAGGAAAGGTATCAGACTCGGATTTACGCTTGCCGAGAATTTGGGATGTTTGGATAGTGGTATGAGAACTTGAGGAAGAAGAAGGCATGGAGTAATCCAGCGCAGCCAGGACGCGTGATGTGCTCTTTTGGGTGCTCTTGGATATATCACCCATCTTCGAGTACGGCTGGGATAGATGAGCGCACTTGAAGTATACTAGGTACAGCAACTTGAATTAATTAAACACGGCGTTGCCAAACAACGCCAAACAAACTCTAAAACATACGCGGGAGCAATTGGCTGAGCGGACCAAGTTGGAACTTGGAAGTACTTGGTTGCATGTCTCGGATGCGCATCTTCACCCTATTTGTTTCCCTGCCAGCGGAATGACAAGTTTGCACGATAGGTCACCATTCAGCCAAACGAAAGCAAGACGGCCTTCCGTGACGGACAATAATAGTTTTTAGCATGTGCTCTTGTATCTCACCGAGGCATGCGAGATTGATACGCCAATGTGTGTAGAACTGATCGTGTTCTTCTGGTCGGATACACCGTGTTTGACCTCTTCCTTCCACTCGCCTTTTGCAAACCTTACCATTCCTGCTACCCTGGCAGTCCATAGCCATCTCATCGTTGCCCCTTCCTGGACCTCAAAGCGGTTCCTCCTACACACGCGTGTCTTATTGGTGACATTGTGCAGTAGGCTGACGCGCTTGGGCTCAAAACATTGTTCAACTAGTAGGGACAGCCACACTTCGTATCCATGCTTGTTGAATACCAGGCCAATGATCCCTGCGCTGCTCATAGTAGAGGTAATATACCATGTCACATGTGCCAGCGGAAATGCAAGATTTGCAGAATATCAACTCCACGATTGCATACATAACTGAGTGGCCAAATGAAGTGGCCACAGGCTGAAGCGCTGAGTGCTGAAGGAGGGCGATGATCAGCATTCCTGCCAAGGAGTTGCAGCTGTTGGTACTGCACTTGGTTGTACACAGAAAAGTTACAAGTACTTGAAGTAGAGGCCAAGTTGGTGTCAGCCGATGCGTGTGAACTTGGCAGTCGTATTTTTGAAGCTGAAGCTGAAGCTAAAGCGGCTTCTATTAACTTCTAGCCCAAGCATAAGTTGTACTTTCTCATCCCCTCCACGCCTACAAGGTACTTACTGAGCTGCACCTGCTGCACCTTTCACAGTCGAACTTCGAAGTGTCGATTTGATCTGACTGGTAAAATCTCCTCTTGGTTCCAATGCACTGCAGCGCAGCCAGCGCTTGGCCTCCCGCTGTAATGCATCCTAGAATTTCTGATGAGCCACATGCTGAAAGCTACAACACTGGTACAGCTCGCCCAAGAGCTTTTGTACCTTATATTGTCACCTCTTGACGCGTACGACCTAGTACGGGTATGACAGGTAAGCGAACACATCATCATCATCCATCTTACTATGATACTTATCAGCCATAGATGTGCAAAGCGCTGAAAGCAATCATCGACAATTCAGAGATGCTGCAGTATCATATGATCGACCTCAGCTATTTCCAAATAATTCCAGTGGGAACCTCTGAAATAGACATGCCGCCAGCTACACGCCGCAAATGATTTAGACGGCATGACGCTGCATGGCAACGCTTCGAATACAAACAGAAGCGCACGCTCCCCCCAAGTGATGTTGGAAACTACCCTTGAATTTTCAGGTGGTGTATACGGCATTGTTGGGGAGGATTGCATCCCCTTTACGCATCTACCATCCGCGACTGATTTCAATGATCTACATTGTTGAAGCTGCCCTGTCGACACTGGACTTCACTTTCTGTGCTGTGCAAGATCTACTTGTCGTGGTGGCATATTCGCCAGACCCGTGAGCGTTTGCAGTCTTTCGCCCAGTTCATTTTCAGACTGAACTGCGCTGGAAGCCGGACTCATACGTACGATCTCCATCTGAGGTCTCTGACAACGAACGAAATCCACGCCGATGCAACGCAACCAATCCTGAAAACAGTCGATAAGACTGCGAAATAGTCCAATCCACCAATCAATGAAACGTCCGAATCATGGGGAACTACATTAGTATGCTGCTGCTGCATGTGATGGTGAATGAGGGCTCGGTTTGGGACTAGATACAAATGTGGGACTGGAAATCCAAGAATGGTTACCAGGTAAATCAATAGTACTGTCATAAGCTAGAATGACTAAAGGCTTGTTTACACCACAGTTCGTTCTCCGGTTTCACAGTAGTATCAATGACTACTCCTTCATTGCAGAGGAGAAATTCCTCGTTCTCGAGTCCCGCGGGACCATGGAGATATACTGCGTTGCCGACAAATCAAATGCATCGCAAAACTCTCTTTGCCTTCTCTCATGGATCATGTTTCATACACAGGGGCAGTCACGGGCGTAAATATAATTCCAACCTCCATGCTTCCATATTCTCAAAAGTCCTACCAACCTACATGCTCATTTCACCCCAGTACGAACGATCAACTCGTAGCCATCCATGTCTCTGTTACTGGGACAATGGGTCTCACTCGCCCAATCGATTCCCGCCGCTATAGTTTCTTTATGTTGCGCAGTGTCATTGTGCAACTCGAAAACTTATTCGTCAAGACTTATGGCCAACCGACCTTGAATGATCCCAAGTTGCTTTGGTCAACGTGGGGGCCGCAGCATACGTCGTGGTTCCGGGTTCAAAGGGTCTAGGACTGGCAGTTTTTACTCTGTGATTTCGTGTTGTTGAGCCCATCAACGACTCTTCTCGAGTGTCACGCAAGCGCCAACGGTTACGCGTCAGAGATTTTAACCCACACATCGCTTGGAATTATCACGCAGAAGATAAATCAATCTGGCTTGGTCGATTTGTGGAAGGCGAGCTGACTAGTACCATTTTTTGCCCATTTATGGAACCGCTAGGATCTGCGTTACCTTATCGTGAGATCGTTAGCGAGGAGTTGTTTGATGTGGATAATATTTTGATGGACGAAAGTAGAATTATGCTATTCAAAGTGAGTTGCAACTTATATTTGATTCCTTCTGCTTACAACGAAGTGTGGTAGACTGACGAATCTGAAGAATTCAACGTATTGATATTCTGACCACCCTTGGGTAACCCAACGTTGGCGCCTCACGCACCGCTTGTTTTTGTCTTTAATCATCGGCCGCGTTAGCATGGTTTTTCGGTTTTTTTTTCACCGAGTTTAGGTTAGTAGTGACGCCGCACGAGATCACATTCATCTGTGGAAAGCGATTGCTTCATCATATGCTCGTTATATGTCGTGGAACAAAGATTCAATCTTGTGGAAGGCTAATGCACTCCGATACTGGCGAGGTACACTGCACGTGTGACTATGTGCATCCCATGGTTCTTGGCGACTTCTCGACATAAACTATTCTGCATAAGTAGGTGAGGTGCGTGAGTGGTTTTGCAGGTCCGGGCGTAGTGTATGCACGGCATGATGTGGGAGTGAAAAGACAACGCGAACCCTCCTGTTGCGATCGAATTTCAAATTTCGTGGGCTAATATTAATTAGTATGTGTCATATACTAGTCCAAAGTTTCTATGTACACCTGCAGGGCAGTTGGACAACATGTGTAGTGCAAGGTCGGAATATCCGATTGGTGGCTAATCGAAACGTGCGACTGGTAAAACTTGGTGCGTATATGTCCAAGGTTATTATGTGCAAAGTCCCATATACATCAAACCGAAGGATCGCATCAACAGATCCTCCGCACAGGGATGACTCGTACACGGAGAGATCCTAATGCAATGCCACGGCCATCCGATTCCACAATCTTCAGAAACGTGTCACAATTTCGATCTTCAGTGGGGAAGAGTCGGAAGCACGATATTCTGTTCACTGCATCCGAAAGAAGGTCCCACTAACACAGTACAAATCCTGCAAGGCGGTCCGCAGTCCCGACCTCTCAATCACCCTGGATTAATGAAGGCTATGAGGGCGAAGCACGCCCGATGTAGCTTCTGGTCCAACTGCATAGAACAGCACGGACCACTAGCCGATTAGCCAGCCTTGAGGTGAGATATGACACATTCCATCAGAAAGAATGCATCACACAATAACACATACCGATTCAGACGAGAGGTACGCTGTTATCGGAAAGCAACGCTTGAGCAGTCGTTTGCTCGCGATGATAACTGCAAGATATGCAATTCGCGTGCAAACTCCACGCAGCCAATTATGATGATCGGTAGCACCGAAACCTATCTTCATATCGATCCCGGAGCTATTTCCACGCAGAACATGAGATAATAAATCACAACTTGTCGGCCAATAGGCTCACAAGCCTCCACCGACTGCGTTCTACGGAATGCTCGACATTAACATTCAACATGATTTTTTGCCAACTCACCGATTCTTTCCTGTTTGTGATTAGCACGAATATAATTCAAACACTCGTATTGCTCATAGCAAAAGTTTGAACAGAGGAGGTTGTCCTGGTAGAGCAACTGATATTAAGGTGTGCTTAAAGTACTGCACGATTAATGCATAGATGAGTATTGTTCATAGCCGGGGAAACCACTGTTGGCGGGTATGATCGAAGTGACAATTTACAAGGAGTCCGAACACAAACCTCATTAAATTAAATCTGGTAAACTGAAACAGAACAACAGAGATCGCAGAAGTTGTCCGTGAGAACATAAACCAAACGAAAGGATGCGTCAGGCAGTAGACTCTATACTACCTTCTCCGTCGCCATCGACTATCATCTTCTGCTTCTCTTCTGGATCTAACCAGCTATCCTCCACTGTGGCTTTCACCCTTCTTACGTACTCCTTCATGTTGTCTCGGTACAATTGCGCAGCCTCTGCATTTGCTGGGCTGTTCGGATTAGGATCGTGCAGGAGACTCTGGATGGAAGTAAGGATGGCGGCGACATCATATGTGGGAGACCAGCGGTTTTGTAGAATGTCCAGACAGAGCTCGCCATTGTTATATACATTTGGATGGAACATTCTGGAAAGAAATTTCACTGTAGGCGGCTTGTTGGGGTAAGATTCATCAAACGTGAGCAGAAGTTTGAATGTGCCGTCCTCAAAGGGTGTATCAGCTGTAAGTAGTGTCAGAGAAGGATAGTTATATACAGAGATAGAAAACTGACAAGGCCCAAATATTACAGCGTTCCAGATCATGATGTTATCCGGACATGGACTTCCAGAAATGCCGCTTGGCGGGTCACTAGAGAGTCGTTTGAAGTCACGGATAAGCCGTCTCCTGCAGGTGGTAGACTATTGAAATCATAAGCGGCAAAGACGATGGGATTTGATGCTCGCATACCATGTTATCTGGCTGGCTTGTATTTGATTAAAACAGAGGTAAGAATTGCGAGAGAACTAGAAGTACAGGATCAAGAGGGTTCGCAAGGCCACACCCGGTCCGCTGCTAGCCTCAAGCGAATGCTTACAAAGCACACCACAATCGGCAATTAGAAAAGGCATTCAAATATTTCTCCCTACTAATTCTCAGCATCTCTGCAGTTGCTCTGCAGCCCATCGATGTCTTCGGGCCTGTTTAGCAGTCTCCCTTCCATTCCACCCTCAACCATCACCACTTGTCCAGTGACGTGACCAGAAAGAGTAGACGATGCAAGAACCACAATCTGTGTCGCGATGTCCATTGGCATGGCCACTTTCTTAAGTGGAACCCTGCGGTGGCATGACATTCATCACCAATTATTCAACAATGGATCAAATGGTATCGCTTACGTAGCCAATATACGAGACATTGTTTGAGGATCATTCAAGATGTCTTCAACCATACGCGTCTTGACCCAGCCAGGTGCGATACAGTTGACTCTACCTTTTGGGGCTATCTTCACGATCTCATTCTTCAGCGTCAGGTTCAAACCATACATCATTGCTAGAATATCGTGAGTCCATGTCAAAAGTGTTGACAGAAACTATTACTGACCACTCTTAGTCGCAGCGTAGTCCCCGTTGTTGGCTTCACCATACTTCCCAGCAGTACTTCCGACAAGAATAATTGCTGCCTTTTCCTTGATATCCGAGGAAGCCCTTTCCAGATGCTGCAAATACTCTCTGCACACAAGGAATGAAGATGTCAAATTCACAGTCATTGTAGTGTTCCATTGATCCAGCGTCATCCTTGCAATGGGCACAGCTAAACTGTAAGATATAGCGTGATTGATGACCACTACTTGCACGGGACCATGAGGCATAGTAGACAGCGATTTGAACATGGTTATAACAGCCTGCTCTTCAGACAGATTCGCCTGGACGTGTTGAAGATTGGTGTTCGACGCCAAAAGTTCCTGTATCGGACCAAACTGCGAATTATAATGTGCGGTCACATTTGCACCAAGTGCTGGATGCTCTCAACCCAGTGCTCAGATATCTTTTGGGGGATGACTTACTACAAAACAATTTCACAGTCTCGAGCCCGATTCCGCCACTTGCCCCTGTGTAAGTAGTATCAGATCAGCACTCGCATAGTAAAAGGATACAATTGCAACCTGTGACAAGGACATGCACTCCCTTCAATCCAAGATCCATGGCAAATGATGATAACCAAGCTGATCAAAGCTTCAGCTTCAAGCTTAAGAATGTCCAGGTGTGATCACTACTTGTGTGAAAATATCGAAACGGATCAGGGACATAGTGGTCACCCGGTCGGAACTCCTCCAAAGAGCACACTCATATTAATACTGTAAACGGTCGGCGCCCTCCTCGTCAGTGCTTCGGATCTGATGATAAGACTATCAATCTTTGGGCCTTCAAGTCCCAACAGCGATGGCATTGCCAAAATCCTTATATCCTCACCCCGAGTCAACCGACTCACTTCAACTAGCTTACACGTTCTACGATACTGATGATCCCAATACCTATATATGCATCATCACCCCCCGCTCTGCTTACTATCGCGAAAGTACGGTTCACTCTCCCCGAACTATGCATTCATTCACATGAAACCATCTTCTCTGGATTAACCCGTATTCGCTGTAACACAAATCTTCTTATCTCTTGTTGCCTTGTTGACTTGCCTGCCCCGTCAGTCTGCGTGATTATGACGCTCCAAGGCGAACTTTAATGACGCTCCAGTTACATACTTGAATGATTCGATATACGTACGAATGCATAGGTTACTGTCGACCGATATTGAGGTGGACCAACGTTGCAGTGGCGCCGGGTCACGAGATTTTGGAAACGGGTATAGTTTCTGAAGAGTCAACGTATTCAAAAGCAATTCTCTTGTTCATCAGAGACAGACAAAAACAGAGGCCGTAAAACCGTGCCATCCAGTGCACTTTGCGCCATATCATATGTCAGACCACCTCAAGTACAAACTAAGTCTACCTCGAATTCATCATCATTCGGATGTGTGCTTCTCTCGCTGTGTTCACGACTTCAAACGAGCAAGGAAATGGTTCAGGGTGACTTCGGCAGAGTCAGTTGTAGGTTATTGAATACATACTAGATCACTTACATCCCCAAGCCGGTGGTGTACTCCGGCTTCACCTCGATCTTGTCTCCGTTTGAGTCTTTGGCATGATCGATGCGCAAGACGGCGAGTATGGTAGCAAATGCATTCCACAGACTGTTCTCTGCAAACCAACGACCTGCCAAAGGCATTTGTCATCCTCGACACTGCCAAATCAGCCATGAATCAGCCTACCAGGACAAATACGCCTGCAAGGGTCAGTGGATCATTGAAGATGATAGTAAGGTTGGAAAATTCACCTGCCATGACCAAAGGCAAAATGGTTGACGAAAGGGTTCTTCAGCTTCCCATCGACGGTCAGATGGCGGCTAGGGTCGAAGCGCGATGCATCGGGAAATATGTCTTCATCCCGAGACAGTGCCCTGAACAATGCTCAGCTCAAACCAATACATGCATCCAAGCCCGACATACCACTGATTAACCATGACTATTGTACCTGGCCGAACTACAGGTGAGTCAATGGCAACCTTGATTCTTACGACTTCAAACCTTTGGGTATAAAGTGCCCTTGGTAAACATCATCATTTGATGCCGCATGTGCGAATCCTGTGCAAAGGGTCAGCCATGCAAACACAAACCTGTATTACCACCGGCTAACCTAAGGGGGCGGGAGGATACCATCTCATGACCTCGTGGAGAATGGCATCAAGGTAGGGCAGTGACGCCCTGTCATCAAGGCACGGCATGCTGTCGTACCTCACAGCTTGGTCAATTTCTGCACGAGCACGGGTTTGGACGTCAGGATAGAGCATCATAGCCAGCAGGAATGTCTGCAATGCAGATGCAGTCTGCGAGACATCAAAATAAGAATCAGAAATGTTTCAAGTAATTAAGTAGCGACTTACGGTTTCCATGCCAGCTAAGATGCCGTATTCCAGTCAACAGATGAGCTCCGTCTGGGTGAAAACAAATTCCTACCCATGTATCCCATGAATGCAACAGCCTTCAGATTGTCTTCGTCAGTGTCGTCGTGAGCTTCACTGAGAAAGTCAGCAACTAATGAGCGCGAAGCAGTACCATCTGCCTTCACGCAAACAGATCAGGCGAAACTTTCATCCACAAGTCTGCGCGAACGTACTATCTGTGCCTTCACTTCGTTCAAGGGCTCGTTCAAAAGTCGTTGACTTATTTCTCTACAGCGTCCCATCAGGGCAAATGCTCCACCAAAGCACCAAAACGGCAACTTTTCGACTGCAACCTCATGCTGAATGTTCAAGATGATGTCGTCGACAGAGGCACTCACGGAAAGGAAAGGCTGTGAACATGGCAGCCTTCTCAGGAGAGAGAATCTGTTTTGCAATATCAAGTATTTCGTGCGCATGGGAAAGAAATGAGCCTTCATCAGCGAGATGTCCGTATGTCACGGCCATAATTAGGGATCCCGAGTATCTGTCACAAGGATTGGTCGTCAACTGGACCACACGTCACAACGACATCACTGGATTAGGTACGAACGTTTCAGCGTGTTGCTGCAATGAGTCACTAGTGGCACCTAAGAGATTGATGACTAGTTCATTTGCATGGCGAGAGTGTATCTCGTGGTACGAGACCGAGACCTCTGCCCTAAGGACTTGATGGTATATCTTGCGATGTTGTCGTAAAGTCTCCCCATACGGAAGCAGTATAGAATTGAAAGCCAGCCCAGCTCTGTATCGTCAGTGGATGAAGAACAAATTGAATGGAAACCGGTAATGCATACAATTCATTGATGCGACAAACGGGACGGGTAGAGTAATTCGCAGAACGCTTTTCCAGCAACTCCTGGGCGATGGTTTCGGAGCTTATGATGATCATGTCGATCCCAAGTATCCGGGAGCGGAAGATTTTTCCTACGATCAGGCATGAAGTTAAATCCAGGAGCTTGGCAAAGAGCTTGGTCTACTACCAACCATATGTCTTTCCCCACGCAGTATATGTGAGCCAAGGACGTTTAGTATCCAATTGCAGCGCGTTGCCCAAAAATGGTAAGGGACGAGGACCAGGTAGCAGAGGGAAAGGGTAGACACGTCTGCGAGTCAGACGCAAAGCGACAAGCAGGGCAATAACGCACGATACCCCTAGAGTGAAGAGCATGGGAAGAGATTGTGGTTGAGCGCAAGGCATGCTGTGAGTTAGTTGGTCTTCTCCGACTATAAGTACGGAGTAGGGAGCGTCCTGTCGGATCAAATTGTCCAGGCACACGGTATTTTCTGATGCGCGCGGTTTTTTTAGTCTAGGGTTTTGGGTCTAGTCCGAACTAGTGCACCTTCCCATTTCTTCCTCTTCTGCCGTCCTTAGTGGGCACTCGCTTTTCGTGGCTGTTTCAGTCCCGCTTCGAGTACGTGTTCTGTCGTGCATGTATTTTTTATTATTAATGCCCATTCGTCATCTGTGTTCTTGCGAAAGTCCCCGTGCACCCGTGCTTAGCTTGCATGATTGTCCACCCCATGATGTTGAACACGAGACACCCACATACCCATTGTATTATAACCCGTTGTATCACCATCATGCCCATTCCACCGTTTTTGCAACTGCCCCTGCTTTTTGTGCGTGGTTGCAATCGCCACTTGAGCTTCATGTCCAGTCCTGTTCTGCATGCAGTAGTTTTGACCTTCCTGTGTCTGTGATCTTCCATGAACCCGATGTCCTGGTTCGAGTGGGTGAGGAATCAGTTGGTTTTCCTTGTTCTCAATTTGAGTCGCTGTCTTACACGCATTGTTTTGTTATTCAACGTTTTACGTTGCGTTCACAGGACCTTCAGTCTTCTACAGGGGTCTGCGGTCTCTCCGTCGCCGCACGTAATCCATCGTGGTTTACTGCGTCGCCTGTGTCCTACGAAACCAGTCTGAGCTGTTTGACTGTTTCCGTCCTGCGTGATGCTGCCCAGCACATTGGATGTAAGCGGTCAGCAAGGCCAAAAGTGTTACATAATGCCATTTTGCAGGTCCTGCGGACAGAGCTTGCGACGAGGAGCTCACACAATGCGCAAAACCTCAGCAAATCAGCCTGTTATCATATCCCCCATGCATCAAATCCATTCGCCTAAGATGGGCCATCAAATCATTTCCTTCGCCATTTCCGCAAACTTTTCACTTTTCTTCTCGCACGAAATCAGTTCCTCCTGTATGGCTCGCTCGCCTCGCGATTCATGGGATATTCATTTCTTTATCTCGTTGCCTTTAGAGTTGACTCGACTGTCTCTCACAGTTCCCTGGTACGTCGCCCTTTCCTTCCAATCGCTCGGCCTCGCTGCAGGCTGCAAGTCAGTCTAATCATGACGATCTTCAGTTTGAGTAAATTCGCAATGCATGACTGAGGCCACATCCAGTTCGAAATGAGCTCTCCGCCCTGCCGCTCGAGCGGAATCACGGAGTTCTTGCATCAGGGCTTTTCCTTCCATACGTCCGTATTCCAACCAGTCGCTGAAGTCGCAGCGGGGCGGAGATTCATTGTACCAAATCTTATTTCTCGTTGCCTTGTTGCTCGTGTGTCGAATAGCGCCTTTCTGCTGCCAAATTGCGAGAATGCGGGAAGGTCAGTAATACCCGGTACCCAACGGACAGGCAGAGTAAACTGGTGGGTCGCCGATTGGTTAATTTACTTACCCATGGCGTCGAATCTCAGGTAATCACCACCTGGACAAATGTGTGTCTTATCGCTCTGTTCATGCGCAACCTTGTGAGATCGATTCCTCTGCCGTAAGCATAGCATGAGGGTGCCTAGGCTGTCAATGGATGCCTTTAAGCTTCAACCCCAAGGTTCAACGTCAGAATGCGGGCTCATGAGGTCCGCCCTGTCAGTCTGGGTGATTACGATGCTCCAGAGCGAACTTCAATGAACTGCGCTACAGTTGCATCGTTGAATGACTCGATATATGTATGCTGTAGTACGAGTGCATGGATTACTATCCACCGATAGAAGTGGACCAACGGGAGGGGCTTGTGAACTGATTGATAGTATGCAGCTTGGATGCGCCGGTTCACGAGATTTTGGAAATGCGTCTATTTTTTGAAGAGTCAATGAATTCAAAAGCATTTTTCTTGTTCATCAGAGACAGAAAAAAACAGAGGCCGTGAACTCGTGCCATCGTACACTTCGCGCTATATAATATGGTAGACCACCTCGAGTACAAACCAAGTCTACTTCGAATTCATCATCGCTCGGATGTGTGCTTCTCTCGCTGTGTTCACGACTTCAAACGAGCAGGGAAATAGTTCAGGGTGACTTCGGCAGAGTCAGTTGCAGGTTATTGAATGCATACTAGATCACTTACATCCCCAAGCCGGCGGTGTACTCCGGCTTCACCTCGATCTTGTCTCCGTTTGAGTCTTTGGCATGATCGATGCGCAAGACGGCGAGTATGGTAGCAAATGCATTCCACAGACTGTTCTCTGCAAACCAACGACCTGCCAAAGGCATTTGTCATCCTCGACACTGACAAATCAGCCACGAATCAGCCTACCAGGACAAATACGCCTGCAAGGGTCAGTGGATCATTGAAAATGATGGTAAGGTTGGAATATTCACCTGCCATGACCAAAGGCAAAAGTGGTTGACGAAAGGGTTCTTCAGCTTCCCATCGACGGTCAGATGGCGGCTAGGATCGAAGCGCGATGCATCGGGAAATATGTCTTCATCCCGAGACAGTGCCCTGAGCAATGCTCAGTTTAAACCAATACATGCACTCAGGCCCGACATACCACTGATTAACCATTACTATCGCACCTGGCCGAACTGCAGGTGAGTCGACGGCAACCTTGACTCGTACGACTTCAAACCTTTGGGTATAAAGTGCCCGTCGTAAACATCATCATTTGATGTCGCATGCGCGATTCCTGTGCAAAGGGTCAGCCATGCAAACACAAACCTATATTACCACCGACTAACCTAGGGGGGCGGGAGGATACCATCTCATGACCTCGTGGAGAATGGCATCAATGTAGGGCAGTGACGCCCTGTCATCAAGGCACGGCATGCTGTCATGCCTCACAGCCTGGTCAATTTCTGCACGAGCACGAGCTTGGACGTCAGGATAGAGTATCATAGCCAACAGGAATGTCTGCAATATGGATGCAGTCTGCGGGACATCAAAGTAAGAATCAGAACTGCTTTAAGTGCTCAGGTAGCGACTCACGGTTTCCATGCCAGCTAAGATGCCGCGTTCCCGTCAATAGATGAACTCTGTCCTGATAAAAACAAATTCATACCTAAGTATCCCGTCAACGCAACAGACTTCATCATGTCTTCGTCAGTGTTGTCGTGAGCTTGACTGAGAAAGTCAGCAACTGATGAGCGTGAAGCAGTACCATCTGCCTTCACGCAAACTGATCAGGCGGAATTTCCATCCACAAGTCCGTGCGAACGTACTATCTGTGCCTTCACTTCGTTAAAGGGCTCGTTCAAAAGTTGTTCACATAATTCTCTACAACGTCCCATCAGGGAAAATGATCCACCAAAGCACCAAAACGGCAACTTTTCAACTGCAACCTCATGCTGAGTGTTCAAGATGATGTCGTCGACAGAGGCACTCACGGAAAGGAAAGGCTGTGAACATGGCAGCCTTCTCGGGAGAGACAGCCTGTTTTCCGATATCGACGATTTCGTGCGCGCGGGAAAGAAACAAACTTTCATTAGCGAGATGTCCGTATGTCACGGCCATAATTAGGGATCCCGAGTATCTGTCACAAGGATTAATCGTCAACTGGACCGTACGTCACAACGACATCACTGGATTAGGTACGAACGCTTCAGTGTGTTGCTGCAGTGAGTCACTAGTGACATCTAAGAGATCGATGACCAGTCCATTTGCATGGCGAGAGTATATCTCGTGGTACGAGACCGAGACCTCTGCCCTAAGGACTTGATGGTATATCTTGCGATGTTGTCGTAAAGTCTCCCCATACGGAAGCATCACAGAATTGAAAGCCAGTCCAGCTCTGCATCGTCAGTGGATGAAGAATAAATTGAATGAAAACAGGCGATACATACAATTCGTTGGTGCGAACGACGGGACGGGTAGAGTAATTCGCAGAACGCTTTTCCAGCAACTCATGCGCGATTGTTTCGGAGTTTATGATGATCATGTCGATCCCAAGTATCCGGGAGTAAATAATTTTTCCTACGATCAGGCATGAAGTTAAATCCAGGAGGTTAGCAAAGAGCCTGGTCTGCTACCAACCATATGTCTTTCCCCATGCAGTATATGTGAGCCAAGGACGTTTAGTATTCAATTGCAGCGCGTTACCCAAAAATGGTAAGGGACGAGGACCAGGTAGCAGAGGTAAAGGATAAACACGTTTGCGAGTCAGACGCAAAGCGACAAGCAGGGCAATAATACACGATATCCCTAGAGTGAAGAGCATGGGAAGGGATTATAGTCGAGAGCAAGCCACATATGCTGTGAGTTAGTTCGCCTTAAAGATCATATCGACAGCTGGCAAGTACTATTAATATCAAGAGGCGCAGAGTGGATTATAGAAGCTTAGTCAGGCAATTTGAGACAAAACAAAGTACAACATTCAACAACGTTCAGCCACCAAGACAATCTACGAACTCGATGCCGAAGACTATCGCATCACCAACTAGCCTACACCAAGTGGAAATGACTTCGTCTCATTATGAATAGTTCTTGTACATGTTAGCGCTGCCAGGCGCCTTTCAAAGTCAAGTGAAGCTTTTCAAGTCCGCGGTGACAGGTACCGTGAGAAGTTCGCGTAGAAGTTAAGAGTTGAATGGAGTATTTTCACCTTCTCTCAGCTTCAACTGCAACAAGATGGACGTTTTTTCTACCATTGTAAATGCATCTGCGATGTCTCTGCATGTTTCGCTTCTTGCCATCGCGTTTAACCCAACAGCTTGGAACATCGTGGCCCGGAATGGTGAAGGAATTGATAATCGTACCCAACTCGTATTAACACGTGTTTATATGTTGCAGAGTACAGAAACAAGACGATTACTCGCATATTTGGTGGTAATGCTCGCTATGGATGTTACTTCTTAGCCATCATGATATTTTCATTTGGGATGCTTCGTGATCATTTGTATGTTCAAGGTACACGATATCTCTGGTAGACGTTGCTTGACATCCGGCAGATATCAGCGTGCTTTGAGCGACCAACCTCGAGTTCCTATGCTCTCTGCGCCATATGACATTCTGATACCGGTCGTTCTGTTTGCCATCGGCCAGCTGTTTGTTGTCACTTCCACTTGGGCCCTGGGAATAACTGGAACTTTCCTCGGGGACTACTTCGGTATTCTGATGGATCATCGCGTACAGGGTTTCCCGTTCAATGTTCTGAGGGATCCTATGTATGTTGGAAGTACGATGTGCTTTATTGCGACGGCCTTATGGTATTTTTTTGTCCTGCATTTTGGCACGATCTAAATCTGTTGTGCACAGGTACGAGCGGCCAGCCGGACTCCTCGTGAGTTTGTACGTGTATATCGTTTACCTGATTGCACTACGATTTGAAGGGTAAGTTCATTGCTTCGCCAATTGTGTCAGCGTTTCTGAAGGACAATGTTAGACCATTCACTGACATGATCTACTCCAAACGAGCCTCTACGAAGAAGGCATTATGATCACGACACCTGAATGACATACGGACACACATTATCATTTACTTGGTCACCAATATACTATGGTAACTTGCTCCATCTGGCCAAGCTAAAATTGTGCTTGTACATAGCGTTGATAATTGTTTGAATGTTAACGTCATACAAGTTGGCGTCAAAGTTTATCATTCGTTGTGCCGCTGCATGATTTCACCGTGATACTGGTATGAATAAATTGACATCATGTCACATCTCTCATCTTTCGAATGACAAATCGTGCGGCGAGTCCACCTACTTAGCTTTCGAGTATGATTCCCAAAACCTCGCTGGATGTGTCTTACTCTTAGTTTTGAGAATCTACGGATCACCCAGGTCCAAGTACATGCTTCGGACCTGAAAGTTCTCACCCAATAATTATCTCTTCAAACATATAATCCATCTGTCATTTCTTTAGCCGCTGAGCAGGGGACGGGTTGAAGAAGTATACTCTGGTTCATCTTGCGCTACGCTGGACAGATCAAGACCGCCAGAAGTTCCAGAGCATCATCGAATTTGCATAGCCAAGCCACATGACACGCCCTGTATTGTTTTCAATAGTGCCGTTGCAAGTTTACAAATGACGATACAGATTAATATTGCTTTTGCTCACAGAGTTTTTGTCTTCATTCAGACAAAGTCGCACGATACTTGACTTCATCGGTGTTGTGTTACCTGTTCCAACTCGGGGCTTGTTCGCTTAATGACTCTCAGTTACCAGCAGAATACCACCGAGAGACCCCGGCAACATTCGGAACCGGTCTGTCTACGCCATTTCCTTTGTACTCCTTTATTAAAAATACCGTGTTTATATACTCCTTGCCTGTGAGCCCCTGCGTGCGTCATCCCTCCCATTTGCCTCATCGTCTATGTCGTCCCTGCACTCAATCCTCGTTCTCTCCACCAAGAAAAAATTGACGAGGTACGCAAATTATTATATTCTTGCACTTAATCCTTGTTCTCTCCGTCAAGAAAAAAAGGACGAGTTACGCAAATTGGTATATCCTCGCATTCGATTCTTGCTCTCCGCCAAGAAAAAATAGACGAGTTATGCAAATTGGTAAGTCGCGTACATTGGTCCATCTATTCCACTACTCAAGAATGCCCCAATACCCTGCTTAGATTGCTGTACATGCTAATACAAGCTCATGTCTGACTTCCAGGTTCTTTTCTCAATGTCGGATGTCTCAAGATACGATAGTCAACGATACCGGCACCTGGCGTCAACGCATATGCATTCATGTCAGTATATACTGTTAAAAATGTTCAGTTTGTGCCTACTTTGTCGACTCATGAGTGCGCTTCGCCCAGTATAGATGTGTTGATTTGTTATCGCGACTCTGTTAAATCCCATGTATAATGTAGAAGTCAATGCTAGATGCGGCACGGACATCGTATTGGTATCCACGCACACGATTGATGTTGTGGTGTGCTTGCTCATTCACGTTTGTAGTCGTTGGTGATGCCTTCCATATTGCAATGGGCATGAGACTCACTGGCCAGTAAATTGCAGGCAATGCAAACTTCGAAGATTCTTTGTCTTTGAACTATGTTACGATATCAATATGTTATGTTATAAGCAGTAGTTTTATAATCATTTGTTTTGTATACTAAGTGATGGTGTACGGGGGGGTTGGTGCTATGGATGTTTGGACTTGAATGTTACCTCATTTTCGAACCGATCAAGGCTCCGAGTTGGAACAGGGCACCTGATACTCGACTTCATGGAATTCGAGGTTGTGGGCGCATGCAGTAATGTAAGATACAAATTTATGTAAACAAGCTAGTCCAAAGCTATTCACATTAAATGTCAGATATCAGGCGCCTCTCCAGTTCAAGTACTGCTGTCTATGTCCGCTTGAGGATGTTGTAGTGAAAATACCAATACCTCGAGGTTGAAACGTCGAAACCTCAGACTAGTGATATAATACTTAGCTGCATCGTCGCGTTGGTGCCAAGCTGCAGGCTTAGACTTTGAAGATGAAGGGGTACTGGATGCAGTCTTCTGAGCCTCAAGATTACTAATATCTACAGCAATTTGAACGCCAGTGGCATTCAGATGGACGTTTGCTGTGATGTGGACAGAGCCCACGCTAACGGTGATACAGAGACTTGTGGAGCTGGAAGGAAGTGAGATACGCTCAACACCGGCGATCTAATCGTAAACAATTGGTGCGTCAACAACAAATGTTGCACTCTTCGCATCCTCCTCGAGGTATATGCGGAAGGCGGGAGCACAGCGGAACGACAAAAGTGATTCAATCCTCTGCATGGGCATTGGGCAAGACAAACTGTCCGCCATCCATGAGAAGCTTGCCATTATTAAGGCGGCACCTAACCACCGCATCGAAGGTTGCGTCAGGATCACTGCTGGGCCGGTGCTAGAAGTTAACATCTAGATAGCTGAGAGTGATAGTCCTCCTACTTTTGCCTCCAACGAGTTCTGCGTTCGCTTTAATATTATGATCAACGTTAACAAGAGAATTCAGAAGTATATAAAGCGAGAAATCTGATGTTGATAACAAGCTTAAGGGGTTGGGAATGACGTTCCCACAAGTGTTTGTCACTTGTTTGCACAAGGTCACTTCAAAAGACAAGAATTTTTAGGTTAGGCTTCGTCTCAACCACGTCTCAGAAATGCCCCCACATTCTCTTCTTCTGCAGCTTTCATTATTCTGCGATCTTGTCGCTTTTGAAGTGCATACCCAAATGTTCCGCTGCTCAAACCGACTTATAGAGACGATTTCATGGAGCTTCCTTTTTTTTCTGTCGTCCTAGCCCTATACTAGCTTGTCAAATGCCGGCCATCAATCCATCGCACGCACTTGCCCAATCGAATGTAAGTACTTCGATTCAGCCCGATGTTTCATTAGCACCCAGCGGTGCTATTTTTCTACGATGAGATTTTTTATCTTTCAGTTATCCCTGTCTTAACATTCATGTCGAGATATGAAAATCTGACCTCTCTGCTCGTGGCTTTTCTTTCAAACCCTTGCTGACTGCATCTTACTTTTCAGACATGGGTTACTTTGGAGCGGCATTGGAGACTGTCTCGAATTCGTTCAGCACGCATCCGCATACGAGCTTGCGGAATACCGATATATTCAGGTACCAAATATCCCAAGATCAATCCTCGTATAAAACGAAGGCAGACTTGGCGTTTGAAGGTGTTACACGTTATACACATGTAATGGAGCTATAGATATAGTTTGCAATGTTATAATTTAACAAAATGCCACTTTCATATGTTTCATTTTTTTTTGGCGGCGATGTCATCGTCCATGGTATTTTCAATCATCAAGCTAGACTAAGTATGAAATGTCCATCTATTGTTGTCCGCATTCTGCATCAGGGATTATGTTGAACTGACCACAAAGGCCGCAGAGGCCACGCTACCAAGCGTGAAACTGTCACCCGTTGTGTTGACACTTCCGCTCGTGTACACAACCTCAACACCAGCGCCAAAGAGTCCGATGTCTGCCCAGGTCACATTCGAGGTGACATAGTCAGTATTGGTAGCAAGGACGAGCGTCCCAAGTCCTGCCGCCCAAGTAGCAATGTCAACGCCCCCGACTAAATAGTTGCTCCGAGGCGAGGTAGCGTTGAAGATATATGATGTGAACTTCGGTAAGCTCAGCGCGAACGCGGACGCCGCCACTTTGATGTATTCGGGGTTCGGATCTACCCAGGGGACAACACCCAGAGCACCTTGATTAATGCCCATGATGCTCTGGACAACCCATTCTTCGCCTGTAGGAGTCCGCGTCCAATATCTGACGAGCGCAGTCAACAACAGCAGATACAAGAAAGTGACAAAGGCTACTGACTGTGCAGTGCCAAAAGCTTGAGGAACAGTCCATACCGCTTTGGTACGTTCCCATCCCATCACCTCCAGTCGATTTTGGAAGCTGGCAACCCGGTCGCTGATATCAAAGTACGAACCGATACCGCTGTTTGCGGGAACGACGCTTTCATAATAGGTAGAGTTGGGTGAAACAGCAGCGCTATTTCCGGCAGGAATGCTGAAGCAATTGTCGCAACCGCAGTCACCATAGTCGGGTGTGCAAGTCGTGTTCCACTCATTGGACCAGGTGACATTGTTCCCGATCATGTACACGTCTTGCATGACGATATCTGTGCCTGCAGTGTACGAGGCCCATTCGTAGTCCTGGCAATTCAGCACAAGACTGACAGGATGATAACCATCCAGGCTGTAGATGAGGTCGTATGCAATACTCGTGGCGTTCAGTGGGTCTGAGGTTCCGTCTGGTTCATCACCGGTGTACCATAGTAGGAGGTTGGGACGATACTTGATAGAATTCACCTGTTCCATCACGGAGGTGTTGTTCATGTAGGTGAATCGCATATCATACATGAGATACATGCCGACTTCTTGCATACGATCGAGAACCATTTCAAAGGCGGTCATATTGTCGAATGTGGGGACAATATGAATCTGCGCTGGTAGTAAGCACTCGGCTCCTCTATGCAAAAATTAGGAAAACGTACAATGTTGAACCTGAAGGCGAGTATCAGATTTGTACAGACAATAACACAGGAAGAGGCCTACCCTTGTTCTTTCAGCGTATCAACCACCGAAATATTTGTTGAGAGGTATCCATCAAAGGTCGTATAGAAGCCAACCGGAAAGATTGGCTCGTACTCTCCACCTAGCCCAGTTGCTGGCTTTACCAGAAGTGCTCCAGTCCTTAAATCCATCTTAGTCACAGAGCTGTTGGTCGGATTAGGGAGCACAGAAAGAGCTGCCGAAGCGTTGTAGGTCTGAAGTGACGATGAACTTGTTGAGTTGCTTGCCAGGTATGTGGCTCCACAAGAAAGGTTGTACGGGGTCATCTGAGGAGTGATCCCATCAAGGCTAAATGGTAGCTCATATGCAGAAGCATTGAGTGGGACAAGCGCATTGACGAGAGTCTTTCCATTCAGGCTCACAGTGACGTCCAATTGTCCTGCACTGGAAAGAGGCCCTGCGGGGAGGCCGATTGGTTGTGCCCCGACTATCTCTGAGTACACCACGGGTGAATCAATGAGGACGCCTGCAGGTGTGCCTATATCCTCTTCCAAGTAAGGTTTTACAGCAGCCGCACACCGGAAGGCAAGAAGTGGGACGTCTGACACAGCTGGGATAGTGAATTCGCCTCCTGGTGGGACAACAGACTGATTGGCCATGTAGTGCTTATTACACCTTCGGAAGGGGTCAAAAATGTTGGTCAGACAAGTTGCGTCGGGATATCCAAACGAACAATACTCACCATGTTTGAGCTGATACACGAGCGAGAAGCTGTATGCCACTGAGCACTGCGAAAGTCAGACGTGGCATTCTTGCCAGTGCGGTCGCGCACCCGAGTAGTAAGGGTGGGATGAGTAATAAGTATGGGATAACATTGTTTGGTTTTTCCGGTATAAATATTCATGAACATGGTCGGAAAAGGTTCGGAGCTCGTGTGATCTGCTACCATGTGGATGCAATACGTATGACTTACGGTGCAGGTCTTGCCAGCTTAGTGGTGGGACCAAGATCGACCGTGGTACAATCACCATTTCAGCTGCTTGGCAGAATTTCCAGTGCTGTTGTTGTCGGCTTGAACCAGTCGTACGGTCCCCCGTTGCCTAATTTAGTATTTTTTAAACTTGGCCAGGTACAGCAGTTCTAAACATAATTCTCCGTGGGGCAGAAGCCCGCCAGCCGGTTCTATCAAAGCGGTGCTATGGCAGAATTCTGCGGGCATGAATCCGGTAGAATGTCAAGCTACAGGGGATTGCAGTGAATAATGTAACCTTTCTCGATCGACTCACTCGAGCAACTGACTTGTAGAGTAGAGTAGAAAAAAACCAGTTGTACAGTCTGTACTATAATCATCACAAGGCCGTAGCTAATGGAAAGCCAATTCGTTGACGTCATGCACACCATTAGTGGGCACCACCACTCGCACCCCAATCTTGACCGAGGTCTTCCACCTGTTGACGAGATCATGATAGTTAATCAATCGATCACAGCTCACATGACGACAGGCAGTGGGATGCGGACGTCTCTTCTAATGGTGTTTCCTATACCATACATTGTCATGCACATAGCCTTGTAGCGCTTTGAGATTTTGCCAAGTGGCAGAAGTGACAAGAATCGCCACTTCTGCGGGCATAATCAGCATAATTGCCCGTAAATAATTCTACCCCAGCACTAGTGACTCACGCCCGATCTTGCCGTTTGTTGAATTCAATGGATGTTCTGAATTTGACCACGAGTATCGTAGGAAAAGCAGTCCGACAACACGCAGCTCGTAGGTGTGAACATCGTTTCCAATCAGATGCCGCTAAGTATAAGCACCCAAAAGATATCGAATTTGGTAAACGTGCCTGAGATATCAGATATATTTATGCATCTAGAATGGGCGAAGAAATCAGATCTTATGCGTGGTAGAACTCTTGTTCTTTGTTTCATATTCATCACTTGGAGGCCGCTTTACAGATAGAAGTAGCATCGTAGTTCTTGTGATGCATTTCCTCGCAAATAGTAGCGATCTCTTGCTCGTTGCTCAAGCGCTCATACTTGTCCTCGGGAATCGGCATCGATCAGGATATCATGGTCCAAACACAAGACGCAAATAACTCTGAACCCGAAGACCTCATGTAAAACTTCCTTCCCGGAGTTATGTGGAAGACATTCAATGGACACCGTCAAGGTTGCCGAAGTACTAGGCACCCAAACTACGGACAAGTAAATGTCAGATAAGACTCTTTTGGCAGACATAGAATTGAGCTCAGCAATCAGAGGGTTCTTGAAAAACACGACGGCTTTATGCGCGAAGCCGCATGAACTGGCTCACAGTTATAGCTCACGCCTCGGGAGGAAATCTTAATTTTATGAGCGGCTAATTTTGGATGAGGAAAAAGTGTTCCATACATTCCTAAGAGTCTTTATCGTCTCGCCATTAAATATCGGCTATACTTCAATCAACTAGCGACACTCGTTCGTGACAGAATGGATGATCTTCCAAGTCTATGTCCAGAAGACCCAATACAGTGCATGTGTATTAGAAGTGAGGTGGAAGAAAAAGAAAACAATCGTGAATAAAGGTACTGGAGGATTCGCTGAGGGGTTATTTGATTCTCTCTGTAATTTGAGCGAGTGAGGACGCGACAGCAGGCCCAGAAAAGTCAAAAATCACGAATTTAAACCAGTATGCACGAGAACATGGAAATGTTCAGCGAACATAAGTAGTTTTATTTTATCTTGGGAGGACCACCGGATAAGAGTAATTGATGCGTCAACGGGTGTGTCACTTGTGGTCTAATTGAACTGTGCTTCCAGTGGGAGACTTGGTGGGGTCATTGTTACATGGTCGTACGATACCAGGCGTTTCACGGTGGTATGAGGATGTGACTCCAGAGGTCGGACTCTGGACTCGCTTAGTAAGCCGCTAGTAATTTGGCCAGACTCATCACCGAAATTCCCCAACTCGGATAAGGGCTGATAATGACTGACCAGGATGCACAAGGTCGCAAAAGGTACACCAGATGTATCAGTGTGCGGAAGGCTGGGGAAACAACTTATAAGATCTGGTTGAGAAACTCAATTGAAGATAAGACGGCGGAGGTTGGGTAAGTAACTCGTACCTTAGCGCAGATTTTGAGCTTAGAAGCATTGATATGCCAATACTACTTATACGTTCTGATTTGGTGATGAATTCTGATAAGACCATTTCATTTTGGTATTGCATTACATGGTATGAGCAGAAAGTAAAAGTACATCTAAGAGTGGAACATGCACCAAAGCTTCTCTAAGAGCAGACACGCGCCAAAGCTTCTGAAGGAGACTCGGTATGACAACCACAACAAGAGGATGATTAGACAGCAGCTTGAATGCGAACTGCGAATGAGAAGTGGGACGACGACAAGAGCGAAACATGCGACGAGTGGACAGCGGCTTGAATGTTGCAAATGAGAGAGACAGACAGACGAGAAAGACACATCCTGAGTGAGAAAAAGCAGTGTCGACAATGAGACGAACCGTACACCAGCACCTGCATCTACCCCTTCTGAATCAGGCTTGCTATCCGCATGGGTTGCAGAGTTATGACTCGAACACGCTCTCATAGTCTATGCATCACCAATGACAACCTCCAGGGCGCCAGTTGCTGTTATCGATGCCAGGACTGGATATTTCCAGTTTCGCTAACCTCTCAGTAACACGAAAATCTCATCTGGACTTCCAGCGCAAATGAACTGATGTTTGGCTTTACCAGAGGGCCCATCTTCAAATCACTGCTCACGTCAGTCATGACTCATAAATTACACTGACACCAGGAGACCTCACCTTCGAAATTTGAATGCACCCAACGACTACCTTTCCTGTACTTGACTACCGCTCGTGGAGATGCAGCCATGGCTTCCACATTGACGAAGGCAGCTGCCACGAAATCGATTCTGAAACCGGTAACGACTTTGAAGGGTCATGGAGAGTTGATTCGATCCATATCCTACTTTCCTGACAGCCAGTGAATGGTCAGCGGATCTGATGATAAGACCGCTTGGCAATGGGATCTGAAGACACGCACTCAGCCTTCCAGCGCTAACCACAAGAACAATTATGCACATGACATGATGTAAGACCAGCAGAGGCGGCCACCATGTGCGGCTGGGTTGGTGTGTAAATGATACCCGGTATTGTGCGTTGTAAGTTCCTACACAAATGATCAGCTATAGTTATAAATGTGAAAAATTGTACCTATTGTGCAAGACATCAGACACAGACATGTTGAGATAGGCATAGGCATGCACAAGCACACAGAAATGAGCAAAGATGCTTGTCAGCAATGTACGTACATGGATAAACAAAAACTTAGACACACCTAGATTGTGCTAGTCTAGGATGGTCAACACCCATGTTCGGAAGTTCGTTGGCTCCCTTTTCAGGTACCGTGAGCTGCACAGAGTTCTGCATCAGATAGTTCGTTAGATTACCTGCCAAGGGAGAATTCACTTGGGAGGGTTTGGGTTGTCTAGCACTTCGAGTGACAAGATCTTCTCAAAAGACTGCGAGATCAAATAAAGTCAATATATGCACTATATTTTGGCATGTAATCTGAGAACTCACGATTGTGGATGCTTAGACTACTTGATTTCGCTCTTCCAACTTCGTTATGTGATGGCTTACCCCTCCAAAGTTCCATGTTCTGACTTTCAAGGGCACTAGTGATGACTCCGATGATGTATATATGTAGTGTGCTCACACTTTCCAAGTGAAGTCCCATACGACGAGAAATAATCATAATAGGGGATCAGACGAGTTTGAGTGCGACAGGCCAACATGGTGGTGGTAGGGCTAAGGGTTAAGACACGACCGCCGACGAGATAATGTTATCAATATTTGGTGTTATTGACGTGATGTTTGGTTCACGTATCAATAACACACATGATCATCGCATTACTCTCGCACTGCCCAGTGACACAAGTCAACCCTGCAGGAAAAACTGAACATGGCCTTTGAAAACGGTTGCAATCGCGCGAAATATGATGAATTTGGGAGCAACATATTTCACAATAGGAGACTCGCTGTGGAGACTAATATAATATTGCACATCCGTTGTAATCTTGTCGAATGTTGTAGCCACATTTCTCTCAGTTGCGTGTGTAAAACAAAATCGGTTGTATTCCTGTCAATTGTGCTATAACCTAATGATACAAATCCCTCGACTCACGATCAGAAAATGTGATATGCGACCAGAAAACATGATAACAATGCGAAACACGACAGGATCAACACGACGGCAGCAAATACAACGCAGCAACGAGGCTGGCAAGCGAGACCACACCGCGAGGCAATGAGGCAGGCAAGAGCAGGCAAGCGAGAGCAGACGACCGTGAGGCAACGAGGCAGGTGAGAGCAGGCAAGCAATAGGGACAACTAATACATTGAACCGTCGGCGATGTCGCTAGAGGGGATGTACCTTCGACTGTTGCAAAAGGGCCCATAGACTCATCTACTTAGTAAACATGAGTATATGCGTTGAAAAATACCTTTTATACTACCTGAATCCACGAAACACTCAGACTCGTGGAATCAGTGGAGGAAGGCAGCGGCGGCGAGAAAAGTTGTTGGGAAGATGGTGGTAAGAAGAAAGGAGGGAAATGGAGTTGCCTGGAATTCCCAAAACATTCTAACTTTTGGTGTCAGTAGTAAAACTTGAACACAAGACTTCGTGATATTTACAGAATGTTGCGCGAGAAGCAGAGCCCAGCTGCAGAGTAAGCTGTGTGACACCGAACGACGCGTAAATGTAACACTGTGTGCATTGACGAAAACACGATCGACAACAATGTAATGATTTTGTCGTGTGACACATTGGTCAATTGATACGGTAATAACATATCAGGGGAAATCTGAACTTACCAGCGGCACGTCAGACTGATGGCAGCCTTACGCGTTTAGGAGAGTGTTGAGGTATGTGTGAGGGAGTGTTGTTGAACCTGCCATCAATCGTCATCGCGTCATCAGTCCGTAAAAGATTGTGGCGCGGGAAAGTGTCCGCATAAGGTAATTTCAGACTTGGGGAATTTTGGTGATGCTCGGAGACTCGGACTAAAGTCACTGTGTCACTCAACGACCAGTGATCGGTCCCTCTTACTCTTGAGTTGTTCAAGTTCTTGGGAATCACATTACATGCATCCTCGCAATCCGTATAATAAACCTCCTGATTTTGCTGACCTTGCAAGGCGCTACCCTCCTCTCAGACCACAGTACGCGTTCATCGGACGAAAGCCTCGGAGAAATACTGAAATTATCCAGTGTCTTCATCAACCATACAGGATCAAGCACGATAAATTTCAAAAACCTTCCTGCACAAAAGTGAGCAATGATAAGTCTAAGCTCCGTTTGTTGCGGTACGCTAATGAGGGCAGGCGTTTAACAGAAGCACTCCTTCATCTTGACTATGGTCTTTCATTAACCCTACCGGACGATAGACTTTGCCCTCCGGTAAGGCTTTTTGCTGCGCACTTATATTATCTCACACCAGATGCACATTAGGTGCCGAACAGGTGCTTTCACATTTTAGAAGATCAATGCAGGAAGGCTGAAATCTGCTCCACAGATTAAATTATGTTCTTTGGCTACAAGATATAGTGAAATTCACTTGCGGTTCCGCTGCCATCAGAGGACTTGACATGTGCGTCACATTAGCACTGGTCTGAATGCACGTGGAGCAAACATCACTCAGTGGCACTGGTGCTTCAGCAATCTACCCGTTGTTGGCTTGTGGTATTGAACATATTTGGAACTTCGTAGCTACCGGTAAGTGTCATAACGGTACATATACTTTCGAAATGTGACGGGAACATATGATTCAGATATCGACGAACGGTCCATCCAATTCGCCAAACAAAACGTTTCTCAGAATTCTATGGACAGTCGCATTGTTGTCGAGCGTGTACAGGCTGATGGGCCTATTCTTCAACCCCTTCATACAAGTCTAATGGATTTTGACTTCACCATGTGTAACCCACCGTTTTATAGCAGCGCCGAAGACGTTTCGCGCTCAGCCGAATTCAAGGAGTTTGGTCCAAATGCAGTGAGAAAGACAGTGTTCACTCATGTAAGATAATTTAACCAATTGACTCAGGTTTGCTCCGGAGCAGAAGTGGAGATGATAACACCAGGGGGAGAGACAAATTTTGTTGCTCGGATTTTTTTAGAAAGCCTACAGTTGAGGACGAAGTGCCGGTGACCTAATTGCATCGACAGTGCGACTTCAGATGTGCTGATGCGTCCCCATAGATGGTACACTTCTATGCTTGGGAAGATGTCATCAATCCCTGATATTATATCCCTCTTTCGCGAACACAACGTGCGTGCGTCGTGGAAGTCTGCAGTCTACTATCTAATTTGGTGACGTAAGGTAGACAACTATGCTATAACAGAGTTTGTTCAGGGTCAAACTCGTCGTTGGGCTATTGGTTGGTCATTTCAAGATGCCAGGCTTCCTGATGTATGACTTCTCGTTAACTTCACCACCACGCAAGCTATTTACTTCATCACTGTCCAGGCCTTTGCTCGTGTCTCCAACCCAGCCTTGCAGAATATAATGCCTTCTCGCAACACGCTGCATCACGCTTTTCCGGGCGCTCGATCTGCAGACATTCTAGCAAGCGCTTTACGAAATGTTCTCGCACTTATTAATGGCATAACGGTTACAACCTCGGCTACGCCTGCGATTCATGATCATTCTTCAACCATGCTGGTGCATGCCCTAAGTAACACCTGGTCCCGCGCAGCACGAAGGGGGAAACTTTCAGGGACAATCTGCGCGGATCAAGATTTGCCAGTCCTGCGTTGTTCGGTTGAATGTCGCGAACGATCATCTTATACTTCAAGTGACATTGCATGCGATCTTTTCTTCATCTGGGTTGAGGGCAAGGATCGGTTGATATTTGAAAGCTTCACAAGTCATGTGAGCCGCAAAGTCACTTCTACCCTACAAGAGTTTGGGGATGTAATATGATTTAAAATAAGCCGTGTACGTAACCTGTGATTTTTCATTCGACGACTTTATCTCCATCCCAGAGTTTTGGCGTCGCCACAATGCAGCCTCATGTTCCATCCTCTGTTCATCACTTCCCGATTGAGCCCCTACATTCTGTGTTCATACAAATTGAACAAGACGCCCAACGTCGTACCCGACGCCAAGGATATTACTGATCCTTGCCGTGTATCAGCTGCTTGAGCTATAAGGTTTGCAACGTGGTGTGCAAAATAACGAAGTATTGCACTTAATCGTACTGCAGTTTCCATGGATCTAGTGTGGCGCTTCTCTAGGAGGCCGGGTGTAGTGTTTCCACGTGCGCCGCATGCACAGGTCATCGTATGACCAAACCTTCGTGCCAGGCCCTGTCCAGCACAATATAAAACGTTGTTGATGCAAGGGAATTCATCCAACATCTCGCGCACTCAAGCCACCATTGTGGCATATCCTACTATTACGGCTCCAAATTGGGTAGTCGCTGACAATTTCGGATTATGATATCGTGTAAGTGTTCCGGGGACCAGGCATCAGGGAGAAATCTGGTCATTTGTATCGGTGGGCGTTTTAGCTTACAGCTCCCGATGACGATTATTCATCTCTTCAGACGGGACATCAAACAAGTATGGTGATAAAGTAGGTCGTCTGACGCTCATGCCTTCTGATTTTCTTGACAATCAAAATTTATACTCAGAACACCAATATCGTCGAACTGTATAGCGAGATGGTCAAGGATAGCAAGCAGTTAACGTACTACAACAGTGGTGTAGGAACGTATGCTAAGGGACACACACACTGGATGAAGCAGATCGAGAGTGTCTTTGATCTGGCCTTTGCGTTGTAAGCATCATTATTGGACTTTTCATGGTTCGGGGTAACGTCAGTAAAGTAATATCAGTCGAACTATTATGGGAGCCTACAGATGGCTCTCAGACACGTACCGTCCTGGTGACAAGATCTTCCTGTTTGGTAAGTTCCTTGGACATTGCATATAGTCAACTACACTAAAATGCAAGGCCAGGATTTTCGAGAGGTGCCTACCAAGTTCGTGTATTGGCAGGAATGATCCACGAGGTATCCATCAACGTCGATTTATGATCTATGATCTTTCTTGTTTAATACTCTTTTGATAGATAGGACTCATACTACCCGGCAACATAGAACAGATCCCCTAGTGAGTATATCCGATGATCGTTCCTGACTGGCTTTCTGACGCCAGCAGTGCCTACGAGCTCTACTCCGCCATCAACAGTGGAAGGCAGAAGGATAAGTTACTTGCGGCAGGATTCAGGTCGACGTTCTCCAGACGCGTGGTAATACATTTCATCGGCGTATGGTGAGCGTTATTCCTGAGTGCGAGTACACCAGCATGATTAATACGCTGTATAGGGACACCGTATCGTCTGTTGGTATCAGGAAGGAGAAGATTTTACCATCCACCGATACATGCGATCACATTTGCTGTTTCCGTCAGGGACTTGCGCTTGATGAGCGCAGGGTGAAATTCCTACCTGAGTATGTCTATGGTGGCACGAGCAATCGAGCCGAATCCCAATTGGCGCAACCTCCAAACAATGCTGTCAAGGATGTCAAGGAAGATAATGTCAAGGAGGTTTGGTTTGCTGGTAGTCATTCGGATATGTATGTATCCCCTGCACGGGAAGGCCATCATTTGACAACTTGTTCCAGCGGTGGTGGAAACAGGGAGAAGACGGGCAAAGCACTCAATTTCCAAGATATGCCTTTACTATGGATGCGAGAAGAAGCTTTCGATGCGGGGCTTCTGCTCAATCCACCCAAGATAGCTTTCAGATTTGAAGATTTGAAGGAACCCAAGATTAACGACTCGTTAACACTTCGGTGGTGGCTGCTCGAGCTATTGCCTGTCAGACATCTTTGCTACAACAATTCTAACCAGCATACAGTGGTGTAAGTGGCAATGTTGTTCCGTTTGACTCAGATATTGAACACTTGTAGACCGCATGTTGGAAAAGGTCGCACCATCTTACCTGGCCAAAAGGTCCATGCGTCGGTTCTGTTTCGCGCTCACTACCGGTCGAAAGCGAGTTTCTGGAGAAATCTCCAGCAATGGCCTGAAGCGATTCACTTTCATGTTGCCTATGACCAGGAACAGTTGGGTGATGCCTGGGAAGTTCCTTTCAATCGCTCGACTGCTGAAGATCTCGTTGGTACAATTCACAAGAAACACACCCTGGATTATGTTGATCGCTTGGCCTTCATGTGTTCATTTGGTGAGATCCCAGACCATTTTGACATACTAACCTGATCTTATGGATTGCAGAACTCGGAGTTGAAGCGGTGCGGAAGGTGAATGCACTAGAGACGCTAGAAGCCTTGCTTGGCATTCATGGCAAAACCATCGCAAATGTTAAATACGCACCAGACGAGAAGGGGGAGGCATCTCCCATATCGGACCTGAAGAACACAGATACTGACGCGGCCAAAGAAGAACGCATTGCTCGTAAAGTGTGCCTCAGTGCAGTCGTCGCGTACTGCGCACTCAGTATGTCTTGCTTTTACATTGCTGCCTCGACGAACTCTCAGAAATGCACAGTCCAGGACGCGGACGCAGACACGGAAAAAATACTAGACAGTCTTGACGTTCCTGCCATGCTCCAAGACACAGAATACCAAGGCAGAGCATGTGCGGCTCTTCCGGCTCTTTGCAAGATCAAAACACTAAGAGAGAAGCTCCTTAAAGAGGATATGGTTGGTCGAATCGTCGACCTGTGTCGGAACACCGGCGAAAACAAACTAATCGCGATGAAGACGCTGTCATACCTTGCCCAACGCTTTGGTGAGTTGCATTATTCATCTGAATCATTTCGAACATGCCCCCTCATATACGATCGAACTAAAGATGATGCATCTCGCATTCTTTCTAAACAATCCGATTTCATCAGTGAAATCTTTGTCATGTTGAAAGAGAAATGTAAGTCTTCACCTCTCAATTTGCTTCTCTTCCACATTTGTATATCAGGCCCGATCGTTGTCGTTGCTGCGTTAAAGATTTTGGCAGTTGTGGCCGGGAAAGGTCAGTCACGACATAGATCCACGGAAATCAGTATGTTCAGATATTTCGTGTTCAGGAAACATCGCAAAGGATATCGAAGGCGGAGAGCTTGTAAAACGACTTAAGACCTTGATACAGCGTCGTGATTTCTTTGTCACTCCGGCTGCGATCGCTGCATTATGCGAGTTTTGCCGCTATATTCCAGGTACACAGCCTTCCCATTCCTACGATCAATGCTGATGTTCTTCCGAAAATAGAACTCCGTGCGGAGGCTATACGCCGCGATATCCTCGTCACATTGATTGACCTGTTTGAGTTCGATAAGCAAGGTTTGAGCGGCGGACCACGCGGCTTGATAGTGCTCGCTGAATTTGGTTCGTATCTGAAACTGCTTAAAAAGACCTTGCTTACCATGTTACTCAGACGACATACGCGACAAGCTCGCACAGGGTCCGCACATTAGAAAACTAGTTGCGTTTTCGAGAGATGACGCAGTTGAAAAGAGCAAGGAGGCGACTGAGGAGCTCAAGGAGCTATCAGGATACCGTACGGTCTATAAAATATTTGTTCCAGGAAAACTGATATTTCTCTTAGCTAAACTCCGCGAACGAATCATTGCTGAAGGAGGCCTGGACAGCATGGTCGATAATTTGGCTAAATCAGACCACGCGTTGTTTGCTGCGGATGCGCTTTTAACTCTCGTGAAATACGGTGAGTGCCCCGAGACATTTTTCCAACAAAATTGACTGGGCTACGTTCAGACGACGCCAAAGAACGGATACTGAACACTAAAGTGGACCTGCGTTTGCTGCAGATGATCGATGAACGCATATTTGACGGAACAATTCACCGGAAAGGCATAGATATCCTTGCGGACATATTCAAAAATGGTTTGGCAATCTGGATTCCTGCGGTCTATGGGGTTCTTACGAGTTGTGCAGATGACCTGCGATCCATGATGTTAGACCCAAAGAATCCACCGTCTTTCGATAACGGTTCTTGGAATTTCGGCTGCAAGGATGCGCCCCATCAGCGACTCAAGAAAGCGGCAAAGTACGTCCTGGAGAAGACATTCCGCAGACAAGTCAAAAACGCAATGGATGATTCCGATAGCCCTAAATACCCGAGAAACGTCATTGGGATTTTGCGCAAGATGATCGAAACATATCCGCTCGACTCTGTTCAGAATAGCGCTATCAATTACCTGCGCATTATTGCTGATTACGGTTGGTTTGCGTGTTGCTGTCGAGAACGCACATTAATTAAGATACAGAGGACGCACGCCAGGCGATGGTTGGCGCCGAAATCATAGGACCTCTTTTGTGGTGCCTTAAAGCCACGGATGTGGACATCGATGCTCTCAATGATGTTTTAAGAAAGATTGCGCCTGACGGTGAGAGTTCCAAGACAACCCTTTGCGCAACACGCTCATGAAAATGTCAGAATCGTTGCGTCATGAAATCACAAAGGATGACAAGATACTGGTTGAAATGCTCAGTAGTCATTATCCTGGCGAGGTTCTCCGCATGACTGCCGCATTGGAATCTTTATCGTCTTATGGTAAACGCTTTCCTGATTCTGAGATATAATGCTAACAACACTTTCAGGAGAGATACGCCGGAAAGTTCGGGAGATGGATGAGTACCAACACCTGAAGAGGGATCCCCTGTACTACTTAGATCCGCAGCACCACCCTCACGAACGTGGTCGGTTGTTCTTTAACATCTTTTTCTCGACGTGCTGAAACTTGGTTTTAGATCAGTATACCATTGCATCCCAGGCCATCACAACGATCATCAGGGTATTTGACACATGATAGAACAAGTATATGTGTGACGATGCGGTCGAAGAGCAGGTAACCAAAATCTCGACGATCGCGAATGACGATGTCATTACTAGGCTGTAGCAACAACGCTCTTCTACTATTAGGTTACATTTTGTACCGAATTATTCCGAACAGCATGGGATGAACTATAGTTGACAGTCAAGTCTGAAATGCAATTGCAATCCCTGGATGGATCCTGGTGGTAGGCCCATGAAGTGTTTGCTGTCATGCAACGGTCTTAATAGATGATATAGTGGGGATAAAAGAAGTGTTTGCTTTAATAAAGCGAGTATTGTTTTTGGGTGGAAGCCTGATAGTTGTCGTAACCTGTGAGAGAGCTGAGGTGAGCTGCAATTCCGTTGCAGTAGGAGTGAGAGCGACCCAGCGAAGTGAACCTTGAATCCCAAATTGTAGGAGCCATAGAGCGACGCTTCGAGGTGAGGAAGAGGCAGTAGCTTGAAAGCATCTGCATGAGCAGTGCAGGCAAGAGCAATGGGAGAAATAATAAGGTAAAGGCAGCCTAATCCACAGAGTCAGGGCGGGTGATCAAATAGTTCCCTTCCCTTGTCAGATTCCCTGCCCAGATGGGCTAGAAACCCGAGAGTTTGCAACAGCAAACTTCCTGCATGAGTAAATTTGAGAGGGCGGCGCAGAAGGATTTTCAGATGCTCTCTACCCATGGCCACTGCTTCCCAGCTGGACTTGTCTTCATTGCATGCGGATGCGTGCAAGAATCTAGGCGCTCAAAGCCCATCAAATTACCAAGTAGCTTAGGGTCACGAAAAGAAGAATAAGGCAAAAGCAGAAGGTTTGAGCCTGCCGCTCCGAGCATGGCAGGCCAAGCCACGTGCTGTCAAAGTCCGCTTCAGCAAACTGTGACGGAACAAGTCGGATCTAGTTGAAACCAGCAGCCGACGGCCAGCTACTTTCATATCGATAAACTGGACTTCTTTGTGGAGCTCAACAAACAAAAGGGTCCCACTTGTTAGCGCGCAAAGTACCCTATGCGGCAGGCTCCCGCTCGTTTGACACATGGCATATTGGTGAAATGTACTTGATGAGTGCCACTGTCTTCATGTTTGACCTCGCATACTGATTTCTCGAAGTGATGCAAATTCAGCAGGCTCCGCTTAGGGTTATTTCTTGTCTTTTCGAATGACTGGCTCAGTGATGTTAGGATGATTCCGATACCATTCAACTTTGCGATCACACGTTACTCGCATGCGTCTCTTGGAGATGGAACATGTGCATGAGGACACCTGTCTTCAATGCTCTGCCGCTTCTTTAGCGCTCTAACTGTCAAACAGATCATGAAATTTGCGACACTTCGAATTCATGCGAAATTGAAATGGCGCCCTATCATTAATATTCATCAATAGCATGTCCCTCTTATTCAGTAGGCTACATGTTTCAGAGGTGCGGTATCCTCCTGTACTGTGCAGAGTATTGCCGCACGCGGCACATGCACACCTTGTCCACGGGCATACTTTGGTCGGCACAATATAAAACCTCGCTGTTGCAAGGAATCCTATCCAACATCTTGCATACTCCAGTCACTGACCAACCTCCTCGGAATCCAAACCAATCCCACCCACGATGTCATCAGTTGAGCGTTAATGACTCCAAAGCTGCTGCGTTGCTGAGTTTAAATTCAAGGCACAGCAATCGTGTCCATGTCCCCCGAGCTGTAGATGTCACACCGGCCCCGACATGGGCAGGAATCTGGTTGTATGCATCGGTTCGTGTTTTAACTTGCAGTCTCAGATAATTTGAATTATTGAGGTCTGCAGACGGGACATCCAACAAGTTTGGTACTAAAGTATGTTGCACCTACCTCTCACGGTGATGCGATGCGACTATATCTGTGCTCAGAACACCAATATCATCCGACTGTGTAGTAATATCGTCAAGAATGATAAACAGTTAGTGTGCTACCTTACAGGCGTGGGAACATATGGAAGACCTGGAGGCCTCGCGCACGCGCGATTGGTGGAACGGGCCACGAATATCTTGGACCAAGCCATTGCCCAGTGAGTACTGTGTGTTTGACCTTCTATGATTCATAGTGACGGTAGTGAAGTAATGTCAGCCGATCGATTATGAACGCTTATAGATGGCTCGCAGACAGGTACCGTGATGGTGACAAGATCTTTCTGTTTGGTAAGTCCCCTGGTAGCCTCATTTGTTTTGCTACAAAGCGAGGCCAGGATTTTCAAGAGGTGCATACCAAGTTCGTGCTTTGGCGGGAATGATCCACGAAGTATTTATCGATCGATTCACGAGTTGTATTCTTGTTCATTTTTCTTTCCTCCGATAGGTGGGGCTCATCATTCCCGGCAACAAAGACCAAATTCCCTAGTGTGTACTATAGATGACTATTCTTGAACTGACCGGCTGATTTTCGCAGCGCCTTCAAGTATTACTCTGCCATTAAGAGTGGGAAACTCAAGGATATTAGTCTTGCAAAGGATTTTAAACGGACCTTCTCGACGAGCGCGTCGGTATATTTCGTCGGCGTATGGTGAATATTCGAGTCGTCCCCGAATGTAGCCATACCAGCATTTCTGACGGACCATCCAGGGACACCGTGTCGTCTATTGGTATTAATAGCTTAAGGAATTTGCCGTCTGCCAATACATGCGATCACATTCGCTACTTCCGCCAGGCACTGGCCCTAGATGAGCTCAGGGTAAAATTCCTACCTGAGTATGTCTGCGGTGGCATGGGCGAACGATCCAAATCAAAACCAGGGCTACCTCCCTCGCACGAACATGTTAAGGAGGTTTGGTTTGCTGGTAATCATTCGGATATGTATGTACCCCTTGCACTAGGATGGAATCTTTTAATAACTTGTTCCAGCGGAGGCGCACGGAGGGGAAAGGCAGTTAGTCACCTTACCTTGCAAGACATGCCTCTACTATGGATGTGTGAAGAAGTTCTCGCGGCCGGACTCCTGCTAAACAATTCCAATATAGACTTCGCATACGAAGACTGGCGTGGACACAATATCAAAAGCTCTTTGAATGTCGCATGGTGGCTCCTTGAGGTTTTGCCGATCATGCATCGTCGCCACGGCGACAACAACCAGTATGCCACACTGAATGGAAATGTTACTTTATCTGACTTCGATGTTCAGTACATTTTTACCACATCTTGGAAGAGGCCGTGTCATCTTTCCTGGTCAAAAGCTCCATGCGTCGGTTCTATTTCGTTCCAACTACCAACCAAAAGCAGTTTTCTGGAAAAGTTTCATGCAATGGCCTGAAGCGATTCACTTTCACTTTGCCTATGACCAGGAACAATTAGGCCATGCTTGGGAAGTTCCTTTCAAGCGCTCGACTGCTGAAGCTTTCATTGGTACAATTCACAGGAAACACACCCTGAATTATGTTGATCGCTTGGCCTTCATGTGTTCATTTGGTGAGATCTCAGACAATTTTGACATACTGACCTGATCTTATGGATTGCAGAACTCGGAGTTGAAGCGGCGCGGAAGGTGAATGCACTCGAGACGCTAGAAGCCTTGCTTGGCATTCATGGCAAAACTATTGCGGATGTTAAATACGCACCAGACGAGAAGGAGGAGACATCTCCCATGTCGGACCCGAAAAACATAGATACTGACGCAGCCAAAGAAGAACGCATCAATGCTCGTAAAGAACGCATCAATGCTCGTAAAGAACGCATTAATGCTCGTAAAGTGTGCCTCAGCGCATTCGTCGCGTACTGCGCACTCAGTATGTCTCGCTTTTACATTGCTGCCTCGACGAACTCTCAGAAATGCACAGTCGAGAACGCGGACGAAGACACGGAAAAAACACTAGACAGTCTTGACGTTCCTGCCATGCTCCAAGACACGGAATACCAAGGCAGAGCCTGTGCGGCTCTTCCGGCTCTTTGCGAGATCAAAACACTAAGAGAGAAGCTCCTTAAAGAGGATATGGTTGGTCGAATCGTCGACCTCTGTCGGAACACCGGCGAGAACAAACTAATCGCGATGAGGACGCTGTCATACCTTGCCCAACACTTTGGTTAGTTGCATTATTCATCTGAATCGTTTCGAACATGCCCCCTCATATGCGATCGAACTAAAGATGATGCATCTCTCATTATTTCTCGACATTCCGATTTCATCGATACCATCCTTATTATGTTGAGAGAAAAATGTAAGTCTTCACCTCTCAATTCGTTCCTCTTCCACATTTTTATCTCAGCCCCGACCGTTGTCGTTCCTGCCTTAAAGATCTTGGCAGCTGTGGCTGGAAATAGTCAGTCGCGACATAGATTCACAGGAATCAGTATGTTCAAATATATCGTGTCCAGGAAACTTCGGAGAGGCCCGAGGGGTAGCACTTATGAAACGACTCGCGAACTTGATAAAGCGTCGTGAAATCTCTGTCACTCCGGCTGCAGTCGCTGCATTATGCGAAATTTGTCGCAAAAGTCCAGGTACACACCCTTCCCATTCCTACGATCAATGCTGATGTTCTTCCGAAAACAGCACTCCGTGCGGAGGCTATACGCCGCAATATCCTTGTCACATTGATCAACCGGTTTGAGTTCGATAAGCAAGGTTTGAGCGGCGGACTACGCGGCTTGATATTGCTTGCTGAATCTGGTTCGTATCTAAAACTGCTTAAGAAGACCCTGCTCACCATGTGACTCAGCGTACATACGCTACGATCTCGCACAGGGTCCGCACATCGGAAAACTAGTTGCGTTTTCGAGAGATAACGCAGTGGAAAAGAGCAAGGAGGCGACTGAGGAACTCGTGGCGCTATCAAAACACAGTATGGTCTATAAAATGCTTGTTTCAGGAAAACTGATATTTGTCTCAGCTGAACTCCGCAAACGAATCATCGCTGAAGGAGGCCTGGACAGCATAGTCGATAATTTGGCGAAACCAGACCACGCATTATTTGCTGCGAATGCGCTTTTAACTTTCATGAAATACGGTAAGTGCTCCGAGACATCTTATCAACAAATTTGACTGGGCTATGTTCAGACGAGGCCAGGGAACAGATACTGAACACTAAAGTGGACCTGCATTTGCTGCAGATGATCTATGGACGCATTTTTGACGGGACCATTCATCGGAAAGGCATAGATATCCTTGCGGACATATTCAAAAATGGTTTGGCAATCTGGATTCCTGCGGTCTATGCGGTTCTTACAAGTTGTGCAGATGACCTGCGATCCATGATGTTAGACCCAAATAATCGACCGTCTTTCGATAACGGTTCCTGGAATTTCGGCTGCAAGGATGCACCCCATCAGCGACTCAAGAAAGCGGCAAAGTACGTCCTGGAGAAGACATTCCGCAGACAAGTCAAAAACGCAATGGATGATTCCGATGGCCCTAGATACCCAACAAACGTCATTGGGATTTTGCGCAAGATGATCGAAGCACATCCGCTCGACTCAGTTCAGAATAGCGCTATCAATTACCTGCGCATTATTGCTGATCACGGTTGGTTTACGTGTTGCTGTCGAGAACGCACATTGATTAAGATACAGAGGACGCACGCCAGGCGATGGTTGGCGCCGAAATCATAGGACCTCTTTTGTGGTGCCTTAAAGCCACGGATGTGGACATCGATGCTCTCAATGATGTTTTAAGAAAGATTGCGCGTGACGGTGAGAGTCTCAAAACAACCCTTTGCGCAACACGCTCATGAAAATGTCAGAATCGTTGCGTCATGAAATCACAAGGGATGACCAGATACTGGTTGAAATGCTCAGTAGTCATTATCCTGGCGAGGTTCTCCGCATAACTGCCGCATTGGAATCTTTATCGTCTTATGGTAAACGCTTTCCTGATTCTGAGATATAATGCTAACAACACTTTCAGGAGAGATACGCCGGAAAGTTCGGGAGATGGATGAGTACCAACACCTGAAGAGGGACGTATTGCACTACTTAGATCCGCATCACCACCCCCACGAACATGGTTAGTTGTTCTGCAACGTCTTCTTTCGACGTGCTGAAGCTTGCTTTTAGATCAGTATACCATTGCATCCCAGGCCATCACATCGATCATCGGGATACTTGACAGATATGATAGAACAACGGATCCTCTCTCCTACTTGGATCCGTATGAGTACCCCGACGAAATTGGTCAGTTATTTTGCAAACTTCCGTTTTTGTCATGTTAAAGTTACTTTTAGATCGGTATATGATTTGATACAGTCGCAGGGCAGGTAATCAACGTCTTGACGATCGCGAAGAATATGTATAGGAAGACGATATCACTACCAGGATGTAGTAACAACACCCCTCTACTTCAGTGTATTAGGTTACATTTTATTTAGCCAACTTATCCCGAACAGCGTGAGATGCACTGTAGTTGACAGTCATCAACGGTCAAGCAATTGCCTGAATGAATCCTTGAGGGCCTATACATAAAATAAAATGCGCAAGAGGCTGCGGGAAGACTTCGTCAATGGACAGCCTACACTCTTAACTGTTTCTCTTCCTCAGTCGCAGCGACAACCCTTGCGACAACTGAACGATCTTTGATAACTGCGGGAGCAATCACGTTGTTCGAAAGAAGGGGTCACGAGCGCGGCTTAACGTATACGGGGTGTATAATGGGGTGTAGACTGCGATGTCAAGCAAACAGGCGCAATATAGGCTGCGCAAATATGAATCACGGAGTGGTGAGCACGACCACAAATCGTGAGGCTTGAGACAAGAAATTGCACAGAAGGTGGCTCAGTGTCGGAATTCGGAGTTTCGACCCAACACATGTGCGTTATGACTAGGTTAGAGTTACATCATGATTGTACGGAGAACTGCGAGAGGTTAAGAGAGCAAGCGGCTGCGCAAGGGCGTCAAGGTGCAAGAGGCAGTGGAGATAGGCAACAGAAGACCGTGGTGGGCCGTAGCGGACCTCCACACTTCCGTGAGTCTCCCCTAGTCAACAAACCAGTCGTTGCTTCTCGGTTATGACACTTCGTGGGAGTCAGCGATTCTGGATGCGTGAGACGAACTATAGCTAATAGACATACGAAAGGATGCACAAGGGGTAGACTTAGACGGCCTGCGCTCTACAAGATTACTGAAAGTCCCAACCAGTCTGCTGAACAGTGAAGTAAAAGTAAAAGAGACTATGAATCTTCAGCAAAAGAACTCTTTCTCCTTCTCTTCTTCGGTCGCATCGACAGCTTCGGATGCAGCAACTCAGCCTTCGGTAATTCGGGAGCAATGATGTTGTTCGAGAGTGTGACCAAAGACCTCCCAAGAATGCCAAGAACCGCGCCAAAGATGCAAGCGACACCGCAGAACATATAGATGGGGTAGAGCGCAACAGCTACGCTGGAAATGATCGTGTATGGGGTGTAAAGTGCGACGTCCAATACGATATGGAAGACGAGTATAATTGGACCAAGCAGGCGGGATATAAGGGGCACGAAGATGAGTAACGGAGTGGCAAGCGCGACCACAAGTCGCGAGGCCTGGGACAAGAAAGTACGCAGAAGACTGAATGTCGCACGAAGTATGGGAATGACCTGCGCGATGGGCGGTTGTGTGCTGAGCTGCCCCGTCGGCAGTAAAGAAGCGGTCGCAGTGATGGTGGACGTCATGTTGGAAAACCGTTCGGCTTTGGTTCAGCTATTGGCAGTTGGATTATTGTCGTAAGTGTGTTGTGACTTAGTCAGATCTATATAATGTTCATATATATTATACAGAGCCGCGTGACATTCAGTGCACAAGACATGCCATCTCAGCAGTTAGACGTACCAAACAAATTCGAGCCAGGTCTGGAAGTTGTGAGTGAAAGACCTTTGAGAGCGTCCACTACCGTGACTGAGTAAATGAAACGCCCAGCAAAAATTACGAATGTTGATCGGAAGCTAATCGGAAGGGTGAAGTTTGTTTGAAAGCCGAACTTCTCCCGTCCCGTGCCGTTACTCAGCGAGATGATTTAGTATCTCACAGACTTATATCATGTACAATATTTTGATTATCTGCGAGAAAAAGTGTCCCCATTGTGATATTTTTAAGGTTGGGTTACCGCATGCTACCATGATATGTGCATTCATCATGACATCCTTTCAATTGACCGAGATCAGCTGGATGTTGCCACTGTCACCTGGTTTGGCTCCAGGACCAGGCACACGCCCATGCACCCATATATTTCTGTAGCTCCTTATAGCTCCTTATCTGCGCCAACGATGCGTCAGGCCCATGAGGGGACGACATAAAATAGGCGAATCAACTTCTCCATTAAACTTGCAAGCGCTGGAAGGAAGTTCTTCCTGAATCCACAGTTCGCCTGCACCTTCACGTCCTCTCAAAATGAGTTTGGAGTCCTCCGGCGTATTCAAGGACCATAAACATGCAGGGGTTTCTGTGTCAACTAAGGATGTTGACACTGGTGCTCAGCTCGTCGCTGGTTTAACCTCCATTCTTGATCCCGATGAGGCTTTGAGAATAAGGTGCGTTTCTGAAACTGTATGCACATCAACATCGTACGATTTTGTTCCAGGAAGAAGATCGATAAACATATCATGCCCTTGATGTGTGGTGAGTCAACTATTGTTTGAATCAATGATGATCGCGTCTGACAATCGCGGTCCAGCTCTCTACTGGTTTGTTGACTGTATTCACCACGAATCAGCGCTCACTCGCGCACAGGGTCCAATTCATGGACAAGACAACCTTGGGTTCTGCGGCCATCCTTGGAATTCAGTAAGGGTCGTGTATCGAGACTAGCCAACCCGGTACTGACTCCGTGTTATCAGGGAGGCCACGCATCTGACTACGAATGAGTAAGCTGTTCTTATCTTGGAATTGACGCTTGAGCCTGATGCTGAACTATCTTCAGGTACAATTGGTGAGAAGATATACACCACTCGATCTTCCATGTGCCTAATGTATCTTCCAGGCTTGGCACAGTGTTCTATCTCAGTTATCTTGTCTTCGAGTACCCCCAGAACCTTGCCCTTCAAAGATTCCCGGTCGGGAAATGGATGAGGTAGGCTTCAAACACATCATCGATATGGACTTCGATGACAGCATGTATCAGTATCAATATCTTCGTCTGGGGAGTTGCACTTGCATGTCATGCAGCATGCAAAAACTTTGCTGGGCTTCTTGTTGTGCGCCTGTTGCTAGGCGTATGTGAGGGGTCGATCACTGCCGGATTCTTGATTGTTAGCTCCATGTTCTACACTCGAACGGAACAGACCCTACGGGTTGGTTATTGGTGTAAGTTCCCATACACACATGATTGCCAAGCCAACTAATTGAACGCGCACGGGGAAACCTAGTTCTCATGAATGGCACTGGTGCGCTTACAAAATGTGATGCTTAACGTTGCCGCCTAAGCCAGCAAACTCTAGCACAAATCATCTCTGGTTTCATCAGCTTTGGTGCTTTGCACATCAATACCAAAGGCTTTCAACCGTGGCAATGGTTGGGCATTCCCTTTTATTCCACCATACTCTTTCTGATAGATCGCAGGCTCATGATCATCACTGGATTAATTACATTCATTCTTGCCATTTTATTCTGGTGAGTATATAAAGGTTTTCAGTTTTCCCTTCAATTAAGACATCACCGGATGAAGGTTCTTATTCCCCGACTCGCCTACTAACGCCTGGTTCCTCACTCCTGACGAGCGGGCGAAAGCTGTGCAGCGCATTAAGGTACGCGTCTTAAACGAATTTGTATTATTCCTTGTTTTACATTTAGCACAGGAAAACCAAACGGGGGTGGAAAACAAACACTTCAAGATGGAGCAGTACGTGTCTTATGCAATTGTGATCTTTCATTCCTCACATAAACATCACTAGGATGATTGAAGCCTTGACCGACCCCAAGACATGGCTCTTCGCCCTCTTCTCGGCTTTGGACAATGTGCCTAACTCACTGACAAACCAGCAGACGCTCATCCTCGCTTCGTTCGGATTTAGCGCTCTACAGACGACTCTATTGTCCTGTGTTCCTGGTATCATTGAAATATTGGCAATCTTTACTGGTGTTCGGCTCGCTGCACGACGGCCCAATTCCAGAGCATATGTTGGTGCCATTTACTTCGTCCCAGCGTGGTTGGGTATCTTGTTAGTCAACCTGCTTCCTTGGTCGAATCGGGTATGTGGCTTACTTCCGCGATCTACCTGGGTGTCTTCAATATCACTCATTACACGATATTAGACTGGACTTCTGATTGGCCAGTACCTGAGTGCGTTTGATGCCTGGTGTGAGTTTGTATACTCATTGCTTCATAGCTGGGGTCAGTGTGCCTGGATTCGTCCTGTCGTTGTCGTGGCTTAATAGTGTGACTGCTGGTCATACGAAGAAGGTAGGTGCTATGTAACTTATTGCAGTTATTCCTCAAGTTAAAATCTACCTGCAGGTTGTTACTAACGCCATCATGCTCTCGGCATACTGCATTGGCAACTCAGCTGGCCCCTTCATGTGGAAAACACAATACAAGCCGCGGTAGGTTATTTTTCGAGTGACTCTAGGAAGGAAGGTTCGAATCACATGTGCAGTAACCACGTCCCATGGGCTGTAATTGGCGCATGTTATGTCGTCTGTCCGGTACTTCTCCTTATCATCCGTGCCGTTCTCGTCCGAGAGAACAAGATCCGTGATGCCGAGCCTGTTGACGATGAAGAAGAATACGTGATCGAGAGAATCACTGAGGATGGAAAGCGTGTAGAAATTAAGGTCGACAAGGTGGGTTCTCCGAATGGACGATTACCGTTTGTATACAAGGCTGATGACTTACCTTCACTAGGAATTCCTGGATTTGACAGATAGGCAAAACAGGGACTTCAGATACGTTTTGTAGCATTAAGCATGCATAATCTCTTTGCACATTCATTGTTAGGGATCTTATTCGTGTCACCAATTCATCATACTCATTGATAACAGGACCTAGGTGGTATCATGACATTGTGCACTTATTACATGTCAATTACAAGAAACTGCACCCAATAGCCTGAGCTTGACCTCAGGAATAATAGTATATACCTCGCGCCTCAAAGCTCAACGATATTTCAAGATGCCGACGCAGGGCTTCTGTAGACCGCGCGGATTGATCTAACCCCCATCCGAGGATGGCTAACTTAACGTGTAGAAGTATGAGATCACCGCTGGCCACCATTGGTCACATAAGGGACATCCACCGCACTTCCATGGACCAACGGGCTCCGACGAGCCTATCACCCTATATGTATAGTACACGGACAGATCCGCACGTGACTCAGTGATTGTGTCTAATGACATCATTAGTACACCTGTACAAACAAGGTATATAACTTGATAACCATACCTTAATAGTACTACGTTGGACCGGCGCGGCTGGCGATGTGCTGCCTCTGGCAGACGGAAGCTCGTGTGGCCTCAGGCCTCGACCCAACCTCAACCTAATGATAATGCTACCTACAAGCGGCAACAACGCCCGAAGGCACTACCCCTGACTAAGCTACGTAGGTGGCAACCGCCCGCACCGGTACCGTGTATGGATCAATGATCACAGGCTCATCATAACTTTCTCAGAAACGGTGTCAGTTAATTATGGGCGTCGTGGAACGCTTTCATATGGCTTACCGGCCGGCCGAGGGCAACGCTGTTCAAGACCGCAAATAGTGTTGCCATCAGCATTTTCACCTCGACGTTTCGTATGACGACAATGCCAGGATGTCTCCCAGGAATTCGCCTCAACCTGGACCATTGAAAATAAATATTGTATTCGCTCTCAGTCTCGTTCTCCCTCTTGTCATATCTTTCTTGAATCCTGCCTGGCGGTTCGCTCAGTTCACACCTCAACAACTCATCTATGGGAAGGATATTCTACCATTCATTACAGCGTTTTGGGCCTCTCCAACATGTATACCCAGTCACCTTTCGCGCTTTTTTCAAGCCGCCATAGTAGCATGCTTCCCGCAGGCATTACCGGTTCATCTTTTCGCCTTTTGGGTCGTTATTGCTCTCGCAAGAACACTTTTCGGCTTTCTACTTTGTCGGAGCGTAGGATGGACATACCCCCAATTATTCAGCCACTGGGCGTTATATGAGACATCAAGCGGCATAGGTCCTGCACTCACTGCATACCTCATAACGCATGGTGCTTGGCCATGGACAAATTCGCAGCTTCAGAAGTATTGCAGTGATACTATGAAATTACTGACAATAATATGTTCATGTTTGACCCTATGCTGGTTCGACAATGCGCCATGGACTTATTCCATGGCCTCTATAGCCTCTGTAGTTCTATGGCCTTTTCAGGCCACGAATACATCATCCCCACAATACCATCCCCACCACCTTATGGCGCGGGACATACGACGGTTGCGCACAGTCATACAGACTGCAGTGCTTTTCTTGCTCCTCATACTACTCGTGCATTTCATCCTTGCTACCATAGTCTCGAGCACGATATTATTACACATGCCCACTTCTCCTCAAGGAACACACCCCTTTTTGGAGATCCTTATCCTTTCCTATCCCCGTTCGAATGACGCAGCTTCCACCGACTCATTGCTATCGCAAACCATCTCCTCATATCTTCCTTATATCGACTCCAACACAGTGCTCTCTGTGTTCACACATTCCACTGCACATGCGTCGTTCACTCAGGCGAAGGAGCATTATGCTCAGATGCCTATTACATTCTATACAGACACGGACATACATATTGACTCATATTCAGGTCAGCATCTACATGTTGCAGAAGCGTTCCGGTGGGCTTCTGAGAAAGGCCCATCTCAGGCAGAGTGGGTTATGCTCGTGGAAGATGATTTTCCGATATGCGACGAGTGGGGATGGCGAGGCGTCCTCAGCGTGATGAACGAACTCCAACGTGGTGGAAAATATGGAGGATTTGTTGGAACCGGTGGCAGGTTCGTGTCTCGTATTCACGCGAATATTCTGTGCCCTGACGGCCCTGTTCTTTCAGTGGCCTGATAATCCACCGCAGCCTGTTGCCGATTCTCACGTACATAATGCGCATACATGCTCTCCAGCACTCCCCCATACCCCCCTCTGTGCGGTACCGGCCTGCAGATATCATCATACAAGATTGCCTTGGGGGAAAGGACTTGTTATGTCCGCGTAACTCGACACTGGTCATCACTTCTCGTCTCGTCATGGATCATATAGGCGGGAGTGCCAGCACCATGAGAGGCCGCGTGTATCCTGCAGACAGGTGGAAGTGTGGTTGGAGGCATCCGTTTCATGGCTTGACACAAGTCGATGTTGTACCGGTTTAATTAATATAAGATTGGTTTAAAATATTCATCTTTCCCATGTCTCGTAATGGCAGAAAATCAGGGGTGTAGCAACTTATCACATCATGACGGGACTTCAGGTGTTTCCATCGGACAGTCTACGGTCCACGCTTCTGGCCAGTCTCTGCTTATATATCACTTCGTGCCCATCTGATATTTGTTGTTAGGATGAATATGATTTCTACAACAGAATTCAGATACTGACACGACTCGGATCAGCCGGCACAATCGAGAAATGAAATTATTACAGGTGCGATGATTTATGATCATGACTCTTCACAACGACATCAGGGTCGCAGTTTTTTACTACTTCGGAGCGAATGTTTCTTCCACCGAGGGTGGCATAATATCTGCTCATCGACGCAAGAGTCGCCGGTCGTGACTCGCGGAGGATCGATGGTGTGATATTGTGATTTCGAATATTTGTTTATCACGCTTCTTTATTTCGTGTTGTTCATGATTGCATTTCCGAGTCGGGTTCCCCAATGGGCTGTCGAGATTGGTGTACCTTGCCAAGGGTCTTTGGAGACTTAGATAGTATTCGTCCACTACATTGCTTAGTATGAAGATTTCCAAGCTTGACCGGCCAAAAAAAATATCGCTGGTGCATATATGCGTCCAGGTGGTTATCAATGAGTATGCAATAGTATGAGATATCTGGGAAACCATGCCTGAAGTTACAATTTCCTTTGAAACGCCCAGCTGGACAGAATATACTCCTGGAGGAGCAACAAATTTTGAAACATTTGGTGTATCATCGTGCACGTGCAGCTACTGATGGAGTCCGAGCGACAAATCCGCATTTGGCGAATTTACCCCTCTATGGCATCATTGCTATCCTAAACCAGATAATGTCAGCCGCTTGTAGTATATAAACTCCCTAGATCCTGCTTCACCCCTTCATCCGCTCTTTCTTCTACCCGTTCATCTTCACATAGCTTTCAGCCTCCTCATCCCATGCTGGATATTCGACTAAGGGATGTGACTATGAGGTACATGCAGTAGCGTTGGCACCATTTGACACTCTCGTCATTTTCGCCAGTGGCCCCGTCCTTCATCTTCCACGCTCAGCACCACAGAGTATGTGTCGTGCTCGCTGTCTATGTAGCAGATGACTAACGCTTTGTTTTCTTCATCGTACCCAGGGCCCGGCATCATAGGACGCAACAGCTGCTAGTATGTCTTGTCCGCCACACCTGCCAGCCTCACCACTGACGCTGCTTTCTTATTCACGCCTAGGTTTCCAAAGTGACCTTTTTAATGGACATCAACATTTTAATGTTTAACACTGGAGGTCTCAGCATCTCAGGTCTGGCCACTGGTCCGCACCATGGCTTTCAATGGTACCAGGCCTACATTAACTTAACACTCTCGTTGCTCTGTGAGCTCGAGCGGGTCCCCTGTTCATGAAACCGATGATGCACGCCGAGCTCTGTCTCCGCATCTAGTTGAGGTTGCAGTGTGTTTGGCTGACGGTCCATCCTACTCGCCCCCTCAGTGCCGCTAGGTCCGGTCGTGGCACACTGCTATGATTACGAAGTCTGCTTCCTCGCCAACATGCGCGAGCTGAGGTCGACAGCGCGATCAAGCCCACTCCGGTGGAAAATTAAAACCGAGTAATGGCACATAATCTCGGTTTGGACAACGAGAAGGATCACGACTATGCGAGGATATTGTTAAACGACGAAGTTCCTTTACTCGTCCTTTAAGGCGTTGATTTCTCTGGATGTATGAGTCACATTAGTCGCTGCTGCGCAGTGTATCCATAACTTCTCCGACCCGTCCTCTTTATGAGCGATAATTCCTGCTTTCCTCCGTTTTTTTTCTCCAACCTGCAACCCCAGTAACTCGAAGGTGAGTCTGTCTCTGATGTATATTGAAATAATACTTATACCGTCTCCTTCTCAGGCCGCGACAATCCGGGATTGAACAATCAAGAATACGCCACCCGAGGTGATCCTTACTTGACAGACCACTTGAAAAGTAACCCTCCTGGCCTGAGATGCTGAAACGTCAAAGCCGCGGCCCAAGTCGCAGCACAATCGCCTCTGCTGACCTCTCACTTATTATTGGAAATTATCTTCTCGGTTTGCAATTCCTGATGGACAGAAACCGTCAGTAGGTGTATGATCAAGTCACTGATTCTTTCCTCCGTTACTAACAGTTTCTCTGCTTTAGTCGATCCATTATTTCCTCCCTGTACTATTTCATCTTCACTCAAGATTCACGGACAATCTGCCAACTAGTGATATATATTTTTCGTGGTGTCTTTTCGCTTGTCGTGAGGCAAATGATTATCGGGTGTCTCAGAGCTTAGTGGCTGCTGCATCAACTTCAACAAACAAACCCGGCATTAAAATGTGGAATATCGTACATCATGATCGACCAAAAGAACTGTTTCTCATCTTGGCCACCGCTCTCAACGCCTTTTGTATGTCTGACTCTGTCGGAGCCTCCTCCCCAACCCACTCAGTCATCCATCTAACCAGCCGCCCATATTCACTCTCCCCTTTCTTTCGTCGTTCCGCCCACTCCTCAAACAATGGACCGTGCAAGGACACCTCAGCCCAGAACACGAGCGCAATCGACAATGTGTTGCGCGAGGGATTTATCTGAAGCGCGCGCATCCACGCGAGTGTAAGCGAAATTTCTGAAGCGCGCCCAGTGAAACCCAGAAGCTGGATGTAGGTCGAGAAGGTCAGGTCGGTGGGTACGATAGACAGATAGGGATGGTATGGCTTCTTTTCGGGTGAATGGGCATCTGCGGGAATGATTTTCAGTTGCGCATCATGGTCTTTGCGCGTGGAGAACGGTATTGTAATGCTTTTGGCTAGTTCCACTAGCGGGTAAAGAGGGGTAGCCTCAGCGTTCTTAGAGTGCACGACGGAGGCGGGTGCCTTTACATCTAGGAGCCGCTTCCAATTTCCATACATTATAGTACGGAAAATGTCTCGAGCTACGTCACCCGCGCGGCGGTCCTTCCAGATCCCAACGACTGACGGCGGATGCGCAGACTGAAGCTGTTCCATGATCAAGTCGATAGGGCTGCTGGACTCTGCTGTAGGCGTATGGAACAAGTGCGCGAATGTCCCTCGCACAGACTCATTATCCATCTTGGTTGCGAGCACGGCAGCTTTGAGGAGGATGTTTAACGTGGCTTCGTTTGGAAGCACAGAATAGAGCTGTTCGAGGTGGTCCCACAGCTGGAAGATGACATCTGGGCGGCGAATGCGCAGTAGGGAGACCATGAATTCGTTGATGACGATGATATTGATCCAATGATGGACTGCTGGGGCAATATGTTTGTCATTTGGAAGGGATGCTGGATGCGAAGAGGTGCGCTGTGCGTCCATGAACGAGTTCAGAAGGTAGAATGCATCCTGCGGGTGCCCTCCACGAGCAAGGACTTGTACACCCACAGTCAGTGCCTTGCGATCAAGCAAAAGATCTGAATCGAGCAACTGATTCCATATCTTTAAGGCTTCATCGAAAGCTCCTCGGAAGAGTAAGCCACGAAGCACGACGGTATATGTGACAACGGTGGGTCTGAACTGCTTCGTTCGTTCGCGTGCGCGCTCAAAAAGCGTGACAAGGGTGGATGTGGAGGTCCGCTTGTCGTTTGCTGCAGAAATGAGTGCAGTTGTCCAATCAAAGATGTCCACGCTGGTCTTGGTACCAGACCAGAACTTTGTGGATGCGTGGCGAGATAAAGGTCCTGGGACGGTTGTGACAGATCTAGAGTTGTGGGCAGCATCAAGCTGCAGAAGCTTATGGAGATAATGAAACGCGGAAGCACAGTCATGCCGCAAAGATCCGATATATAGCGTGTTTGCAGGGTGTGTTGTCCCTGAGAGATCAGCACCGCGGAGGTGAACATCCGGCCCGTGAGGTACTGTTAGGCCATGCTCTACACAGTATCGACGGATGGCACGGAGATATTCCTGTGAATCCTGAACGGCTCCATGTTTGGAAAAGATGCGAAGGAAGGCCTCTAAATGTTCTGCGGTTGGTACAACTCCTTCGTGGACCATCTTCGTGTGGAGGATCTTGGTCAATTGGAGAGTGACAAAACGATCTCGCATCAGCGACTTGTATGTTTCCAGCCATAACGGCACTCCTCGTGCTGACATTGCCTCGAGTACAGATACAGCAAGATTGGCCGCCTCTTCTGAACGAGTGAAACCAGAAAGGCCGCGGAGAAAAGCATTGAAGTGAAATGCAGGAAACTGAATTGTGCGTGCGAGGAACTGCTCCACGATTTTACGCATCGGCGTAAGAATGTCGAAGTGGGCGAGCGCGTGCGTGGACAGAATCAATAATGCTGGGCGGTCTTTAGAGCCAAGGGACCACGAATGCTTAAACGTAAGACGTAACAGACCGTCCTGGGCATCCTGCGCAGTCCGAACTTTGTGACAGAGTAAGGAGAAAGCAACCCACGCGGGAAGCTGCAACGTCTGTTGACGCGCATTGGCAGAACCTTCAGGGAGTTGACTTGCAAAACCCTGACTCTGTTCTATTGCAGATATTGCTGTGTTTAGGTTGGGTGAATATACCACATGTTTCCAGAGAACATAATCGAGGAATGGTATGTTACAGCTCTCCAAAGCACCGTGTATTTGTTCATCTTTGCGCTCGCGTTTCAGTTGAAAAACGAGATCCCATACAGGGTCCTTTGTAATGAGGGAAGCTTGCTTCGCGAAATTGACGAGGTGTTTACTGCCAGATAGAGAAGAATAAGTCCTCTGATAGAGTCGGGTGAAAGTAGACTGCGATGGTCGTCTATGAAGAGAAAAGACAAGATACTGCATACGCGAACAGCATCTACAAAAATCATCAAAAATAACACTTGGAAACTGTCGACAGGAAGTATACCTGGTGTCAAGGCTCTTGGATCAACCAGGTCTCAATTCTCAAAATTGATGGTCGTGCTCGCCACAAAAGCCAAATAGATACACATATGACGAGTTCACACTCCGCACAAACCCTGCTCCTCTTAGATCCAAACCACGACCATCTGTCTGCCCAACACTCGAAAATGCCGCGCATCCTCTTCGTCAGTGGATTTCATCCTTCTACTAGGGCACGCGACCTCGCATTCGAATTCGAACGGTGAGCCTATCTATGACCTTCAATTTATATCCGTCAAAAAATGTTCAATTTTTTCCTCGTATTTTTAGATTCGGTCCTCTGGTCCGCTGTGACGTTCCAGCCCCGCGTAATCCTCATGCTAGTTCGAACCCGTAAGTGTAATCATAATTTTTGTTTTCTTCACCTCTGTCCAGTCAACACGACTCGAGGGACGATTGCCTTGCGATGCCCTGCTGCCTTGTCTCGTCGATTCGATTAGTCACTCGCGAGTCGTCTTCGTATTCGCCGCTCTGCGCTGCGATATCATTCGATGTTTCGGGTTCCGAGAATCACCTATCGCTCAACATGTCTCGCACCGTCTCGCAGTTACGCTTTCGTCGAGTTTCGAAGCCAGCGCCATGCTGAAGATGCCTACTACGATATGTATGTTCTCTCTCACACGTTCACTTGTAACTTGCCTGACGCGTCAGGCGTAGGCATGGAAGGTACTTTGAGGGATCTCGCTTGAGCATTCAGGCAAGTCAGCACCTCATGAGAGCAATTCAATGTCCTTAATTATATTTGTAGTGGGCAAAGAATCCCCCTTCTTCTGTTTGGCGGTACGAGAGGCGTTCTTCTCCTCCTCATCGTTCAGGTCGTGATCGTGAGCGTTCTCGAAGCCCCCCTCGTCGTCGCTCCGAAAGAGACAGCAGAGATGACCGCGACCGTCATGACGACCGTGACAGAGACCGCGAACGCGAACGTGACCGCGATGTCGACAGGGAGAGGGACAGGAGGAGGCGGAGCAGGAGCCCTGATAGGAGGAGGAGCCCTTCTCCTGACAGGAGGAGGCATGATCACGCGCGTACTCCTCCGATGGAAGACCACAAGAAAGATGATGATCGTGATTTGCAGTCGCGCACCCCAAATCCGTATGCGCCGTAAAAATTGTGTCGGGTTACACAGTGAAATGAGTAAACTGTTCTCTACGTTTCTTCGTTCAAAATAATCCCAGAGACTTTGTTTCTCTACTCGTAGTAACTTTTTTGTGAATGTTGTAGCCACGTTTTGTTAGATGTTAATGTGATGGTTGCGTCTGATTTATGTTGTCGCCACAAAGTTAGTTATGAGAAGCTTTAGCCTACCGTCTAAAAGCGTTTATGCCACACATGATGCTGCCAAGTTATATTCCTTATTGAACCATCATGGCACAACGGCGAGTGCCCACCATTAGCGACCTCAGGGTACGCATACATTGAAATATGCGCAGCCCTGGTGCTCACAGTTGTCTAGATCAAGCTTTGCTACATTTGCAGGGAGGAGGAGCGGTATGATGGTATGTCGAAAGCGCATTATTGTCATGCAAGCGCTTATCTGACCTGTCTGTCCGTTCTCAGCACCCGAGCATCCTCCCCGAGCATGGACGCATCCATGCAAATGCACACTTATTGCACATGAGTCCTGTCTACTGCAATGGATACAGACCTCGCAGCAGAACCGCTCACGAGCCCCAAATGCTCTCAAGTGCCCGCAGTGCAGCTCAGTATATGAGCTTGAAAGCAACAATCCACTCATTCTACGCATCTTGGACGCAGCAAACAAGGGCCTCTCGACGATGGGAAAGATTGTAACCATCGCAAGCGTGACAGTGGTGGTGGTTTCTCTTGGGACTGGTCCGTGGGCATTTACTTTTAAGATTCAATTTTATAAGATTTTATAGGAATGTATATCCTCAGCACAGCATATGGTGCCTATGCTCTGAAGGAGTTTCTGGGTGCTGAGTACGTGCCACTTTCATTTGGCAGCTAGTCGCAAATCTCATGCTTGTAGGATGTATGATCTCCTGTTAACGGAGGACCCTACTAATTGGCCGTGGCATTGCTACCTCAATCTTCCACTCATTCCCCTTGCTCTCATCATCTCGCGTCTTCCTTTTAACTCTAGTGTCACGCCACTTGTTCCCCTTCTCCTCGCATGGCCAACGTCCACCCCTCCGCGGACTGACAAGCGCATAGTTCTCGATCGTTGGGGTATCCAGGAACCAATACAACGGGAAATGTTCCCCTTACTCCCAAGCTGGCCCCCTCCGCCAGTATTGCTCGGCTTGATCATCTATCCGTCTGTTCGTATCACATATAACCGCCTGTTCTCTCAGTTCTCGAGATGGGTGCTGGATACGCAACCGGATGCCACCAATACCACACAGCCCATGATGCTTGCTTTGGAGGATGACGACCCATTTCTTCGCATTCGCATCAATGCTAACGGCGAAGAACGGAACGCCCAGCTTCAGCCTAATGGTCAAGGCCAACAGGACAGAGGTGCAGGTGTTGCTAACAATGGTGCCAACAATAATCCAAATGGCGATGGCGAAGCCATTGCAGGAGACGTTGCTGCAGCCGCCGAGAATACCATTCGGGTATCGGGGACCTCCCTTGGGCGACTGATTGGAGGAGCCTTGATTATCCCGCGCATCTCCAGTTTCATGGGCTCGCTATTGTATCGACTATCCAAGTATTCACCGCTTTTACGTCGTTTCCTTGCTGTGCGCCCACCTCTTCCGCCTGATGTGCGGCCGTCGCTGGTAGGGACTTGGATCGATGAGGAAATGTGGCGCCAGTTGAGCCCTGTGAAACGGCTCAGCGTCGCTGGATTGATGGGTCTTAGCGTCGCGTGGCGGGGAACTCCCGTTTGGGCAGAATGTGATCCTGTTTGGTAAGTGCTCGTTCCCTTTGATCAAAGGGCATGGATTCTTACCAAGGAAACGATCCAGGTGGAGAAACTCATTAGGGTTGGGTCTTTTCACCGTCGTATGACACCGATATCATAAACGATGACCTTATACTGACGCTGTTCCAGGCAAAGGACTGCTTGCATCTCCTACATCTTTGGCTTACCAAACGGGAGCTGCAGAGCCGGCGAGTCAAGAACAAGTCATTTGAAGGTGTTGATGTGAGGGAATTAGATCTCATCGATCCTGTGACACACATCGGACACTACCATCCTTAGTTCAGCTACACTCCTTAGTTCTGACGACCGCTTCTCGCACGTAGATTCTTGTGCTTCTGAACAATAGCGTTTGTCATCTTCAATCAAAATTGATTGCTGCCGTGGTAAGTTGACATTGGATAGTGGCCAGCCAGGAGTTGGACCACTCTACCAGCAATGACGATAAAAACAACATTTGCTTCTAATTTCTACTAAGTCTACCCGTCGGCTAGAATTTGATTAGACTCGTCGCGACGTGGACATACAATCATCACGGGGCCACATCATCATGATGGGATTACGAATTCAGAATCTTTACAAAACACCCCTGAAGGCTGAAGTCCCCGCGTGAGATTCCTCCGTTATCTTCCCTCAGCGCTCAGCTATGTATACGAAAGATGTCAAAAAGCCTCCACTACAATGAATTTGCATTGCAGCAGGTGTACGTCCAAACGAAATCCAACGTGTTTCTCAACTCACATGTTCGCACGACAGCAAGTCCATCAAGAGCCTGAGCTCGGAAATCTAAACATCCTCGCAACCATATCACCCTGTTGCGATGCACCGGACACTGCCAGGCCCAAATCGCTGGTAGATCACGGCATGTCTACTTATGGGCCACCAGAACCATGACGGAAAAGCGTAATGGCATCGCAATAGTTTTTTTTTAACTCGCCTCCTAGATTGACGCCAGGGTTATCCTTGTTGTTCGGATCAGTGAGGATATAAATTTGGACACTGATAATTAGTTTCCCGCTCGAAGCACCCCTCAATGCCTCATCCAATCATATCAGAATTTGATATTATTTTTGCTGGGGGTGAGTGATGCATCTCGGTGACTGACTTGACATAACGCTGTATCATGGTTCAGGTGGTAGCACAGCTTGTGTTGTCGCAGGCCGCCTGGCTGCATTGGATCCCTCCCTTACTATCTTAATTCTCGAAGGGGGCCAACACACTCTCAATCAAGATCTGCATGTGCAGCCTTACAAATTTACAAGGAATCTGGCGCCAACGAGTACCACCATGACATTCAACGTCGGAAACCCAAGTCAAAGTCTCAACGGCCGTGCTCCGATCGTTCCGTGCGCCCATTGCGTTGGTGGAGGCTCAAGTGTAAATGGTTCGTAGCGTTCTTGCACTGAATACCATGGCTCTGATAAGTTGACTCGGTCAGCTATGTGTTACACTCGTGGACCTGCCTCAGATTTTGATGACTGGGGAGCCGAAGGGTGGGAATCTAAGAACTTGATTCCCCTCATGAAGAAGGTCTTCGACTGAATCATCTTTATATTTCTCGAGCTGAACTATTCATTGCTTAGCTGGAGACATATCAGGTACAGCCCGATCGCCCAACCCACGGGTACGGTGGACCTATTAAAGTGTCCCCTGGTGGATGCAAACTAGGTATCTTCGAAGAGTTCATCCATGTTGGCACGACATATCACAAGAGGCAATATGCTGAAGACACTGACGATTTAAAAACATGCAACACATACAGTGTGCGCCACCTGAATTTCTTTCTCCATGTGTGGAGTCCGCTGACGAGATCCACTTCAGCCATGGGCG